CCAGAGTATTTCATTAGTGTTTTCACAATGGCCCAGTCAAAGGAATTACCTAACACTTCAGAATTACTAGGTCAAAACCAACTTAATAGGTATTTATGACCTAGAGCTTCAATAACAGATTGGAGAAGTCATGCGTGCCAACTCAAAAGGAAAAATAATGTCCTTGTTTTGTTCTCCCAAAGCCGTGATTACTAATGTAGTATGTGGACCTATTGGGTACTATGCAGTCTCTGACTTCAGAAACAGACTGTATACCACCCTCTTTTCCATTGATATGTAGATGTTTGGAGGAGATGATCCTTGTGATCCGTCCCACAGTCACCAAAGATATACTGTCACTGCGGGACATCTAACAAGACCAAATGTAGAAACTGATTATGATTAGGCCAAGGTTCTTAGAAGTAGTAGGCAGACACTGCTTTTGCAGAAAGTCAGCAAGCCCCATGATAGCCTTGTTAGCTTGGGAACCACACATCTAGCTTCCATTCCCCGTGTGTAGGCAACGCTTGGGATGTCACATGGCCTAATGATAAGAGCAGTATGTGAACATGCCGTCTGCTCACGGGCCGGACATTGTACATCTTTGACAGGGATGGGACAATGGAAGCACAGGGCCGCCCTTTAGTAGGGACTTAGCAGTGACAATGAACACATCACTCGTTTTGCCAGCAGTTTTATCAGAAGAATAGGAGGGTACGGAATGGACGCAGAGGGAATCCGCCAGAAAGAAAGCAGGTGGAAGTCCAGCGGTGCCATGGCTTGCGGCTCTGGTGAACCCTACCTTGGGATCCGTGCTGGGCGTGGAGTGCAGTTTGAGGCATGTTTTCCTCAGCGCCCCCTCCTCCTTGTCTCTACCTCTCCATCCCTCCTCCCTCTCTCTCCCTGCCACACTTTTGTAAGCCCTGTTCTTCAGAATCCTGCAAAGAATGAGTAATGGAAGATGTGTGGACCTTTGCAGTCTTGCGGGCCTGGATTCACTTTTTAAGTGAAATCTGAAAAGAATCCTTTATGTTTTGAAAAGTGTTCCTTTTAGTTTTCAGAAGTTTGGTGTGCATTGCCCACCAGAGAATCTTTTTTTTTTAAAGATTTATTTATTTATTACATACACAGTGTTCTGCCTACATTCCAGAAGAGGACACCAGATTGAATTGTAGATGGTTGTGAGCCACCATGTGGTTGCTGGGAATTGAACTCAGGACCCTTGGAAGCGCAGTCAGTGCTCTTAACCTCTGAGCCGTCTCTCCAGCCCGCCCACCAGAGAATCTTATTGAAAACATGCACAAGTGTCTCTTGCACAATGTCCCCTGATAGGAGATGGTGCTGTCAAGTCCCTGAGATACCGGGTAGGGCTTGTATACAGACTCACTCTAAGAGTTCCCACAAGTCGTGCCTCTGGACAGAAAATACGGGAGCAGGATGGCAACCTCGCCTTGCTTGGGTGCCTTGTGACCTCTGACCTCTTGTGCTTCTGTTCTGCTGTCCAGTGGTCAGGAGCTCTGCTCGCCCAAGCTTCGAGCTCAGTGTAGTTTCTCCTGTGATTCATGACAAGGGAGTATTTCACTATGATGGAGTTAGAAGATGCCCTGGACAGCAGACTCCATGGCTGGTACTGAGCGGGTGTTCCAAACGCTTCCCGCGGTACCAGGGTTAAGGGCCTACATGCCCAAGGCAAACAGGATGCCAGCAAGATATGGGAACACACTCTGGTCCCGTTTCCTCCTTTCTCTGTTCAGCTTCCTCTCCCTCCACCCCCTCCCAGACGAAAGCAGGAGAAACAGAAACCGACTAAACCAAGTCTATTAGGACCATAGCTGCTGGCTTAAGCTTTACTTTTCTTGGATTTTTTTTTTTTTCTGATTAGCCTCAGCAGTGAATCCAAAACCTCACGAACCCGGAGCCAGAATCGGCGGTGCTGAGGGCAGAGCAAGGCAGAGCAGATGGGCAGACACACCGTTTGTTTCCCTGGGAAGGAGCATGAAGCTTGGGTCACATTAGGGACAGACACAGGCTTGCTTCTTTCATGTGGCAGTTGGATAAATCGATTCTTTATAATAACTTGTCTTAAAAAGAAGGATGTAAGAAGATTTTAAAATCTTTTAAGATGATCATATTGTTCATAGGAAGCAATCTTGTAAGATACACAGTCTGAAGGAGTTTACTAGGTATCTAGAATGCTCCAAAAATAGGAATCAGTTGCCAGTGTTTAAAATTTTGAATGTTTCATAAGAAATCCCAGATTCCTATCCTATCTTGAAAATCTGATGAATTTAGCAAAACATACCTGCCGGCTGCCTCCTTTAAATTGCCCGGGGACTATGGTTCCCACCTGCTTGACCATTTGCCATCTGCTATGGCCACCGGATATTTGCAGTCACCCTGTGGCCGCTTCAAGAGGTAGCTCTCCAAACTTTGAAAGTTAACTCCTGAAATGCTGTTTCAGGAGTGGGGATGGGGTGGGGTGGGGTGCCACACAGAGTAAGTTCCCATCGTGGTTGGCTCTTCCAGGTGAGAGGAGAGAGATGTTTGCTCGAATCATTTTTTCCTGAAAAGTACAGTGAATGGTTCTAGGCATGTCTTAATTCTGATCCTCCAATGAGTTCGTTTGAAAGTCTGGGTTGGAAGGGAAGCTGAGTGTGTTGTTAGCATCATGTGATAGTGTCCACATGGCTTGATCCCAGTGTTCTAAATAAGCACGAACACAAAGGACGTCTTCTTAATTAACCGGCCCATTTTAAGTTGAGCAGGCCTTGTTCTTCTCTGCTGAATCGCCTCGTCCTGGTGCATGGGAGTCCACAGTAGGTGGCTTTACCCGTGCTAGGTCTATGCCAGCCAGCCAGCTACCCAGCCTTATGACTGCCTCTTCCTGCTGGCAGGAATGGAGCATTGCGGCTGAGCTTCAGAGTCTGCCGGGGGCATAAACAGAACTTGCCTCTGGGCTACACAGGGGGAAGCTGCAGCCAGAGGGATTAAGTGATTTGCCCTCAGTCACACTGCTAATTAGTAATGGAGCCAAGATTAGAGTCTCTGTCTGGCAGCACCTGGTCCTGAGCCCTTCCTTGGCCGCCTCCTCCCAGCCCCTCTCATCCCTTCTTCCTGGCATCGCAAGGGAACCCGAGTTTCCCTTCTAGAATAACCAGCCATAAGCTGCTAGTGAGGCATTCTCTCAACATATGTTGAGCCATTTGGTGGGTATAGTTTGTGATTATCTGAGCCATTCTGGCGCAGCTGTGTAATTCTGTAACCTCAGCAGCGGGTGCTGTGGACATTCCATGAATACATTTTCATGCTAATAAGGGTGGGAGGTGACACTGGCATTGACAAGGGACTTGTTAACTCATCTAGAAAATAGCCAAACAGGTTAGAAGTGTGTGCTTGTACCTCGAGTGTGTTTGGGTTATAATTATGTAAGGTATCTGAGATTGATTTTCGTGTTTTTCACAGTATTCAACAATAGCCAAGAAGAGAGTGTTCCTTTTTCTGTCAGTGACAAATGTATTCTCTCTCAGACTTTAGTCACAGAGAAGCCGGCTCGCTTTTCTTTATCAAGTCTCCATCTCTCATCCATTTTCTATTTTTGTCTCACAATTATTCAGTGTTTTAGTTTTTTTTAATGCAGGTGGGAGATGGCTCAGTGGTTAAGAATGCCTGTCATGCTTGCAGACAATGTGAGTTCCCATCTCAGTGCCCACTGTCGTGCAACTTAAAACTGCCTGTAACTGTAAGTCCTGGAGGCCTGACACTCTCTCTGGCATCCTCAGATAGCCATGTGTGTGTGGAAATGCACACACACACACACACACACACACCAATAATAATAATAATAATAGTAATGATGATAATAATAGTAAATCTTTTAAAATGTAACATCACTCGATACTTTCTTAGAGCTATTTTTGTATTCAGTTAGTCCATTCATGGCATGCCTTCCTTGTCTTTTTGACTGTCCCCTTTGCTTACAGGAGACTTTGTGAAGCTTCTGGTTTTCCTCTTTTATTGACTTTCTAATTAAAAAAAGAAAAGACTTGCGAGTGAAATTAACCAGCCATGAGGTCTGTAAGTCTCAGTGAACTTCTATATAGTTAGAGAACTCCGTACCCTATTTTAGAGGTATTTGCAACATCATATTGCTCCTTTATCACTATAGCAAAAAATTGGAATCAACCTAGTTGTCCATCATCAGATAAATGGATAATGAAAATTTGGGGTGTGTATGTATGTTTGTGTGTGTGTAATGGAATACCATTCAATTGTAAAGAATTTTGCTGCTTTCCATGTTGGCCTTGTTTCTTCTGGGAGTAGTTGTTATTTTCCCATTTATCCCAAGTCTCTTTCACATTTTAGACATTGTGTGTATGTTTTGTGGTCCTTGGTTTCCTGTGCACCGCAAAGCTGGGCACTGTTAGATCTGACCAGATGTCAGTGCAGTGGAAGGACTTGTCGGCTGTCAGGTGGGGCTGTAGGGATACGGGAAGGAGTACAGTTATTCTAGTGAATTGGTGGTGGGATCAGCTGTGCGAGCTGCCCTGGACAGTGTTCTGTGTTCTGCAGGAGGAAGAGCCTTCTGTTTGGGATGCAGAATGGGAGCACACCAGCATTTGTCTGGAAACAGATCTTTGAGTCCTTTAGTTATACCTCCAATCTCATCACCTGTTTCTTGATGCACCCAGGGATGGTTTAAATCATCCATCCAGTTACTGTTTTGTAGCCACCAAACCTAGGAGTCACTCTTGTTTCCTCTCTTCCCATCCTCCACACAGTACACATATAGCCCTGACCACGAGCTGTGCTCGTTTCGGCTGCTTTGCTTATGTTTAGTTACTTGCTTCTCATAATAAACTTCATAGGAAAATGCCTCAGCTTTGCAGAGGAGTGCTAGACGCAGATTGGTTGGGGTCCCTTAGAGTATATTTGGGGCCACACAGTAAGTGGGATATCTAGGGCTCAAACCCAGTCTGTGCTAACATCAGTCCGTGCATTGATTAGCTTTCCTCTATTGGCAGTATTGGGTAGAGTGTGCATGCACATGTGTTCAGCCATAATCTTGAATGGGAAGCCTGTTGAACTGTTGACTGGGACAGCGAACACCTGAACTCAGCATCTGCAAGCAGCTTTTGATGTCTGAAAGCCGAGTAGCCGAGTTTGGCTTCTTCACCAAGGATCGCACAGCATGCTTCAGTGTGTGTCACGACAGCTTCTGGTTTTGTGGACCCAGAGGGAGGTGTATCTTCTGAGCCATCTGGACAGCCACTGTACTCCTCTCTCTTCCTAGGACTGACTGCACCACACACGGCGATGGGTGCTTACTCATGGTGGAAAGAGCCATCCTGGATGGTGGACAGTAAAAGGAGGAGAATGACTCCGAACTGGCCATGGCTCCTGTCAGCACTTACGCTTCTGCAAGTGAACGCAGTGCAAGCACATAGTCTGAAGAGAGGTAAGTCAGCCTTGCAGCACATGAGCAAGCTAAGTCCTGTTTCTCTACTGAGCTCTTCAGGGTTTCACTGGCGAACACCCATTTCTCTGCAGCCTTTTCCCCGTGTGCCTCTAGTTTCTTTTGAAAAGCCTCTTTATTGAAGGCAAATGGAAATACTCTTTTACCCTATACAAATAACAAGGCATAATTTTCCCACAGTGGTATGCATTCCTTTAGGATGCTGTTCTGAGTCTTGACAATGTGCAGTTGCTAACCCCAGGCACCATCAAGATCTGGCTGTGTTCCCGAGTGCAGAAAATGCCCACTGTGTCCCGGTAGCCAGCCCTTCCCGCCCCACCCAGCCAGCAGGGCTGCTCTGTCCCAAATGTTGTCACTGAAGAAAGTTTTCTAAACGGACTCGAAACTCTTTTCATGTGTTTCTCGTGTGTAGTTCAGGAATGTTTATGCAGATGCTGCCTGGCTCATTTTTATGAAGGATTTTATCCTGCTGCTCATCAGCTTTATTTTTATAGTATTTACATAATTAAAAAGACCACTTCCCCCAAGCTTACTGAGTAAATAACTTGATTGTGATAACTCGTGGTTTCTAATGTGCACATTTCTAAGGTGTTTCTGGTTTTTTTTTTTTGGTTTTTACGAGACAGGGTTTCTTTGTATTGTTTTGGAGGCTATCGGTCCAGCCTGGCCTCGAACTCACAGAGATCCACCTGCCTCTGCCTCCCGAGTGCTGGGATTAAAGGCGTGTGCCACCACCGCCTGGTGGTGTTTCTGTTTTTTAACATTAATTTGTAATTTATGGCAGCCGTAAATTTCATGCCTGTAATACATAAAGACAATAAGCTTTTTCATAGACATTCTAGAGTATGAGATAATTTTTATACTGTTTTCCCTTTCCCCCTTTTTTCCTCTTCCCTTTTCCATGTTCCTCTTTCCATCCAAACCTGTCCCCTTTTACCCTTCCCTTTCCTCCTCTCACCCCCTTTCCCTTTCCTGCCACCCTTTCCCATCGTATAGGCTCTTTCCTTTCGGCTCCATTCCAGGGTGACTTTTCATTGCGTCGTTCTAATGCCCTTGCCCATGTATTCCATCATTCAGTGTCATTGTATGGGTGTGGTTAAAGACTCCGGGACTGTAATCTTCTGACTTGTTTCTTTCTCATTGTTTAAGCCCACACACAAGAATATTTTCTATAGGCTGATGTGAGTTCATTGTGCTTGCATGTCATGGGCTTCACAACAATGGAAAGATTGATTGTCGGTTCCCATGGAGGGGCAGTCTGGTACAAACAGTGAAAGAGCCGCAGCTAGGCGGGTTTTGTAGTTGTGGTGTATACCTAGAGTTTTTCCGGAATAATTCTTTTCCTTGGGAGTGAAGTGTTAGCTTGTTGTCTAACCCCACTTCTACTACTCGATTACTCCACTAGTTGGCTTTTGTTAGTCCCCCCCCCCCCCACACACACAATTCCTTAGTTGACTGCAGTTCTTTGTCTAGGGGCGAGGCCTCCTGAGCTATCCTTCTTCCGTGGTAGCGTATCTAGTGGTGTCTTCCTTGTTCAGGTCATGCTTAAACAGCCGTGATGAGACCTCGCAGGTGTAGCTTCCGACCTGTCTAGGAGACACAGTTCCACAGCAAACTCCCTTTGCTCTGTCTTTTATATCACCCCACCCCCCTCTTCTGCAATCATCCCTGCGCCTCAGATGCAGTTGTTGTCTGGTAAACGTGTCGGTTCACATTGGGTTCCACAGCTCTTCATTTTCATCAGTTGCGGTTTTCTCTCATGGTCTCCACCTGCCGCGAAGAGAAGCCTCCTTGATGAGGGGTGAGGACTGACTGTGCTTATCTATGGGCATAAGGACACGCATTTAGAGCATAGTTAAGGATTGTGCTGCTTTAGTGAAGTGGTGGTTGTCGGTTGTCCTACATGATCCATGATTTTGGTAGCCCCAGGTAGTTGGCTGAATTTCCAGTGACAGGCATGATTTTCCTTTTGTTGAGTGGGTTTTAACTCCAATTAGAGAGCTGTTGGTTCCTGCCAATATATGTGAGTGTGGGAGAAATAGCTTTACCCAGGGTAGAACATACCAGCTGATTAACCAATGGTAGCATTATATGGACTGAGCAGGTTGCACTTAAGTAGTCAACATACATACATATGCAGCGCACACATATATCTAATAACAGTTAGCAGCAATCGAAGAGAGAGAGGCCATACATTTGAAAGAGAGTAATACATGGGAAGACTTAGAAGGGAGATAGGGAAGTGGGTAGTGATGTGATTGTATTACAATCTTAAGAAACTTAAAAGTACATTCTTTAGCTGGATGGTGGTGGTGCACATCTTTAATCTCAGCACCCAGGAGGCAGAAGCAGGTGGATCCCTGTGGGTTCAAGGCCAGCCTGGTCTACAGAGTAAGTTGCAGGACAGGCTCCAAAGCTACACAGAGAAACCCAGTCTTAGAATATACATACATACATACATACATACATACATACATACATACAAACCAAAAAGCAGAGTTAGAAAAACAGCTATAAAGTAGTATCCTATGAATGAAGTCCTTTCTTCATAGAGAGTGTGGTCCTATGTAGACCCAGTACTTGTCTCGACACTGAGACACTGATGCTCAAAGTGCCCCAGAGAGAGTGACAATGTGTGTTCTGTATCATGTATGTACATGTTGTTTTTCCTCCCTTAGGGTCAGCTCAAGATTTGAAATGTACAACCAAAAACATGCAAGTGTGGGACTGCACATGGACAGCACCCGTTGGGGTTAGCCCTGGGACTGTTAAAGAAGTCTGCATTAAAGACAGGTAATGAAATCCTGGGGTTCCTGCAAAGCTGTAATCCAGAACGTCCTTCCTGGTTATTTCAGAGTGTGACAGTTGTTCCTGAGTGCTTAAAGGACATTTTTACTCAGTCATCTAGTTCTTAAAAATTCTAAGTCGTTCAGATGGAAACAAAGTCTTCTAGCAGAAAAGTTTGGTGCTTTCCTTGTATGCACAATGGAATTGGAGCACTACCCATAGAGTACTGGTCTGCCCAGGGGGCTTCACCCAGTGTACTAATCTGCCCAGGGGGTTTCACCCAATGTACTGATATATCCAGGAGCCATGACCGGTCTATACCATCTGTTTTGTGAGACTGACGTGTGTGTCTTGCAGAAAATGCTACCAACAGTGACACAGATGTTAACTCTCAGGGAAGTGGTCTGCATGTAGGCAGTCCAGGGCCGGCACTTGTCATCTGGTTCCTTTGCCATCTTTTGCCTGGAATCTCCTGGCTCAGGGTGCTACCTGAGTAGCACTGCTTTTGAAGAAGTAATAGTCTGCATTTGAAGAAGAAGCAGGGAAAGGGAGGATGGCTTTATATTTAAAAGACTCATAAGAAGCCCCACAGAACCCCTAGGCTGGCACTGGCCAGATCTTGTCAGATGGTTAATAAGTCTGACTCCTTAAGGGTCATGGAGATAAGTTCTCCTAGCTGGGTGGCAATGTCCAGTAAGCAATGCATCCGTGTTATTAAGGAAGAAGGTGAAATGGGCCTTGGGAGGAAGGAGAAGGTTTGCAACATCACCTTAAAGCTCAAGTAAACTTTGGGTTCTTCCTAGAGCAGAGGCCTACACAGTGTCTCCTGCTTTTTTCTAATTCCAGCAGGACAATGAATCACTTAGCAAAGCCCAGTAAGCCTTTCCCCAAGTTCCAGTTTTCGAACAAGTGGTCTTGGTATAAATGGACATAATGTGTTTAAGCATAGTCATATAGTTCCCTTCTGTGTACATTTTCCAAGTGTTATTGTGAGCAATGGGGTTATTTATCAGTTAAAAGGGATTGGAATATGTTGTAGAAACAATCTTCAAGCCCCCCTATGTTTTGCTCATGAAAATGAAGGACTGTTTTCTGCTTATGTTCTGGTGTCAGCTGAGATCTCCACCCCAAGTTTGTTTTAAGAGGTCATTGGAAGGGAGGAAAGGGGACATAGCCCATGCTGGCCTTTAGAACGTTTGTCTGCGAGACTCTGTGGTCCAAAAGCCAAATGAAGTTCTGTTAGAGAGAACCCTGTGTCCAGGCAGAGCAGTGGCTAAGACAAGATGTGCAGGGGAACCACTGTCCAGTTTTACGTCTTCCACTGGCCTCTGCTGAGTCCTGCCTCTAGCATGAGGCACTGGGTGACTGTCCCTTCGTGTTCTGTGCTGAAGGGGGCAGCATGTGGAGCTGAGACTGCTCAGGCAAGGTTGAGGTGGGATTTGAACAGTGCTACAACGCCAGGGTTCCAGGAAGAACCACCCTGCTTGCTCTGTACTTTCTGGCAGTCTGTCCCTCCCCCCCACTACCACTAACTCCTCTTTGTTTGGTCTTAGCAGATAGTACATAGAACCCAGCATTACACAAAGGCCCAGGCTATCCAGTGCTTGCTATGCTGAGTCAGGTTTTTGTGAGCATTGCATGGTTTTTATCTGTTGTTTAAAGTTCTGTTTCTTTCATCACAGGCTCAACTCTTGTCATCGGTTAGAGTCAACAAACATTAAAATTGCAGCTCTTTCACCTGGCGATCACGAAGTAGCAATAAATTACCTAAATGGCTTTCAAAGTAAATTCACGCTGAATGAAAACGATGTTTGTAAGTATTAAAAGGAAAACTTTGTTTTATTCATTATTATCACTGACACCTGCTGTTCGCTTTTTGAGACAGGAACTTGTGATGTAGCTCAGGCTGGCCTTGGATTTGTGATTTCCAGTTTCAGCCTCAGCCTCCGAGTATTAGGATTAGAGGTGTACATCCCCACGCCAGCTGCACATTAATTTTAAATGGAGCCATGTCACAGTTAATACTGTGGTGCTGGGGAGCTGGCATGAACCCATGATTCTGTGTTGCTTCTTTCATTCACTCAGGGTCCTTGCTGAGGACGGAAGCAAATGTGTCTCCAGCCAAAGTAGATGAAGCCGAGGTCCTCCCCTCAGTCGGTTACTGCCCTAGTTCCCTTTGCCTCGATTCCTGCGCATCTCCCAGCATTTCTCGGGTGTGCTCTGTTCCAGGAGGGTAGCCTCTGACCGCCCCAGAGGTGCCCTGATCCCTCTGTTCACTCACACTTGGGTATGCTGTGGTTCTCTGGTAATTTCCCTCAAATGAATGCATAGTCCAGTGTGTAGCTAGATGTTTGCTGTGTGTCTTCTCCACAGGAAGTGTGTTCTTTGAGAGAAGGGACAGGGACTTCGTGTTCTGCCCTGTGCACAGGCATTTGGCCAGGGTCTCCTAAGTGAGCATCAAGGACATTGGCCTCGCAGGGCAACTCAAGGAGACAGAGATAGAACTTGTCTTTCACAGGTTTCTCACTTGGCAGCAAAGGGGTTTGTTAGTTTGTAACCAATGATAGGATGGCGTCTAAATAACATGGTGAACCTGATTTATAGGCCAGGGCAAGAAAATTAACTCTGATGCATCCAGTTCTGTGGCGTGGTTATGTCTTGAGGAAGATCTCTGTCAGCCTCGGTGTTTGAAAGAATAATAACAAGGCGTCCAGACACAGTCCTTTCTGATTGCTGGCTGAAGGAGGAAAAGCACTTGCATGCAGATCTGACGGTTTCAGTTCAGTCTCCCGAGGTCACTGAAAGGTGGAAGAAGAGAATAGATTCCACAAGTTGTCCACTGACCTGCGTGTGGTGTGTGTGTGTGTGTGTGTGTGTGTGTGTGTGTGTGTGTGTGTGTGTGTGTGTGTGTGGTTGCTAGCTGGGTCATTTTGTAAATTTTAATTCCTTTCTACATGGACAGTTCTGAGTTTCTAGAGAACGAGTTAAAATTGTCCTCAGATGTCTGTTTTAGTCCAAAAGACAGGAGATTGCAGTTCATGGGGCCCTTGGGCAGCTTGCTCTGCTATTATGAGACAGGGGAAGGAAGAGTGGGTTTTTGTCTCTTAAATCCTTTCATTTGTAATCATGGCCTTCACCGTCTCTCAGTGGAAATAAGGATGGTGACCTGTGTTTTGCAGTCACCCAGCTGCTAAAGAGTAAATTACACGAATTTCTCAGGAAAGGAAGGATCTTTTCTTCCTTCCTTCCTTCCTTTCTTTTTCTTTCTTATTTCTTCTTTTTGCTTTGCATATTTAAATGTTTTGCTTGAAAATACTTTCTTATACAGTATGTTGATCATCTTTCCCCTCCACCAAGTCCTTCCAGATCCCACCTCCCTGCTCACCCCATTCACATTTGTTCTCTCTCTCTCTCTCTCTCTCTCTCTCTCTCTCTCTCTCTCTCTCAAACAAAAATCAAACAATCAAAGGAAAAATAAAATCAAGAGAAAACCAAACAAAACTCCCCAAAGCCCACAAAGACAACTGTTTTGGACAACTGTTCCTTGACCTGGAGCCTGCTCTTGTGTGTGATTGATATGACCAATGGCACTCCACTGGAGAACAAAGGTTTCCCATTTCCCATCTGGTATCACTTGCAAATAGCTTCTTGATTAGGTGTGGGACTTTGTGTTCACTTCCCCTTCTCAGTGCTGGGATTCTGTCTGCTCTGAACCTGTGTAGGCCGCATGCATGCTACCACAGTCTCTGTGTGTTCATACATGCTTCAGTCCTGTTGTGTATGGAAGACCGTGTTCTATTCAAGTCAGTCCACCATCTCTGGTTCTTCCAATCTTTCTGCCTCTTTTTCATAGACCCCCTGATCCTTGAGGGGATGGGGTTTGATGAAGACATCCCATTTAGGACTGAGTGCTCCGAAACATCTCACTCTTTGAACATTGCCCAGTTGTGGGTCTCTGTGCTAATTACTATCTACTGCAAGAAGCTTCTCCGATGAGCATTAAGCAATGCTCTGATCTGTGTATATAGCAATAAGTCATATCATTGCTATGATCCTTAGTAGAATAATAGTAGTAGTTTTTCCCTAGGGCCTATGACCTATTTAGTCTCAGGTTCTTTGCCACTTTAGAATACCATGTGTTGGTTCCATCTCATGGAGTGGGCCTTCAAATTCCAATCAGAAATGTGGTTGGTTATTCACATAACATTTGTGCCACTATTACACCAGCCTATCTTGCAGGTAGTTTGCTGTTGTAGATCACAGGTCCTGTATTTGGAAATGTATGATTACTTTTCTCCTCCAGTAGTGTGCAAAAGTATCTTCCTGTACCATAAACACTAGTCAGTTGGGGTGACGCCTCTAGTTGGGTCCAGATCAATTTCCCTATGTTCAGTGTCATAAAGAAGTTCTGTCTTTAGCAATAGGGCCTTACCATCTGCTTATGGAGAGTAACCAATAGAGTTGGCAATAGTCTGTGATGTTTGCGGTGGTGGTGTGGGACTTCTTTGGCCAATGACTCAGTAAGATACAACCCATTTCTAGCATTGGGTATTTTACTTGTAGGCACAATGTGTCTAGTTGGGGCACTGTCTCCACCATTATATGGTGACTCCATTTACATTCTTTTCATATGTGTGTGCATTTTAGGAAGTTTCTACAATAGTGGGTTTCTATGTGGCTCACCATCAAACGCCTTTGGTGTTAGTTGTAGGAAGGAAACATCCTTCATGGGTTAGCATTGCTGCAGTTCGGGATGCTCGTTTCATCATGTTTGAGTTACCACACTGATATCTTGAGTCACACTTGGATGCTGCTAGCTCTGTCCTGGCTGTGCTGGCATCTGAACCAGCCCTCTCTCGACACCAGATCCACCTTGTGCTTCTCGTTTAGTCATGCATTTGCTTCCTCATGCAGCTTCCACTCAGGGTTCTCCATGAAGCATGCTCCATGCCCCTGTAGAGCTGACATGCCACTGACTTTGTTACAGAGCTCAGACTTTAAATCTACACGCTCCAGATCACATGCGGCTCTAAATATTAAGTCTGGTGTGAAACACTATGTTCAGCAAATCTTAGTAAAATCAGATTTTAAAGACTTATTTTTAGGTTCCAAGACTGACAAGTGGATAATGATTTATTCTGCCATTTTCTTGTATTTGACAGCCAGCCAACTTACCCTGAACTTTTGCTCCTGCGGTTTCTCACTCACCATGACTTTTTTTAATAACCCTTGAGTTTCATAAGAAATGAGTAGAAGTGAGAAAAGAAAGGGCATGCTTCCGGACTTCCTCAAACTTATCCTCACATGCCTAACATTTGAGGGAGAATCTTGCAAGAACACCTGTAGTTCTGTCTCTGCCACTGGCGAACTCATATTCCGTACGTGACGTCACAGCGTACCTGTTCCCCACTGATCTGAGGCTTTTGGTCATGGCCTGTGGGCAGGCAGTTTTGAAGACATTGCTTTGCCTGTTACCCTGTCTCAGGATACAGCTTCCCTCCACACGTGCCCGAGTTCTTGAGCAGGTTTTATCTTTTACGTTCTATAATTAAGTCTCAGAGCCCCAACATTCCCAAACCTGCTACTGTAAGCCCAGATGAGCCCTTCTTTCTGTGGGATGCCTCCGCCATGGTATTTTAACACAGCAATGGAAAAGCAGCTAATCCAAAAGGAGCATCGTCTCGCCCCTGACTGCACCTCCTTCCTTCTCCCGAACTCTCTTATCTGACGCCTGCTGGTCCTGGATTTTGCCCCCCTTCTACTTTGAGCTCTTTCCATCTCTGGATTCTGGCTGGTGTGACCAGCTCCTGGAAGGCGCTGTCGTTTGTTGTAGCCTTTATGTCTGTGTGCACATTTCTCAGTAAGCTCCTCGGGGCGCCACACGTTGGTTCGGATGGTTGTTCTCACCGAGCAGGCTGCAGAACCTCTGCCCACCTCTCTCCTTCCTAACTCCGCCATCCACAGCCAGTAGCTGGAGTCTTCCCATGGCTTTTCATGCTGTTTCCTTTCTGCTGCTTCCTGGGAGCTCCTGGGGTCCTTAGGAGAAATCTTCATTATTTCTTTCTCCTCATGGTGAATCCTTCATTCTCCTGATCTGGTCATTTCTTTCTTCAAAGGAGATTTTTGTCTTTTCCATTCTTTGGCATTATAACCCAGAGCCTCTCGCTCTAGCCAAGATTTCTGCAACCCTGCCCCAGCTGACCAGCTTGTGTCTATGTCCGGCCCCTGGACACTGAGCTGAACATGGGCAAGCCAGCCTTTCTTGCCTTCTCTCAGTTAGCCTTCAGCTTCTGCGCTTGATGTCAAAATCTTGGAGCAGCTCTTTGAATTTTTTTTTTTAAAATTTTTTATTGTATATTTAAATTAGAAACAAGCTTGCTTCACACGTCAGTCCCAGCTCCCTCTCCCTCCCCTCCATGCCCACTCCCCCCACCAGTTCCCCCAGCCTCCCACCCAATCCCCACTCCATTCCCCAGGGAGGGTAAGTCTGTCATTTCATCCGGGGAGGGTTTAGGCCCTCCCCCATGTGCCCAGATTGAGAGAGCATCCCTCATTGTGGGTTGGGCGCCCAAAGTCCATTTGTGTGCCAGGGATCAATACTGATGTAGTACCCAAAGCCCCATAGTCTGGGGTCCAAGATCTCCCCCCTTGTTCAGGTCAGCTGTTTCTGTGGGTTTCACCAGCCCAGTTTTGACCCCTTTGCTCATCACTCCTCCCTCTCTGTCACTGGGTTCCAGGAGTTCAGTTCTGTGTTTAGCTGTGGGTGTCTGCCTCTGCTTCTGTCTATCACTGGATGGAGGTTCTATGATGGTATATAAGATAGTCGTCCAAACAGTTATCAGGGATGGGCATTTAATGTAGTCTCTCCACTATTGCTTAGTTTGCCAGTTGGTATCATCCTTGTAGGTCTCTGGAAATCTTTAAGTGAGTGGTGTCCCCGCATATGAGGGGCTCGGCGGCTGATGGGAGATAAGTGAGATCCTTTCCCAGTTGCCTTTTTGTTTTTTGTTTTTTTTTGGTGCAGCCTGCTGACACCCCAAGCAAACTCTTTCACTGCTTCCTTGCAGGTCCCCAACCAGGTAACACTAGCATAACACGGGAACTCTGCTGCTGTCTGCAGTAGGAAATGTGTCATGTCTTTGAAACAGTCAGCTGCCAGTTTTCTCAAGTTTGTGCCATTAATCGCTGGGAGCTGTCTGAACAAATAAAAACCTCTGTGTGCACCCCCCCACACACCAGTGACTTGTTCAGGGGTTGGCTCTTTATGTCCTGTTATTTATTTATGGAGTTTAGAAGTCACTAATAAATTGAAGTACAGTGTGAAAACTACATTACTTACTGGACTAAAAGGTTTTGCTTTTCTTTCCTGTTTTAAAGCTTTAATTCCAGATACTCCTGAGAGTTTGGATTTGTCTGCTGACTTCTCGACCTCCACGTTACACCTGAGGTGGAATGACAGAGGCTCTGCTTTCCCTTACCCCTGCAATGCCACCTGGGAAATCAAGGTCCTACAGAATCCGAGCATGGAACTCGTAAAATTAGTAAGTTGTGGCAAAAATACATTTCCCCGTGATACTAAAGAAACCCACAGCTTTTAAAGTTTTCAAGGTGGCATCCATGAGTTTTGGGGTTACTAAAGAACTAGGTCCTGTATGCTTCAGGGTTTTTCAAAAGTCACTGATGGGATGGCGGGATGATGGGATGGCGGGATGGTGGGATGGCGGGATGGTGGGCTGGCAGGATGATGGGATGGCGGGATGGTGGGATGGTGGGATGGCTCAGGGGTAAAAGCGTGAGCCATGGGAGCCCAAGAATCTGATCCCTGGAATGGTGGGAGGAAGGAACTGAATTGTGGAAGTTGTCCTCTGACCTCCGCGTGTACACTATAGCAAATTCATGCCGACACTTACATTTACAAACAATAACAAAAAAACTAATATTTTTTTTTTAAAAATCACTTGTGTAATAGAAAGTTTAAGAAATTAAGGGAGAACCATTTCCTGATTCCACCACTTGGATACAGTAAATGTCCAGCCTTTTAAATACACATGCCCTTGCAAAAATGAAATAAAAGCTTACTTTCAGTTTATTTTATGCACTCTGTTATTTTATCTTTGTTATTATATGTAAAATATTTAAAGCATTTAACCAAGATAATAGCTGAGAAATCAGTAAGCTTTTAAGTTCCCAGTCTGAAACATGGTTATATGCAGGACTTCTAGCTCTCCCCCAATCCAAACTCGGTATTTCAGTGGTTTCCTATGACTTTCACTTAACTTTATTCTTATTCTAAGACATGAGGAACAGGTAAGAAAAGTCAGACAGGTGACATGGACAAGAGGAATACTAGGCAGCAGCGTTTCATTTAAGGCACATAGTGTACACAGCCATGGAAAATGTCCCATGCACCTGAAGATGGGTAGAGGGAGGCCCTGAGCTATCCAGGACTACCCCACTCCCCACGTCTCTCCTTGGGAACCAGCTTGTGTTTGTGTAGAGACAGGGCCTTGAGGCAATTACAGGGCTCTTGCCGCAACCTTCCTAGTGCTAGATTACAGCTATGTCTAACTCCATTAGCCAATTCTTTCCATTAATTATCTCCATTTTCCCAGATAACATGCTTGCATTGCTATTTCTTCATAGTTTTCAGGAGTGTTTTATTAAGTGCCCCAGTGGAAGATGAGAGTCCTTCTTTCTTTTCCTAACTAATCATGTCTGAGGTTCCCTGGCTTCCTGGCTCCCTGGCTCCCTGCTCCCTTCCTCTCTCCATTCCCATCCTACTTTCCCAACTTCTTTAAATATAGTTGAGCTATTACAGGTAGAGTAATATTCTTAGTAGTACAGTTATGTAAATACTAGTTACAACCTTACCTTGTTACAGTACTACTGATATCTTTTTTTTTTTTTTTTTTTTCTGAGACAGAGTTTCTCTGTGGTTTTGGAGGCTGTCCTGGAACTAGCTCTTGTAAAGCAGGCTGGTCTCAAACTCAAAACTCACAGAGATCCTCCTGCCTCTGCCTCCCAAGTACTGGAATTAAAGGCATGCACCACTACCGTCCAGCCAGAACTTCTTGTATTTTGTTAAGTTTTATTTTTCCACTTAATTAATTCAATACTAATTTCTCTGTGGGTTGTATGAATGTCCTTAAAATGTTCCAATACAGTAGATAGTTTTCTCTGTTTATCTTTGTGTATAAATCTATCTGTGGCCCTCCTCCACAGACATGGATGGCATTTGTATAGCAGAGTGGTAAATTGCCAAGGCAGTAATTTCAGCTTCAATTATCAGAAGATTAACAAGCCTGGTATTGTAATGCAGATGGTGACAATTGGAAGCTTCATCTATTGCTTTGGGAAGTGTGAAAGGCTAGCAAGGGAAACACGGGTACAGCATGCCTTGTGTAGGGTTGCTAGATGTAGTTTACAGGCTGGGGAGTGTTATCAAGGTTTTGAAGGTAGTGTTCCCCTTTTACTCAGTGTGGCTATAGCTCCATCTACATCGCTGAGCATCGAGGGGCTCACTGCAGTTTAGTCTGTTACCCTAGGAACTTGGCTTATTTCTTTGGTTTCTCATTCTATGGTTTTTTTCTTATTTTTTCTTTTTTCTTAGAACCTGTCTTGAGAAAATGGACTGGTTTTCTGGTTGTCTTGTTTTTCTTGTTTCCTGTCTTCCTTTTGCCTTATTTTCCTTTTGTGCCGTCCCTCTCTTTGGCTTTATTTCTTCAAGATACAGTCTTTCCTCTATGAGAATATGGAAATCACTTCTATAGTAATATATATCCTTAGTTGTTTTGTTGGACGTTTTGATGTGTGTCAACATCTGTATGGTATTTCAGTAGGACCTAATTGGACAATATTTGTGTTCGTGTAACTTTCTTGTTATACTCTATAATAGCAGTTCTCAACCTGTGGGTCTTGACTCTTTTGCTATCTCAGGGATCACATACCAGATATCCTACTTATCAGATATTTACATTACGATTCATAACAGTAGCAAATTATAAAGCAGCAACAAAAGTAATTTTATGGCAGGGGCTTACCACAACATGAGGTACTTCATTTAACGGTCACAGCATTTAGGACAGTTGAGAACCGCTGCTTTATAGAAAACAGGCCAATGTACAAATACGGGCAGACCATTTACCTTTATAAGATTACTCTGTGGCTGGTTGCACATAGCCTATGAGGTCTTTTTGTTTGATTTTTGTTTTTCCTGGAGAAAGGCAGAACGTACCACTGTTCAGAAGCACAATTTTGTGTTTATTTTCAGGTATCATTCAACACAACCCTGAGCGGTCGAGATATAGTTCACCATTGGAATTGGACCTCAGACCTGCCCTTACAATGTGCTACTCACTCTGTGGGGATTAGATGGTACATCGACTATAATCGTTTCTCTGGCTATAAAGTGTGGAGTGACTGGAGCCCTCTGAAGAACGTTTCTTGTAAGCTTACCCTTACAGACCCTTGTTCCTCGTGAGGTAGATTGCGGAAGAGTAAGGGTTAGCGTATGCTCTTTCTTTTCTGAATCTCAGTAGTTATCTTCTTCTAAAGTAGCCACCCCAGAACTGTGGGTTAAAGTCTGAGACTGGCCCCAGCAGGCTGTGCTAAGTACCATTTGTCTAGTAAATAGAACTCTCATACCAGGTGTTTGCAAAGTGCTGGCAGAACGAGTGGGGGCCAGGGTCGTCCGTGCCAATCAGATGAGGTCTAGAAAATGTTTGGTGTTCATTGCAGGTGGACACTCTCTGGAGCAACATCAGATAAGGAAGGACCGGAAGCAGCTGGATAAATAAGGAGACTCTAGGGCAGTTGAGCAAGACACTGTAAATATAACTCAGGCCAGCTGAGTTTAGACATAAGAGGGATGCGATGTGAGAGGCAGATGCAGATTTGGGGCGTAGGTGCTTATGGAGAGAGAGAAGCTGAGCCAACAGTGTCTGTTACTCTGGGTGACTGGGGAGACTGTTCTCAGAGAAGCCAAATATAAGAACCAGTTGGGTAGAGAAGGGCAATTTCATCTTTAATATGCTGAGCCTGAAACAGCGAGGTTGGAAATATCAATTGGGAATCCAGAGACATGGGTGTAGCTGGAAATGCCCCTTCGGGAATCACAGATACGTATATGATTTGAAGCGCTTAAATTCTGAAGGTCAGTTTATCTTTGGAAAGGGGAATTGGAAGCTTGGAGGCTTCCTGTTAGAAGCTTTCTTGTCTGCAGAAATACTGAAGGAAGGCCAATAGTAGCCCAGAGAGTTCAGTGTGTAGGAACCCACGAGAGGAGGGAGTTTGGACGATAAATCAGAAGGGGCCCTTGGACTAAACATGTGTCCAGTGATCCACTTCAGTAGATTAGTGGAGGTAGAAGCCAGATGGCAGAGATGAGAGGGGGCGGGTAGAAAGGTGACCGAGGCCACTGTATAAAGATCAGGTGTTGTGCATGGAGCTAGGGTTGGTGACCTTAACCTGCAGAGTTATGATTAAAGAACCAGCTGTCAGGATGTGGAGTTCTTCCAACTTGTTGGGTGGTGAAAAGTAAATCTACTCCAAAAGCACAGGATAGTTTCAAAGAAATAAACCTACGTATTGAGTGATATTTTCTTGTGCAAACATTAGCCTGTGACCATCAATATTGACCTGTGATCTGTTTCTGTCCTTGGCTAAGTAAATAAGGCCACAGTTTCATTTCTTGTCTGTATCATACTCCTTTGAAACCCAAGAGACCTGCATTATTTCCCATCTACAGTATGTTTTGTGGATACTGAACTAGTTTAAGCTCATTTTAGTAGTCAAGTGTGGTGGATTATACCTATAATCCCAGCACTCAGAAGAGATAGGATTGCTGCAAGCTTTAGGCCAGCCTTGGCTTCATGGTGAATTTCAAGCCAACCTGAGCTACAGAAGAATACCTTGTTTCAAAATAATAAAAATAAGGGGCTCTGTTGGTAAAGTGTCTTCCAATCAGGCAGTTCTGTGACCCCAAGTTTGGATCCCCAGCACCTGCCTTAAAGCTGGGCATGGTAACATTTGCAACCCTGGCTCTCCAAGGATGGATGCAGGCAAATCAGGGGAGCTTTTTCTTCAGTCTAGCTTAGTCGATGAGGTCCAGGTTCAGTGGGAGCCCCTATCTCAAAAAATAAAATGGAGAAACATTGAGAAAGATTCCCCATGTCAACTTGTGGTCTCCACACATGCAGACTCCCACATGAATACATGTGTACTTCGCAACCTACAAAAGTAGATAAAAATAAGTAAGTAAAAATAAAAATCATCCTAGGAGGCCAAAAATAAGATGTTCTAAGGAGACTGTTTTGTGTAAAAAATGTCTGAAATCTCTCATTTCTTTCTAGGGACTCCTAATTCTGAGACCAATGTTTTCCCTCAAGACAAAGTGATTCTTGCAGGTTCAGACATAACATTTTGTTGTGTAAGCCAAACAAAAGTGCTGTCGGGACAGATTGGCAAGACATTTTGTCCTCTTATCCATCTTTATGGGGAAAACGTTGCAATCCATATCCGGAATATTTCCGTTTCTGAAAACAGTGGAACAAACGTGGTTTTCACAACAGAAGATAATGTATATGGAACGGTTGTCTTTGCAGGCTGTAAGTATATCATGTCCAATAGTTCCTCTTAGCCTACATTGGTCCCCTTCTAACATAAATTTCTTTCCTGCTAGCTGGTTCTGTTTCTTCTTATTTCCTTTTCACTAGTACAAATACTATACAAAGGCTCTAGAACGCTTGTGTAGAAGCCTGGAACTTATTTCCTACATACCTATTCCTATATAGTTCTAAGTTCATAATAAGGTTGAGACATCTAATAACTGAAGTTTAGTTTAAATTCCTAACTTCGTAGTTGATTCAAAGTCCTTAGTATGTGTAGTATTTCTTAATTGGACATAGCTTAGGAGTATAATGTTCACATTAGTTTCCCATTTAACTAATGTAAACTCATAAGTACTGTGTTTAAATACTATGGTGATTTTGATAGCATACTGTGTCTTTCTCAACACTTAAAGTAGCATGTTTGAGGACAACAACAAAGGGCGAGAAGCCTCATTCTTCATTAAGTCTGCCTGGGATGTGGGTGCCCTTGCTCAGGGAGACCCTTGTTAAGGTGATTGACCACTCTGCAGCCTATAGTATGTCTCGATGTGGTGGCGGACTGCTCTGCCAATGCAGCCTGTCCTTTGATACTTCTGAGCTTAGGACTTTTAGTTTTGACCTTGAACTTTCTACCTCCTCCCGTATGGTGCTACCTATGGCATGATGACCTTGGCTCTGGTACTGTGAATGTTTAAGTTCTGAGTTTTGTCTCTGGGTCTCATATTAAAGGCGTGTGAGACAGCTGAGTAGGCTTTGTTAAGATTCTTCACTCTGTTCTAGTGATTCCTCGTTTATAACTTAGAGATCAGCCTGTATCTGCTATAGGGTAGGATTAAAGATGCATGTCACCATGGCCCCACTGAATAGCTTTTTAAAAGTTTGTATTTTATGTTTGCTGGTGTATTAAAAATGGGTGATTTGTATCTAGATTTACCTAACTTCAATATAATTCCTTGATAAGTTAAATTGTTTGGTAAGAAATTCAGTACATTTCAAACGTTGTCCTCTCTCTTTTTTTTTCTCTTGTCACACTCCTACTTCTTTTTAATTTTGTCTTATTATTTGGACTTTAAGTAGATTACTTTAATATGCATACTCCACATCCTAAAATAATCATCACTATAAATGTATTCCAGATTTTTAGCATGTAATTTTAATAAAGTGGTGGGTAACTTTGCCTTTGGTTTAAGATGACTTTCAAGATAAGCATACCAATGTTTATTTAACTGTATAATTGTAAAACATTCACTAATCATCCTCAGTATTAGCTACAATGTCATTGGAGGAGCCCAGGAAACCTCAGCAAGTAAGGACACTCACCACACAATCCTGTGACTGTGATCCTTGGAAGCCACATGAAGATAGAAGGAGAGCGGCAACTCCACCCAGCCGTCCTCTGATCTCCACACATGCTCCATGGCACACATGCCCCATACACCATGCACACATGCAATATTAATAAAGAAAAGATTTGAAACATTACTGGGATCCCTAGGATGAGTAGAGAAAAATTTGTATTTTGGTTGACAATCTGAAAAATTCAGTTCCTTCAAAAGCAAAATTACTTTTACATAGTTTTTCAGTAGACAGATAAATGGTTTTTAACTTTCACAGAAAATGAAAAATATTTGTATAAATGTTGCATTAGGATTGATCAGTGTCTGTTTGTGTTTGGTTATACATGGTGATAGAGATCGGTTTCTATAATAAAGTGCCAGACTATGGCATTTTTAGATGTCCCTATGAAGTTTTTACACCTTCCTCCTAGAATTGACCTTTTTCTTTTTCCTTTGCCCCAAAGTAAAGGCAGAGCAAAAAGTTTCTGTGAGCATCTGCCACTGTGCTTAGCATGCTCGACGGTTCTTTCCCAGTCACGGTGTGCAAACAGATGGGAGATGATGGTAGTTCCAAACTGTAGATTCTGATGACTTAGCTTGGAAGACTTTCAAGTAAAGCTTATGGAAAAAGAAATTCAATTCATTTCTCAACTTGCTCTTGGGAATTTAAACAGGAGCTGAGTTGAGAGTCACCCTCTAGAGTGTTTCAATCCACTGTTTCTAATGCAATACAAACTGCAACAACACATCTTGCAGAAACAGTGATAATTGCTGCCCGTTTCAAAGGAGGAAATGTATAAACAGCTAACTATTTTAAGGGAGTTATGCAAAATCTCATGTAACACACTATAAAACTGCAGTTTAGGGGGGAGAATAAATGTAACTACTTTGTTTTCCTTTTTCCTTTTAGATCCACCCGACATTCCTCAGAAACTGAATTGTGAGACACATGATTTTAAAGAGATTATCTGTAGTTGGAATCCAGGAAGGCCAACAGGACTGGTGGGCCCGCGGAATACAGACTACACTTTATCTGAAAGGTAATGGTAACCAGGAAAGGGTGTTGGTGGCAAGAGCCTTGAGAGGACCCGTTGAGTGACACAGGGGAGTCTGGTACACTGCTGTCATGCCGTGCACACGCTGTGTTGGAATCATATGTACTGATCCTCGAGCAGGTGCAATTCTGTGACTCCTCTGTCTGAAGCCCAGCAGAAGGGCCCCAGATAAAGTCTGTCTAGGTGGTGGCTTATGCCTGGCTATTTCCTATATCACACATCGTTTCCTTGAGTTTGTGATCAGTCTGTAATTGGGAACAAAGTTTTTATAACAATTAGTAGAAATCTGCCCACGTTTTCCCCTTCACAATATTTACATCTTTCTGTCCTGAAATTAATTTTCTTTGTAACTGACAGCATTTCGGGAAAATCCGTCCCATTTAAAAGGTTTGAAACTCTGACAAATGAAAGCTACCGTTTAGCCTTCCAAATGCTTCCAGGCCAAGAAATCCATAACTTCACCCTAACTGGTCGCAATCCACTGGGACACGCAGAATCAGCAGTTTTCATCAACATAACTGAACGAGGTGAGCCGCTGTTGCCAGCCAGAGTCTATAAATAACCACAATAAAAATAACACGTGACATGCCTTGGGATTCATGAAAAGTGACTATGGGGATTAGTGTGCATTGGTTATTTTCTTTGGAGTTTTTTCAATTTTGTAATTAATTAATAAATTTTATAATTTTATTTTAAAGCATTAAAATGAGTAACTTCAAATTTGATGGTTATTTTGATTTGAAAAAAATTGAGTCATTTAGATGACAACTACATACATGACTTTGTCTACTCATTCTTGATTTCTGAACTTTTTTTGACTAGTTCTTGAGAACATTTACTTCGAAATATTTTTTTGACTCAGAAGTTATTGCAAAAATAATGAATTACAACTTTAATCCTCCTGCCTTTCCCCAGTGACGACAATAAAACCAGTAAGGTGACCAGTGCATATCATTCTCTAGGCTACTAACCTAAGTGACTCTTTTTGCTCGGTTTTATGTCATTCACTAGAGCATGTGTTCAAACGTGCTGAAGGGACAACACGGGGGAGTTCCTTCGTATTGCCTGGGCAGTGTGTATCTCAGTGACTGATGGTGGTTACCTGTGTCTTTACACAGATATATCCTCTCGCTGTCTGTCTCTGTTTCGGTCTCTCTGCCAAATTGCACCAGCTACCCCTTCCTCATCCCCATTTTGTCATTTTGAGTATATTTCAAACGAAACTGCAGTGTATAACCATTTGAGACTGGCATTTCTTAGGATAGTATCCCCAAGAGACATTCATTTTGTTTGTTATTAGTTATTAACTTCTTTCTATACCAGTGATTTCTGATTTTTTTCCCTTTGGCCAATAATACACAGCTCAGAATAGAAATAGGATATGTTTAGTCTTTTTGTGGTTGCCCCATCAGCTCAAATACACTAACTTCATGCCAGGTTCATCCATATCCTCAGACCTCACGGAGACTGGAGGAAGAAAGGATTAAAAACACATGCTTTATCAATCATTTCCTGTCCCGTCCTAGAGTCAAAGGCTACCTTTTGTAGCTGAAGGTATTGCTGGCATTTGTCTGCCTTCAGCTTTTCTCTCATCCTCCCTGTGTGTGGTTTCTTCCTTGGCGTCTCCGAGTTAACAGTGGCTGTAAGCCCCCCTGCATCCCGAGCCACACTGCAGTCCCGTGGCAGTCAGCAGCAATGCCACACACATACCTGGGACAGATGGCTGTCAGTCATTCTTCGTATTTGTCATTCTCTGTGTACACTACAAGTCTCTTAAACTTTGATCTTCCTGCCACCTGGCATTCCCCGCATCAGATGAACAGCCCTGAGCACAGCTGGTTCTTTGAGAGCGTTGGTATGATATCAACAGTAAAAATGAGGTTCCTGGCTTCCATACAGACGATATTGATTTGGGGCATTAATAATACCCCGTTAATCTTCTTCCCCCACCACAAGCCCACTTACTTCAGTTCTGGTTTGTCTTACTAGGGGAAACCTTTTCACCCTAAACATTTATAGGCCTTAATCTTTGTAATTCCGTTTACAGTCGCTCCTCATGTACCTGTTTCATTGAGAGTGAAGGACATCAGTTCGACAGTTGTTACACTTTCCTGGCATTTGCCAGGAAATTTTGCAAAGATTAATCTCTTATGTCAAGTTGAAATTTGTAAAGCTAGTTCCGAACGAGAAGTGGTAAGTAAAATTCTCCTATAAACTTTCCTTCTGGTTATTATAAGCAAAACACCCAGTTTCAAAAAATAATTAAACAAACTGATGTGTTTAAACTCTCAAAATATGTATTACAGAGATTTACTAAACCAAGAAAGACCTTACATACAAATGTAATAGCAGCATTGTAATTTGCATTTGAAACAATTAAAAAACTGGACAGTAAAGAATATAACTTCAACCTATGCTGTTCAGGATACTGTCAGGATTAGTGTATGACAACCTGCTTGTATCTTGGTACGCAATAAGTTTTGTGATTAAGAATTAGCTTTGACTGTAGCCTTTGACTAACTGACACAACAGAATAGGAGGGAATTTTAAATTATTAAGTATATCAGTGGAAGTAAGTTGTAATTGGTAGTTATAAGTTAAAACATAACTTTTAAATACATTTAAAATAATTAGGTTGACTTATACTGTACCCTTTTGTAATTTGTGGTTGACTCTGAAATAAATGGTACTGTAGTTGAACATTAATTTGGAAATTCACTGGTTTCTGTAAAAGCATTCAGAAGTGCACAGTGTGACTTGCAAAAACCACTTTGTAACAAGCAGCTGAGAGTTCAGAGATTTTCCTGGCACATTCATCTTCAAATTTATGTAAAAATGCTTCATTTTAATTATTTATTTTCATTGAATTTTTTTTTGTCTTTTTGCTATATGCTCAGTACTGTCCTAGAGGCCTTAGGTGATATAGATACACACACACTTGCCTCTAGGATGAATTCCAGTATCCAGTATTAATTGATTATCAAGATAATATCTGTATAATTTAACTGACCTTTATTATTTAGATTTAATAATTAGATTAAAAATGCATCCCGATATTTTATTGGCTGTTATGTGTTAGGTCCCAAGAAATTTCTTTTCTCAAAGACTGTCATTTAGACAAAAGCCAGCATTCTCTTGGGGACTTAAGAGACTAGTTCCTACTTAGGAATGTATGGCTCCTCCATTAACCTATGCCTGCGGTGCCTATTAGCATATCAAGATCCTTGCTAGCCTCTAGACTTCACTCAGGCCCTACTCACAAGTATCTATTACAGAGTCATCCTGGCTGGCTTATCCCACCCCTCCCGTAAACCTCTCTAGCCCCTGAAGCTTCCCTTCCCCCAGCTTCTCTTATTCCTATGTAACCCAACCCTTTTGGCTGCATGGTCTCTTGGGTTCCCATGTGTTCTCTGGGTTCCCTCTCTCCTCTCTTCCTCTCTTGTCCCCCACCCCCATGGCGGGTCTCTTCAATCTAGCTGTGTTCCCCTCGTACCAACAGTGAAATCCTTCTCTTCAGCCATACCTAGGAGCGGTCATGTGCTCACTTTTATTTGCTATGGAGTACTATGTCTATTGACATAGTACTCCATTGTTCTAATTGTAAACTGGTGTGACATTTGGTGGGTTTATGTTACAAGTGTAGACTGGTTTTACACCAAAAAGTACAATGTGTGTGGGCATATTATGCATTTATACACGCATGGCATTGGCATACACACAGAAGCACCCATATATATTTACTGGTTTTCAAATAGCGGAATGCCACAATCAAAGGAGCCGAGGAGTCAAGTTATCTTGTTGCTGTGGACAAATTAAACCCATATACTCTGTATACTTTTCGGGTTCGTTGTTCTACTGAGACTTTCTGGAAATGGAGCAAGTGGAGTAATGAAAAGAGACATTTAACCACGGAGGCCAGTAAGTGATGCTGTGGCTAACTACTAATGGGGAGATGGGAGGATACAAGATACCCAGGGACAGTCACATGACCACGAAGGTGATTTTAACCCATTTTCTGGGTTCTGTAGAAGATGAGAGCTTAGCTTCATTTAGCATTTCTCTGTGGCTTCACTTTATAAATGGAAGCCATATTTTATGGATAATTCTAGGTGTCCTAGAGTGGAGTTCCAAGCACCCCCATTAGTCACCAATACTGTCCATGGCCTTGCAGTTTGTGTCTTTAAATTCTGAGTTGTAAATCTCTTTCCTAGTTCCTTCACGGGGACCAGATACTTGGAGAGAGTGGAGCTCTGATGGAAAAAACTTAATAATCTATTGGAAGGTAAATATCTATTGTTGCCTTGGGTGCTTAATTTTTTCTCAAATGCTTAATTACAAATGGTAACTTCATTTTTGTGAATACTTTACATTTTATTTGTGTATGTAATATTCAGCATAATAAATGGTCCATAAAATACAAAGCATTGAAATGCATACAAGGAGCCGAGGCTTCCCAGACTGGCTAAGTTTGCCATCTGCCAACCCGTGTTTCCCATCACTCCTGATTCCCCAGGCACTGGAAGAGGGTCTTGTCTCAGTCTTGAGCACCCTGAATTGAGCCTGTGAGGCCTGTAACACCATGTGTGCCGAGAGTTCCGAAGAAAACTTGCGGAAATTGTTTCCTCTACCTTGTGGGTCCCAGGGATTGAACTTAGGTCTTCAGGCTTGGCACCAAACACCCTTACCTGCTGAGCCGTCTTGCCAGCCCTTCTTTCCGTTTTTGCGTATTTCCTGGTGTATTTGTAGCAGTCATGCAGTATGTAAAAGGAGAAAAGCATATGTATGCTAGAACACCATGCCACACTGCTTTGTTTCCTCCAGTAGATCAGTCTTACATTTTTGCTTCTGGAAACTATAAAAATAAGCAGTTTTCTATTACTTCACATTCAAATATCTGTGGACTTTCAAATCTTAGTAAGAAGTGTGGTTCTTTTTCAGTATTTCATGGCTATTTTTTCCCAATGGCCTCAGTGGATTTTAAAATTTGAGTTACATACTATTGATAGCTTCATATTTTATTGTCACTTTTATTGAGAACTTAGCCCCGGTTCAGGCATGATGACCTTGCAACTTTCGAAAATTTTAATGACAGAATTTGTTTTTCTGTTTTTTGTAGCCTTTACCCATTAATGAAGCCAATGGAAAAATACTTTCCTATAATGTATCATGTTCATCAAATGAGGAGACACAGTCCCTTTCTGAGATCCTTGATCCTCAACACAGAGCAGAGATACAGCTTGAAAAAAGTGACTACATCATCAGTGTGGTGGCAAAAAATTCTGCTGGCTCATCACCGCCTTCTAAGATAGCTAGTATGGAAATCCCAAATGGTGAGTGCCTGGGCGAACTTCCGGGAGCAATGGAAATGGAAACCCTTGGTGTTGCTTGCTCTTACATGGTCCAGCCATCCTCATGTAGCCTGCTCCTCCCATCCTATTTGCATATATGCATATGGAGGGCTGAACACACGCTACACATTGGGAGATGCAGTCAGCAGTATTTTTTGCTATTTGGTTCAGGCTAGCCTCGAACACATTAGATAACCAGGCTGGACTTGAACAAGGCAGTCTCCTGCCCCAGTCTCTTACCTTAGGACACCCAGGAGGGTGTCCTCAGCATTGACTTGAAGCGTATAAACGTGTGAAAGGTAATAATTACTGTATCTAATTTTACTTTGTCATAGAGCATGAAAAGTTCTGGTTGTGGATAGTAATCTTAGAAAGAAATGCTTTAACTGTTTGCTCAAAGATCATTTAAAAATATCTTTCCAAGACTAAGAGTTTCTGTTGCCACTCTATTTTTGCAGTCTGTTGGGCAGGGAAAAAGATACTTGTTTTGATTGGCAGCTTATGGTAAAATGGTAAAATTGTGTGTGTTTTTTTGTTGTAATTGTTTATAGTCTTCTTTATAAATAAGGCCTTGTATAGTCCAGGCTGGCCTGGAACTTGCTATATAGCTAAGGATGACCTTCAACTCCTAATTCACCAGCCTCCAAACCCAGCATAGAAATTCTTCATATTTATAAGAAAAATTTTAAAGGCTAAAATAGATCATTAATAAGGGTTTTGAAAACCCAAAATCCACATGATGTAATTTAAAAATTCTAGTGTTTTCCTCTAAATTGTACCTAGATTGCCAGTGACTTGCCACAAAATGCTTTCACATGGACTTACTATAGTATATATTAAGTGCACAAAGCAGGACATTTGAACTTGATGTTTTTACACATACATACATAACACACTTGGATCATCTTTACCCTTTGGTATCCTTTACTAGGCCCATCTCCCCCTGCCTTCCTCTTCCTCAACGCTGGGCAGCTTTCAGTTCCTTCCTAACTCTTTTGCTGTCCTTCCCCAGTATGGGGACAGCTTTTTTGAGGTCACTCTGACAGAAAGAAAAACAGTCTGGTTAGGTCCCTCGAGTGTCCCTCAGCGCTTGGTTGAGGTGGTTTCTTGATGCTGACCTGGTTTGTTGATTTGTCCTAGGCACTGACCACAGAGCAGTATGAGGCAGGAATGTATAGCAGGATTGTTTCAAAGACTCAGCCACGCCCAGACCGAAGCACAGCCCTAAACCTAGGCAATGGATGGTGTGGCGTGTGCAGGGAAACGGTCAGAACAAGGCGTCCAGTGACCCCTCATTTGGACCTTTGCAGACTGCAGTTGTGTTGTGTCGTCTTTAGTTACTGTGCTGTCTAACCGGAGCGTTCTCATCTTACCTATTTGTGTGTCCTTGAGAAGGTGGTTTATGATGTAACTGCAGTCACAGCTTGCACAGTTCCATCCAGCGGGCCACAGCTCTGTCTCCCAGGTCAGAGGCTACACAGCCTCAGCTCACATTTACATTGCAACTCTGGAAACTCATGGAGCCAGAAAGCTGTCTTACATCCGAACCCTTCTGTATTCTACACCAGGGGCTCATCTAGTATTCAGGAGTAACTACTTTATGAGCACACATTTATTTGGAAATACTTCCCGTATATGACTTTTTTTTTTTAAACCAAACCCTTAAATACAGATTATTTGGAGAGGTCATTCTTTTTTCGTGTCTACCCCTCCTTTCTTGGCCATACTATGCTGCCCTCCACCCTGGTCCCTCACACCTCACCTCTGTCCTGACTTATCCCTTAGGCCCAGCTCTATCAGAAAAGAAAGCAAACTTGCCACAGCCACAGTGTCTGCCCTCACTCCCCAGTGTGCACATCCCCCCACCCCCCAGCACCTCAGGGTCTCTGGAAAATGTCTCTGCCCACAGTGGCCATCCCATCGCGTGGTTTTGCTGCATTAGCTATTCTCCACTCTCCGCACCGCCTCGTGACGGTCCCCTCAGCCCAGTGTTTGGGTTGGGATGCGATGCGTGAGTCCTGGAAAGCAGATGGTCAGCTCTTCATTTCTGGGTACTCTGTCCATCCGCATGCTCTGTGTGACTCCTTTTCCCATGGAGTTCTGCTCATCATGGATGTTGAACGCAAGAGTTAATTGTTTCCTGGCCCTTCCCCAGCGTCCTGCCTCCTCTCATTCAACACATCCATGCTCATCCCAGTGCCAGCCTTAACCCCCAGTATGTGTCTACCTGGTTCTAGAAGATTCTCTATTCTCTCCTCAGCTTCCATGCAGTTTATTTTCTGGATAAAGGTAAATGCTATAGCCATTCCAATAAGGTTAACACTGCAACACGTCTTTGCTAAACATCAATATCTAGTTCAACCACTATTTTAGAATTCACCTACAGTGAAATAATTTTTGTAACTACTGTTCATTTTCTTGAGGCTTGCCTTCTGGTATTTCTCTGACTGCTGATAAAATGTCCTTCTTTTCTTGCTGAAGATGATATCATAGTAGAGCAAGCCGTTGGAATGGGAAAGAGGATCTTCCTCTCCTGGCATCCTGACCCCAACATGACCTGCGACTACGTAATTAAGTGGTGCAACTCCTCTCGTTCTGAGCCCTGCCTCATGGACTGGATAAAGGTTCCTTCAAACAGCACCAAGACTGTAATAGAATCTGGTAAGAAGAATTCATGACTCTCCAAAGCCTTCAAGGGTGGACTTTGCAAAGCCACACCTTGATGTGACTAGATGCCTGGGCAGGCATGACTTGCTTTCACTTAATTCAGTGTAGCTTGTGGCATGTGTATGAAAAAGACTAACCTTTGGAGTTGGGTTTTCCTTGTCCAGGAACTGACTCAGATTGGTCATCAAAGAGCAGCATAGAGTTGCATTTGGGTAAATTGTGGTTTTTGTTTCTTGAACGTAGGGCCTCAAACTCAGAGGTCACCTGCTGTTTCTGCTGAAATAAAAAGTGTGCTCCACCATACCCAGCATTGAAAGTGCTCTTGAAAGTATTGTTTGTAATCTGAAAATTATAGATAAATAGCAGATACTGGAATCAATGGTGGTATGCTGATAAAATAGACTTCAGTAGGGATAACAGTTATGTCAAATATGAAACAACACAGAAAATACTTCCAAACGAAGAAGACAACATAGTCAGTGCCCCTTTGCCTTAGTTTGTCCAGCATGCAGGCTATTGAGGCCTTGCTACCACCATCAACACTTCCCTGATACGGGGACAGAGGGCAGCTATGTAGAAACAGGCACGGAGTAGGTTCAGCTTCCTCACTGAGCAACTCATTGCTGGTGAGCCTGGTGACATGAGCCACCCTTGGAAGGTGCAACTTGAGAAATGTGGCACCCAGGGAAGCTTTGATCCCACAGACTAACCCTGCAACTCCTTTGGAAGCAGAGGCCTCCCTCCTTGCTCTGCTGTCATGCCTTCTGCTGAACTAGTGTGTGCCTGCACCTGTGGGGTTTCCTTGGGCCAGTAGGAGGTCTGTAGGTCATGATACTTCTTGAGACATCAGCTCCTGGTCCTTCCTCAAGTGTTGGTGAAGTAAGCTGGAGAGTAAGGGCCCCAGTTGCTTCTGTCCCTAAAACAGATTCTGCTTGTTTACTGTTTGGGAACACTGTCAATGGGTAAAGGATTCCCCTCATTGGTTAACTACATACGGATGAGTTCAGATAATTTCCCTTCGCTTGGACACTTCTGCAGTTGACTAAAGTCGGGATGGCCTCCTGAGTTACTTCCTTTCTCCTCTGGCCAACTTCCGCCCTCCGTCTGTCTCATCCCTGCACCTGCCCTCAATTCCTCTCCTGTGGGACTGTCTTGACTAAGTCTCACACTGAGCCTCTGGTCTCTACTCTCCCTCCTGGGATTTCAGAAGTGGGGTGTACTAGCACGGGGCAGTGTGGGCAGGGTCCCTGGGAGAACAAATTGTGACTGAGGTCCCTCAGGAGAGGGAGAAGCCTCTGTAAAAACTGCCACTGTGTATGAGCAGGGTCTGTGCAGTGGCTGAGAAGACAAAGGCACAGAGTACTTGGGCAAATGCCTGGCTCACACAGTTAGGGTGCAGTGGAGCCAGAATTCAAATGCAGCACTACTCTGAGCTTCAAAGGCTGGGACTGGGCTTTTATTTCCTGCTGAGCTTCTGGGCAGAACCCTTCTCTCATTCTCCTGTGCTGCTTCCTCTCCTTCAACTCGCCACTCTCTTTTACCATGTCTGCATCACCCATCCGTCCCTTTTAAGTGCATACTCTACTCAATTTCGATAATACAGAATTTTACCATAAGACGGGGTATGGGTCTACATGCAGTACAAAACCGTAACCTCAAGTATACCTTTCCCGCAATGAAGAAAGGCACAAATTGGAATGCACTTAGCGGAGTTGAACTTTCCATCAATATTTACTTAGTACTTGGAAGCACAAAGCAAACACTTGAGAAAAAATAGTATCTGGAGAAAAGCTAGAGACAAAACTTCAGTTCCCTTTCGAGCATGCAGTTTTGAGGTCGACGATGTCACTGTGACCTGTGGAGTTTAGGTGTTCTTTGGGCATGCAGCTGAAGGAACCGTTCAGTTAGCCACACTGGAATGGTTGTTCCACATAGCAACTGGTACCTCCTGCATTGTCAGGACTTTATTAAGGCATTATCTTCTTCCAAGGTGAGAGAGCCTCTTGACCGCTCTCCACCATCCTCTTCAAAGCTCACTTTGAGTGGCTTGTTGCGATCTTCATGGACTCGAATTAGTATTTCCCTTAAGGTCCCACACATGAGAATCACGGTTACTCCTGCTCTTGTGTCTTCCCGATGCTTGCCAGCCTCTCCATGTGGGGAATGTGGCTCTGTGCACTTCTGTGTTTCTCACGTCTCACATGTTTTGTTGAGAGGTGTGACTGATGACATTAAAAGGTGCTTCATGAGCTGAAGAAAGAATCAACTAGAAGGGGATGGGGTGCACACCAGGGAGGTTGGGGCAAGAGACCCCAGGATTAGCGTGTGAAGATACCATGATGGTTTAACTTCATGTGCTAACCTGAAAAAAAATAATTTTTGAGCAAAGTAAAGATACTTCCTTGTGTGTCTTGCTCAGTGAGTGTTAGAAACAGAAACAGGCTCCAAGGCCTGGCTCCTTTCTTTGTCCCTGAAGCTTTGAGCTAGAGTAGAGTTTTTCATGCTCTGGGACTAGGGGAGAGATGTCTTTCTTGCTCATAGGAAAGCAAAAGCATTTGTTAACACACTGTGACCACGCAGCAGCACAGTGAACGGACTGGATGGCCTCTGGGTGAGCCTCAGCCATCTTTTTTCTCCTCAGTGTCATCCTGTGAGTGAGCAGCTTTTCATTATTTTAAAAGGGAAGGTGTTCAAGTTTTGTTTAACACTCCTAAGTTTTTACCAACTTAATTTTAAAAAGTATCAGTGTGTTTTTATAATAAATCTGTTTGCAGTTATATTAGACAATTTTAGCATGTTATACATTTTAATGCTTCTAAAATAAATAGTATATACACTTATGAAGGTCCATTAATTTTGTTCATTCTACAGATCAGTTTCAGCCAGGAGTAAGATACAATTTTTACCTCTATGGGTGTACTAACCAGGGATACCAATTGTTACGTTCCATAATTGGATATATAGAAGAATTAGGTAAGTTAAATGGGTGAGTTATTTGAAGTTTGGCTAACATGAGAAATTATACATAGGCAAGTAGCAAGAGTTAGTCTCCAAAATATATTGAATTTAGTTATTTAGATAAAATAATTTCTAACACAAAATTAAAATTTTTTATCACTTATTCGCCACCTACTTGTTTATTTCACAGTTTCAGTACTGACATTGAGAAAGTTAAATCATGACTATCAAAGTACTTGGTTTGTGTTTACAGAAGAGAAGCTTAAACTTGGAAATGTATCTAGGACTAAACAAATAGGAGAAGATGTATGAAGTCTGTTTGAGTGGTCACTTAAAGAGGTGGCACAGGTTATCCCCTGGGTGTGTGTCGTGTGTGAAGTCTGTGATTCCTTCCTGAGCTCTGCTGGTCATTAGTGTAGAAGTGTTGTTCCATTGCCTCTGGAGTTTATGACTGAGCAGAGAATACAGGTTACTGCCAGCGTTAGGTGTTTCTAAAGCAGGCATCTCACAAACTGTCGCTGCCACACCCTTCAAATGATTTCTTGTTTTGACAGCTCCAATTGTTGCACCAAATTTCACTGTGGAAGATACGTCTGCAGATTCGATATTAGTAAAATGGGAAGACATCCCTGTGGAAGAGCTTCGTGGCTTTTTAAGAGGGTATTTATTTTACTTTCAGAAAGGAGAGAGAGATACGCCTAAGACAAGAACTTTTGAGACAGGTGAGTTGAATGCTGCTTTGGTTATAGTGCATATATATATCGACTTTCACGAGCCATAAAGTAAAGGCTGATGCATAGCTAAATAATGGTTTCTATAACTGTCTGAAAAGGTGTACGTAGTTTGAACCCTTTCATTGTACGTCCCACAGAGCCGCGACCATTTCTTGCTTTAGTGTTGCGTGTTGCATACCTTAGCATATTACCCATTTTTTAAATGTGGATTTGTATTTAATAACAAAAGAGGTAGAATAAACACACACACACACACACACACACACACACAGAGCATGAATTCAGAGAATGGGTTCCGATCCCCAGTCATAATCAGGAATCAGGATGGTGGCAGACTTCCCTGTCAATAGATACAGACGATACCACAGAAATGCCTTCAAAATACTAAACGACAGTTATTTTCTGACTAAAATTCTGCACTTGGCCTCTCTGCCCCTTAGTAGCAAAACAGAATGAAGATTTTTCTAGGCGACCAAAGCCGTGAGTGTTTCATTCCCCTGTACTGGCTTTCACTGGGATCTGCTAGGAGGAATGCCTCACCGTGCGGAAAAGAAGTGAGGGACTCCCAGAAAGGATGGGGGGTAGCATGAGAGGCAGCTAAAGAAGCAGCACCCATTGGGTGGAAGCAGGACAGGGTGGGGCTGAGAGTCGGTTGCTTCCGCACATGGAAAACGTGCTGAGCATTCACCAAAGCATGTGGGAAGAATTGAGAAATTAGTACATAGAAACTTAGAATGCTAAGCAAAAGAGGGGTGGAAAGCAAGTAAAATAGGAAAAGAAGAATGCAGATATATCAAGCAACTTTTTAAAAAAAAAATCAATGTGATGGTAGCAATGTGAGCACTGAATTTGCCCACCCACTCTGGTGATGCTGCTCTGGGAATGTGGTAGGGGAGGGGCCAGGATGGCCTAAGGATTAAGTCCTCAGCCATCCTTTTTAAACACAAAAGACTACCTAGGCTTGCTGTTGTGAAATCCACGTAAACTCTTAAAGAATGGATGCCTGATTTCTAAGTTTCTAAGTGGCTCCGGGGCGAGGGAGGAACAGGAAGGAAACCACTTCATTTTTTGTTTTTTAATTTGAATTTCCTTCTTTCCTTCCTGCCTCCCTTCCTTCCTTCTTTTCTGTTAATTTTTGACAGTTATATCACTTGATCTCTTGGGAGGGGGGCTGGCATTGGCACCAGGACTTAACCCAGGGGCATGAGCTGGCTTTTTGGAGCCCATTTCCTGTGGTGGGATACCTTGGTCAGCCTTGATACAGCTACAGCGGGGAGGGGCTTGGTCCTGCCACAGCTTGGTATTCCAGACTTGGAAACCCCTTGGTTTTGTCACTTGTGTTTATTACTGCTTGGGCTCTTTCACCTCTCATCTTGCATTTTTTGGTTGAGACTTTATGAATAGCCCTTGCCTTTGAAGTGACCCAAAGGCAACCTCACAGTGTCTTGCTGTTGAGATTTCCCACCACGTGGGTCTTTTCCTAAGGAATGAGGTCATGTCTACTGCTCTTCACCTTTGCCCCGTCCAGCCTCTGCTGATGCTTCCGAGGCATCTGTGTTGAGTGCAGGGCTTTCCCTTAGTCACAGATAGGGAAGTGACTTTTATGGCCTGCCCTTGTATGCCAGGCATTGTTCTAAAGAGAACGTCTAGAAACTTTACCAATCACTGCGAGCCAAGCCATGCTATTCCCTTGCAGAGTCAGGGAAGCCCGAGTTTAGGGTACTTTAGATGGTGTGACTGGCAGGGACAGAATCGAATATGACCCAGATCCTTTGCTGAATGTGACCAGCAGCCACACTTGTTTTCCAAAAGGTGCCTGGCTGGATGTCTGAGTGTTTAAAGTGGTCTTAGAGTGAGTTAGGATATTGTTCGTTTCAGGTCATTCTGACATCAAACTAAAGAATATCACTGACATATCACAGAAGACTCTAAGGATTGCCGATCTTCAGGGTAAAACCAGTTACCACTTGGTCCTTCGAGCCTATACGCATGGTGGTCTGGGTCCTGAGAAGAGCATGTTTGTGGTGACCAAGGAAAACTGTAAGTTTAACACTGCCCTAGAAACACCTTCGACACTGAAGTGATAAACTCTCTAGCATCTGGGGGCTGCCCAGGCATCTTTGTTCCAAGCTCTAAGTCTTGGTTCTCAACCTTCCTAACACTGTGACCCTTTAATACAGTTCTTCGTGTTGTGGTGACCCCCCAGCCATAAAATTATTTTCATTGCTACTTTATAACTGCAACTTTGCTACCGTTATGACTCATAATGAAAATAACATTTTTGGAGGTAGAAGTTTGTCAAAGGGGTTGTGACCCAAAAGTTGAGAACCACTGCTCTAAGGTTTCACAATTTATTGCATTTTTATGTTAGAAAGAGGGGAGTAGCCAAGCGTTGGTGGCGCACGCCTTTAATCCCAGCACTCGGGAGGCAGAGGCAGTCAGATCTCTGTGAGTTCAAGGCCAGCCTGGTCTGCAGAGTGAGTTCCAGGATATCCTCCAAAACAATACAGAGAAACCATGTCTCGAAAAACTAAAAAAAAAGGGGGGGAGTGTTAAAAGCCTATGAGAGGACTTTTTGTTTTGTTTTCTTGTCCATTATTTCAAATTACTTCCTGATGAGTATGTAGAAATTAATTAATTTAGGGATGCACCCAAAATCTAGAATCCTAAACACATAGGGGATTTTTTAAAAATCCAGTTTAAATATTTTCCCAAGCTAGTTTGGTTTTAATGTGTCTAGGGAAATGTGTAAGAAAAATTCTGTAAACATTAGTAAAACACTACACTTGTAAACCTGAGATGGCCGTAGACAAGGGCCGGAGCCCTTGCTGTGCCTCACCATGAGAGAGCTTCCGCTCAGCTTCAGTCTTCCCTCTACCAGGAGGGGGTCCATGTTCAGATCTGAAGTACCACGTCATGAGGCTGTGGCGTGCACTAAAGTGGGGTTTCAGTGGGAGGTGACGCCGCCCCCTCCCCCAATGCAACTTGCCAATGTCTGGTGATATTTTTGACTGTCATAACTGGAGTGCTGCTGGCATGTCTTGGTTAGAGACCAGGATGTGGCTAAGCCTCCCACAGCGCCCAGGATAACCCTTCCCACCCCTCCTCACACCAGAAACATCTGACCTCTGTGTCACCAGTGGCAGGATTGAGCAATTCTACTCTGTTCTTTGGTGTTAGATTTTTTTTTGTTTCTTCGAATAATAAATTTGAGGTGTATTGTAACTTAAGTTTATTCTGTACCCAGTACCCCAGTGGTGATTTTCAATATTTATAACTGTTTCTTTTCAGCCGTGGGATTAATTATCGCCATCCTCATCCCAGTGGCTGTGGCTGTCATCGTTGGAGTGGTGACAAGCATCCTTTGCTACCGGAAGCGAGAATGGTAATGGTACCTGTGTGTTCACCTGTTTGTTTGTTTGTTTACCAACTTCACTATTCAGTCATGTTGTGCTGATGGGTCAAATACGCTCTTTCTTACTCAGAATGTCAACTTCAATGCCAAGTAAGAAATTTTATTGAAAATATTTAAGGCCTCCTTAGAGTAAAAGAGCACATTCCCCTATTGTCCTTACTAATAATTTATAGTTTGTGAGTGTACCCCAGTGAGAGGGGAACAGGAAGCCAGGAATGGGGAAGGAAGAGATGGGCAGGAAGGCTGTCTTGTGAGGAGCCCCGAAGAGTACCGAGAGGCTAAAGAACATTCCAGAAAGAATGGTTTCAGTGAGGCTCTGAACTGGGGCCGCTGTAGAAGCGGGTGACAGGTGCTGGTGTGAGGCTGAGCCAGATCAGCTCAGGGAAGAGCCCTGAGCACTGGGTTGGCAGCCAGGAGCTGTCTGCACCAGGAGTGGACAGAAAACTAGAGTCAGCACAGAGTACTACCCTTTCTTTAAGATGCCACTGTTTATGACAGAGAATATGTGTCCTAGCAATCCTGGCTTCTAAATGCAAACAGTAATACTTGTAAATAGAGCAGCCTATTTTGGCAACTAATTCCAACTTTAAAACAAGAATTTCAGTTTGAAAAAAAAAAAAACAGATGCCTGGAGGCAGGAACATTCAAACTCTTGTCAGTATAATCACAGTTCTTCAGGAATTCCAAATAATGGAGTCCTTGGTAGTTAGTTCTAAGTCTAAAAATACAGGGTGTTGAGCAAACCTCGTTTCCCCTAATGTTGAATTTTTACCTGAGATTTGTAGCTTTTTTATTTTCTTTAGCTCAACTGGCAATGTCCTCGCCATTCATGGTTGTCACCTTTAATACTTAGTTATTTTTTTAACCTGGTATGGTGACTCATGGCAGTAATCCCAGAACTAAGGAGTTGGAGGCAGGGGAAGTGCAAGGTCAGCCTGGGCTACCTGAGACTCTACCCCCAAAAACAAATAAAAACAAGAACAACAAAAATGAAAAGAAGCTGGGCGGTGGTGGCACGTGCCTTTAATCCCAGCACTCGGGAGGCAGAGGCAGGTGGATCTCTGTGAGTTCGAGACCAGCCTGGTCTACAAGAGCTTGTTCCAGGACAAGCTCCAAAGCTACACAGAGGGAAAAAAAAAAAAGAAAATACAATTAATTTTTTAAAATGTAAGTGCTCACTGTACTTATCCACCTTAGTTAAGCAATTCTGTGCCAGTCCAGACCCTGTGACAAGCAGAGGACCTCTTATGTAGACCCTGCTTAATCGGGTTTGCAGTGAAAATTTGGCAGTATTTCATGTGACATGGTCACAGCCATCATTGTGAATTATTTACTTTCATTTCCTTGAGTCAAATAAGGCTCTTTAGCCCCAGCACAGTGCAGTGGTCAGCAGCCTGCACGCTGGAGCCCTGTGTCAGAAGCCCTAGCGAACGGCCCCACGGTAAAGCGTTTCCATCTGGGTCTCAGGTGCTCACTGACATTGCCATAGAAAAGTCTCCAGCCACGCCAAATAACTTCTTCATTTTGTTATATGATCGATGCATGACAGTTACTAAATCTTATTCATTCTTTGTTTGAAGGATTAAGGAAACGTTCTACCCTGATATTCCCAACCCAGAAAACTGCAAGGCCTTACAGTTTCAGAAGAGTATCTGTGAGGTAACTGTTCCTTCCATGTGTTTGTCTTTGAGGACAGAGGGGCCCCTTCCTTCTGTCTTTTGTGAGAAGCTTGGGATGTGTAAGTGTCAGCCTGAGGAAAAAAAATACAAAGAAGGCAGCGTGCTTTAACATCTGTCAAGTGTCCAGAGTTCCTCATCTTCAGTGTTTACGACATGTTTTTTTTTCTGCTATGAATAGTAAGGAAAATATTGACGTAGAGAAAAAAAAACTTAGCTTTGCTCTGGATGTGGGCTCCAGAGCTGTAGAGGCCAATGTTTATAAACAGACACGAAGGGGGAAGAAAAGTAAAACTCGAGTCTTCCTGTAAGAGGAGCCCCTACTGAAGCATGCAGTGTTGTCTTAACCACTATTCCAAATTTATTTCCAGGGAAGCAGTGCTCTGAAGACACTGGAAATGAATCCCTGTACCCCAAATAATGTCGAAGTTCTGGAATCTCGATCAATAGTTCCTAAAATAGAAGATACAGAAATAATCTCCCCAGTGGCGGAGCGTCCTGGGGAAAGCTCCGAGGCAGACCCCGAGAACCACGTGGTTGTGTCTTACTGCCCCCCCATCATTGAGGAGGAAATAGCGAACCCTGCAGCAGATGAAGTGGGAGGGACTTCCCAGGTCGTGTACATTGACGTTCAATCCATGTATCAGCCTCAAGCCAAACCAGAGGAAGAGCAGGGCATTGACCCCGGGGTGGTGGCAGCCTATAAGCCCCAGATGCGCCTCCCCATTAACTCTGCTGTGGAAGACTTTGCAGCAGCGGAAGATGAAGCAGATAAAACTGCAGGTTACAGACCCCAGGCCAATGTGAATACCTGGAATTTGGTCTCTCCAGATTCCCCCAGGTCCACAGACAGCAACAGTGAAATTGTCTCTTTTGGGAGTCCGTGCTCCATCAATTCCAGGCAATTTTTGATTCCTCCTAAAGATGAAGACTCTCCTAAATCTAATGGAGGAGGGTGGTCATTTACAAACTTTTTCCAGAACAAACCAAACGACTAACCAGTCACCCTTGGCCACTTCAGTCTGCCATCTCAACAAGCTCTCATTGCTGGTGTCCAGGCAGTAGCCGGGGCATTCCTGGAGGGACCCTGCAAATGTTGAGAGTCAGGGACCTTCACTCCGGGCAAGTGACACTACAAGTGTTAATGTGCTTTTAATGTATCCTAAAAGTCAAAGTACAGTGACTCAGAAACCTCAGCCATAGAAACTCAAGATCTGAAGCTGGTTTTGATTGAGCCAAAGAATCCTCCACAAGGATTTCACGACTAACTTAACTCTGCCTAGTACATATATGCAAAACAAATCTCACAACTGTCTGTTGTTAGTGGTTTTCTCATCTTTGTATGTTATGGAATTCCAAGTGGATTTACAGGCAAGGAAGAGAAATGTACAAGTCAAAATAACGTTAATTTGCCTGACATTTACTGCAGTCCAGAGGAAAACCAAGCACAGATATTTTAAAACTTTTATGATGTCTCTATCCACAGCATTTACGAAAGAGAACCTAGTTTTTAATGTAGCAGCAGCTATCTGGTGTTCTGTTTGGTAGAGTGTGCTGATGTCTGTGCCTATCTGGTATTCCAGTTGATGGAGTGTGATAATTTCTCTGCCTACTGTATCATGGTTATCAAACAGTTGTCTCAGGGGTACAAACTTGGAAAAACAAGTGTGACACTGACCAGCCCGAATCAGAATCACATTGTCCTGCTTTGAGTGGGACGTGAAAGCCTTTCTCCTATCACGTAGCTTCTGTTGCGCAGCCGGTTGTCCTCATGATGGAAATTTCTAGAACTGTCTCCAAATTTTCTCTGTGTTTTTGCTTTGTGTTACAGTGTCTGCTTTGTAAGAACAAATTCAACATTATTCACAAGTATATAATTGTAATGAGTTACTATGTAAGATGACTACTAAGAAATAGCTACTGGTGCATGCCGACCCCATCACTCTGATAAGGCTCAGTTCCCGTGAGAAAGTTCCCCATTAAGATGGTGATGATCTTTGGGGCCTCTCAGTAGCTTTCTTTTCTGCTCATGAGTCACAGCCCCTCCTCCCTCAGGCAATTGGTGGTCCAGACTCTTCAGACCCAATCTTCAAATCCATATAAGCTTAAACCTAAAGAGAGATTATTTCTCCCCGGAGCAGTGAGTAAAGGGTGATTTTAATAGAAGACATAAAACTTATGGAATCGGAGGGTAGTGGCCAGTGGTTGTTGGCGTAAGTCATGAAGAGTGGGGTCCTGAACACAGCACCCTCCATCCCCCTCGGTTTCTCTTCAGCAGTGTGCAAAGTGAATGCGGTTCTGGGAGGAGCAGGGTAAAACCCTAACAAGTACTTTGTTAACAAGTACGTGACAGTTGGAGACACCTGAGTAGAAAACCTTGGTTTTGTGTCATCTGAAGTCCCCCAAATTTTGCAGATAATGGATTGGTTTGTTTTTTATTTTATTTTTGTTCCTATTTCATTTTTTTATTTTTACTTTTTGTGTGTTTGCTTTTTGTTGTTTGAGACAGGGTCTCATTATGTAGCTCGGCTGTCCGAGAACTCACTGTGAAGACCAGACTGGCCTCAAACTCACAGAAATCCACCTGCCTCTGCTTCCTGAGTTCTGGGATTAAAGGCGTGCACCTCATATTTTATCTTTTAAAAAAGTCATGTGAAAAAAACCGTAGGATGACAAGGGACAAAATCTAATAGTCAATGCATGATCTTGTTTTTAACCCTAGGATTCAACTACATTTTGGAGCTTCATTATATGATGGTATGTGGAATGAAATAGAGTTAGTTGTGCATTTATATAGTATATAAAAGGTAGATAATAGCTCTTAGAAATTTTCGGTAATGAAAAATACTCCAAACAGTTTAATTTGTCTTCGTGTGCCCTCTCTGGCTCCTTTGTCGACCCAGCCACTCTGCGCTCCGGCTGTCTCCTCTCCCTGCCCATTTTGTTATTGCTGTGCTCTGCTTGCCCTCAGTTCATGCCTCTTTCCCCGTTATAGGCTTTGTATTCCATCCGGTGAGTGTCTGGGAAGGTAGCAGCTTCTCGTGCCGAACTCCATTAATCTGAGAACACAAGGAGAGGGCAGAGAAAATAGACTCATCCTGTCATTAAAACATGTGCCCTTCACGTGGGTGTCTAGAGGGACGGGCACTTAAAATGCTGCTCATCTCACACTGCCTCTGAATTCCATTCTCAAGGGCCACTGGGCTGCTGAGAAGAGGGGTGCCCGTGGATTATTTTAGGAAAATGTGTTTCGGGACTGAGGCTAGGGCGGATTGCCTGGTCTTTTCCCACTGAATTGAAGACAGCTGCATCTCCGTGCAGTGTTACTACCTCTGCAGTTCCTCCTGAGCTGAACATACAGAAGGAGCCTAAGCAGGGGAGAAAGGGACATACAGGACATGTTGTCACCCTTTTGTAAGCCTGTTTCACCCAGATTTCCTTGTGAGCAATGGAGATCGGGTTATCATAATATTTGTGAGTAGCCATTTTCAATCATACTTAATTTAAAGATACCCTCAAATGCTTAACCAGGCTTTTGGCATGAGAGCTGTGAGCTGTGTATTGCATTAATTACACCTCCCGAACCCTCCCAGCTGTTGAGCCAGCGGTGTCCTGGGTTTGGGATGGTTGTCCTGAGAATCTAGAAAGCTGTATTTCTATGTGTGATAGAGGTGCTTTTGTTCCTGCTGCTGGCAACAGAAGCAGCCATTCATTGGGAAGCTCGAGGGAGGAAGTGTCAGCTTCATTTTCCATATTGGCATTGCTCTCATGGGTCATGGAACTTGAAGGATTGCACTCAGAACATCCAGTACCATCGTACTCAGAGATGGTAGAAAGTCACATTCTTAGACCTCGCAAACTGAAGTCGTGTTGGAAAGGTCTCCTGTCCCCGTAATACTGCCTGTATTTATCGAATATCACAGTCCTTCCCGTGTTAATTAAATGTAATTTAGTGAAAGGCTAGAGAATGTTCCTTCCTGATGGGAATTCAAAATCAACATCATGGTATTTTTTCAGTTAAAGTATCCTTAATATGTCAATATGCAGAAAATATTTCTTACTGCTTAGACACTTAATCTGGTGAAACTTGTTTGTTTGCACTAAGGTAATTTTTGCTGTTTTCTGTTTGAAGCTATGTTAGAGTTAGAGAAAGGCCTTTTTAAAGGATTCTGGAAGTGTAGTACTTTGTTTTCCAAGTGAAGTATGGGGGAGGGGTCACAAGCTGCTAATGCCAGGCACACGGTGAAAGCCCATTGGCTGTGTTGATGGAGTCCCTTTCTAGTGTTACAATTCAGCAGAACTGTGCGGAAGGCTGATAAAGATTAAGATGTGGCTCGCATATATCTGAAAGATTTGAGTATACTCCGGGAGCGGCCCCACAGTTTGAGGAAAACCCAAGACTCACCAGACATTTCCTTAGACCCTGTCAGCATACTTCTGTGTGGAGTTTGCTTTTATCTAACAAGTACAAAATTTGGAGAAGTGTTTGTACCAATCTAGCATATGTTATGGCGAGCAATGTGTGTGAGCTCAATTGATTAAGAGAAGAACTCACTCTTTGTAAGATATCTCAAGACATTTCCTCTGAACAGATATTTCTGAAACGGTTTCATGCTATCACATCTGCCTTCCCTCTTGTATTCGGAACCAAAAAAATTGCAGAAGGGAGGGGAAAAATGTAGCCAAATTTACAGGGCGTTAATCTTTTAAATCTAGAATATTCTTCAAATTCATTTAGTTTGAATCATGATTCTGTCCCTGTGCTATTTATACAGGTTAAGCCTCTCAGTTTACTAGGGTTGTTGGAATTTTTTTTACTCCCTTTCAATTACTGCTTTTATCTTGATAATTGTATGATCATGCTGATTATAATACAGATGAATTATTTCTAAATGCAGACATAAAAAGATAGAGAATAACATTCAGCTGAACAATATCAAGTTTTGTTTCATCTTGTTAGAGCTCCTGGGGTTATAATTTGGTCTAGAATATCCACCTTTCTAATTATGATATTAGATTATGACTGGATCCCATTATTTTTAACCAGAGTAGTACCTGTTCTCCCTGCATTATGAATGATAATTTTGTCCAAGGTGTAAATAGAATTTGCTTAAGTTAATTTTTAACTGTGGTATACTTTTATTATAAATAGACCATAACTGATTGCACAGTAACTGAATAAAATCCATAATAGTTTGTACTAATTTTTGCTTGCTGGAACTGAATACTTTAAAAATGAAAAAAATGCTGAGAAAAAATGATAAGGAAATTAATGTTTATTACATTCATATGTGTCTTCAAGATCACCTTTGTATTGGTCAATCAGAAATTTAAAAGAAATCAAACTATTATAGGCTTTTCGATGTACTTATGCCTAAAATATTGGGTATATCTAATTGGCTGGCTACTTAAGTTTATTCTATTTCCTTATATACATTTTTATTTTTAATTATTCCATTTTAAATGGGCAGTTTCAACTTCTGCACTTAACTTCCAGGTATTCCAGTCGCATATCTTCAAATATCAAAATATTTTTAGGTGACAGTCCCATCTACCTTAAGTCACAGGCAATTTAGTACTTAGGCAGGTGGCCGTAGAACAAAATGCTGAGTAATAGTTTTCAGATGATAGTCTAGTCTAACCATTTGATCTAAATGCTGTCACCCATCTTCTCCTAGTAGGTTGATTATTAGCCTCTAGTTCCTTCAGTTTAATTTCCCTTCTAATGTTTTATTTAAGAAAGTATGAAGTACCACGTTGAAGCATTGGGGAATGAACCCTGTCCCCCTTGCGGTGGGGAAGGTATTATGGGATACCCTGGGACAGAGCAAGTGCTGAAATACATCCCATTCAGGGTTGCAATGCAAAGATGGTTCTAAACAGATATCCTGAGTCTGAGATGGTTCCAACTTGCAGGCGTGTTCAAAGGTAAAATAAGCCATCTAAAAAATACTCAGTGTTCCTAGTGAGATTTTTTTCAAATTTATCTTTACCAAATCTTTCATTAATTGGTCATAAGCCATTATCCCTGTAACACTAAGCAATTGCCTTTTTTTTCCTTTCAGATTTGCATTACAGTGCATTACTGTTTACAAAATATACATACTGTGAACAGATATAAATTTTTGTCTTTTATAAGGTTTGTGGAATGAATGTTTTTTTAAAGAAGGTGTTATGTTAAATATTTTTAGATTTTTATAAATAGTAACTGTTTACTAACTTTTGTTTGGTCAGGTGTGTATGTGTAGCTGAGAGAAGATATACATTGCAGTTTCCCTTTTTCATTTCTTGTAAAGTTACCACTACAGACATTTTTGTGTTAATACAAATGACCGGTTATAATGTGCAATACCTGATATCATGTTTAATCCTATAAGGAACTTTTTAAATATCCATATACAGGAAGTAAGTCTGATTGATGTATGTCTCTGTCATTCACTGCGACTCACAGAATTCTAAGTTGAGTGTGGAATAAAGTAACACTCACAGAGATTGAAATACTTCCAGCCTTGTGGAATTTTGGATATTATATTGCTGTTAGAATGGGAAAATCAAACATTTTATATCATAATTTCAGAATTTAACTTCCATGTCTTTTGGGAAACATGATTATCACAAGAACATAGAATATGTAAATAACCTATTATTAAGACACTACAAATATAAAACTAGTATCGCTTGGCTGTTAATTCTATAAAGATGTTATCTATGTCTGTTTTTAAAACATGCATGTATTTAACAATTTTATCATAGTATTGTCATGGAAAGAAATAAATATATTTTCTTACATCTTACCCTGGTGACTTTGGATATTATTGGGAGTCTTTTTCTCTCATGTCTCAAACATGTAGGAAAATTGGCTTTCACTTTGTTTTACGTTTTGTTTTGTTTTTGTTTTTACTCTATCCCATAAAGTTACAGTGATGCTAACGCAGTCACAGAAACTTTAGCTTTGGTATTTGATGACATTGCTATGCTATTGATAGCACCTTCTATTTGCTCTGTTAAACTGGTGTTGTATTTATAGAGAAAAAAGTATTTATTGGGAACCTTATACTTTAATAAATAAATTTTTTAGAAATCAAGAACCCAGCATTAGCAAATAATAAGATCATTGCCAGGTATGGTGGCACACACCTTTAGTCTCAGAAAGAACTAGGGAGGCCGTGGCAGATGGAACTCTTGAGTTCAAGGCCAGCCTGGTCTACATAGTTGCAGGCTAGCCAGGGCTACATACTATCTCACAGAGGGAAGGGAGAGAGGGAGAGAAGGAAGGAGGGAAGGGAGGGAAGCAAGGAAGGTGGGGAGAAAGGGAGGGAGGGAAAGAAAAGAGTTGGTCCTTAAAGCAAGGGTTTTAATTTATTGTCTCCAAAGACAGACAAATATTTCAGGAGTTTCTGGGAAGGCATTAAAATTTCAACTTACTGAATCTTGAAATACAGTCACTGACTTAGCAAAACTCTCTCATTTTAAAGCATGCAGTGCCATTAGAGGCTTAAAGAGAGAAATGAAATTCTTTGTCCTGTGTAGCTAGCTCAGACTTAGCATGAGCAGTAACCAGAGCATGAATGGGCCTGCCTTTAGCCTGTAAAAGTGCAAGTCAGTTGTAAATTAGTTGTGAAACACATGTTAATATTTAAGTGCTAGGAAAGCTCACACATATGGTCTGTACTTTGGGGAATTCTCAATGCAGAACTTGTTCCCAGAAGGTGAGTGCTGGAGCCAAAATGTATACTGCCATTACGTTCAGGAACTGAAAAGGCTGAAGAGAAGAATGGTGGGCTTATTAGGAAAAAGAAACATGAGATGGATGAATAAATATGGTAATGCATGATATCCAACATCACAGTCCAACGTTGCCTAGCAAACCTTGGTCCTTGACAAAAGAACTGTAGAATTCATTTTAAATGACCTATACATTTGACCCAGTCCCCTTCTCTATGAATGGCTGGCAGTAAAACTGATTTCAAAACATTTAGTCTTTATAACCCAGGGAAATTGAGATGATGAGAGATGACTTGAACTGATTCAAAATTAAATTGGAGATGATTTGTATTCTTAGAAGATCAATCTCAGGTTGTGGGAATAAGAAAAGCATTGGAAAATGATTTTGATAAGCTGTCAAATAGAAATAATGTTAGAATGAACAAAACCTCGGTGCATTAATCTTTCTGGCAGCTAAATGCTTGAAAGGGAGAAATAATTTTAAGTTCCAGCTCAGATTTAAATCAGCAGTCCCCTTATGGCCCCAGCCAGCCTGTCACCACTGCAGACATGTGTTGGTACACCAGGCTGCCTGAGAGGAAGACTTAACTGACCTCTTTCTCTCTCTGTCTCTGTCTCTCTGTCTCTGTCTCTCTGTCTCTCTCTCTCTCCCTCCCTCTCTCTCTCTCTCTCTCTCTCTCTCTCTCTCTCTCTCTCTCTCTCTCTCTCTCTCTCTCTCTCTCTCTCTCTTCCTTACCATCCCCCATCCCCCTCAGAGAGCTGGTGATGCCTAGGAGACTCTGGAAGCAGTATTGAGAGTGGATGGCTCGCCCTCACACCTGCTCCAGTCACAGTGCAGACAGCTTGTACTCCCATCAGAAGTGAACCAAGAGTTTTCATTTCCCCAGCACCACAGATGCCATAGGCTGGGCTTGGTTTCTCTGTTTCCAAGATTGCTCTGAGAACTGTTCCCGTGTGTGAGGCTACACAGTCCTATCCAGGTTTCTGAGCTCACCGCTGGTCACCTGGACATACAGAAGGATGCTCTCTGGCATCCCAATCATCTTAAAACCTGGGCCTCAGTGCACATGAGAAGAATGCTAAGCTATTATGGGCTAAACACATCACATTCCCTGCAGGATAGGTGCTTGCTTTCGACATGACCCTCTTTCTGGTCAGCGCTGCAAAGGTGTAAATAGTTGTGTATTAGTTTATACACACATTCCCTTGTACTGCTCAACATCCCAGAAGCTGACAGTGTACATCAAAAGCCTTAGAAGAGACCATGGCATCTGTTTCATTGGAGGGCTGCTGGAGCCCCATTCTCCTTAGGTAACTTTATCCACCCTCACGTCTTGCTTGCATGGCATTGGGTCATGGGAGCTTCGGCCAGGGTCCTTGGGTCCTCAGTCCTTTGCTTGCTGAAGTCCTTGCATTTCCTGAGGCACCACACACCTTTCCAAGGCCTCAGGGAGCTTCATATGGAAATCAGATAGGGTGGGGAAGCCCTGGCAATCTTACACAGTCACAGCTCAGTGCAGTATCACCTACATGTAGAGGCTTGGCAAATCTTTGAGTGTGCCTTGAGGAAAGGCATAGAAGGAGGTCAGTGTCTGGTTATTTTAAACAGGGTGAGTTCTTTGGAGCAGTCTCCAACCATAGGAAAATGAAGAATCCTCATGAAACTTCTGTCCTTGGACTAAAAGTGCACTGTGATATCTATAGGCAAATATTGATTGGATAAATCAATGCTAAAGAAAAATCAGATAAAAGACACATAATCTTGGGCAACATTGACCCTTTTTTAACATTTTACTTTTTGTCATTTTAAACATGGTGTATGTTCTTTTTGGAAACTTGGTTCATTTATTTACTGAATCTTGAAAATCTTATCAACAGTACTTTTAAGACATTGTTCTGTGGATGCATAGAATGTTAACAGACAGATGATACATGGATTATCTAATTGTATGTATAACAGATTTCTCTATATTATCCATCATTTTACAAAATGGCGAGAGACCGTGAATGTCAAAAATATGTGGCCTAAGTTTGGTCAGAGTTAGAAATGATACTTGATTTTCATACTGGTAGCCACTCACATATGTAAGAACTCTCAAAACCACTTTGCCATAACTAGCTTTATAATTAGTTTTATAACTAGCTTGATTAATGAAGATTTGTATCTAACACAGAGTTCTACTCATATGCTGCTTCTTCTAGAAATGGCCAGTAGACTCAGAGATCAGGACAACCCAGGACTAATGCTGAGTAACAACTGGAAAGGGCAACTTCATGACTCAGTTTCCTTGGTCCCCAGGGTACTATGACAAGCCACTGTGCTCCACCCTGGGTATGCAGTCATTGGAAATTCATCCTTATACTCAAAGAAAATAGATTTTTGTCAACTATAAATAGAAGTGCTAAAATAGATTTTTCTCTATGAATATGAAATTTCCCTAGCATATGAGTCTTTGACTCATTGTTTAGGGAAGTAGGCAAATAAGCAGGATATTCTTAGTATGTAAGAGTAAATGGTTATCTGCGGGCAGGACTCCAAGAAAGCTCCTGAGATTCTTGTCGCCTGGCCTGAAGGGTTCTTGTCCCAAATTGAGTAAGATGAAACATTATTCCTATGGTTAGGTTACTAACCAGCGGCCTTAAAGTTAGCAAACATCGGCATCCCAAGTTCCTAGCTGAATAAGGGAGATACTACAGGAAAGACAAGACCCTTCCGCAAGGTACGACCTCCGCTGACCTTGGGAGGATGGAGTGGCTGGTGGACATATTGGGTTATGCTGAGCCTCAGAAGACTGCTACCCTGAAGCCGCCTTTTCTGTTTTATCATCTCACCAGCGTCTTGTGAACAAGCTTTCTGCAAATGTTTATGAGATGATTTTTGCTTTGGTGAGGATCTCTGAAGACAGGTCTACATGCTAGTCCACTGAGGGCCCAGCAGACTGCTCACCCTCCTCAACCTGAGGCCTCCCAACAGACTCTCAGGGGCCTTGGTTCCCAGGCAAGACAGGATGAGGTCAGCAGGTGAGACCTCCATCCTCAGCAAGTGGATTTACCCCACCAGCTTGCTGAGCAGGCTGGAGTCAATCGTCACAGATTTCTTTTGTGTCTGAGGTTGTGTGACTGTGACCTGGATAACCAGTGAGCATATTGTCTATTAAGCAGTGCCTCCATTTTACACCTCCTTCACAGAGTTTCCTCTGACGACCCCCTGCCCCCAAGTTTAGATAGAACATGGAATGTCTGACACAGGCACTGAGGTTATCACACCTCTGTGACCCCTTAGCCTCTCCTCCCATGGTTCTATCTGATACTTCATTTTCTCTGACTCTGCTTTCCTTAGCCCAGCTTCCTAGCAGGGCTTTCCTCGGCTAATCCTCTGGCCTGGGGCCCCTAGATTTGTTATTAAATGAGTATAAATGGCAAATTCCTTGAGCCTCCCTGGCCTCCCTTCTCAGAGACATTCCTATCCAAGTCCTCTCGCACATCGCCAAGTCAGAGCTGCAGCCCCTTAGTATCAGACTGTCCAAGGCGGCTGCAGCCCCAGGCTGGGCCTCCCACTTAGAAGTGAGCAGCTGGGACCATGGGGGAGACCACACTACATGTTGGGAAACTTCCGTGCCTTCAGACACCCTTTGGATCTTAAACAAAGCAGGACAAGAAGATAGATGAATAGCAAAGATTTCCTCCCAATGCTAAAGACTTGATGTTCCTCTCTGTCTTTCCAGGAAAGGACTAGTGCTCCTGGGAGCCACACACTTTCTAGGACAGATGCTTCAGCAAGGGAACACAGCAAAAAGAGGTGAGGCAGAGAGGCGTTGCCTGCTGTCCCGCCTTGTGCTCAAAGCCAGGGCGAGGCCGGGACCCACTGCTTAACCAGAAATAGTTTCAACAACTCCCCTGAGTTTGGGAAGCTATTTCTAGACATGAAGGCAAAGGAGTAGAGGGAAAAGAATTGAATCCAGAACTAACTGCCTGTGGAGGGGTCTGAATCCCACCCGGCTGGAAGAGCTGTTTTCACCCCTGCCACAGATAAGCCCTGAAAGAATTCACTCCACAGAGCTATGACAACAGACAAGGCAACCCTCAGGAACTGACATTTGCTGAAACCTTCCTACACTGTCAGGACTGTGGACCCCAAGAAGTCCAAAATTAACTCTTAGTAACCCTAAGGTCCTATTCCCAATGCAGTGTCAGACTTGTGCCCTCTCACCAAAACCTGACAAGGCACCTATGGTAGTTACTTTTCTATGGCTGTGATTGAACACCATGACCAAAAGCAACTTGGAGAGTAAGGGGTATGTCAGAGCTGGTGGCTTCTCATCCAGGAACTGCAGAACCTGGGTGCAGAAACTAAACAAACCATGGAGGAGTGCTGCTTACGGGCTTGATCTCCATGGCTTACTAAGCCTGCCTTCTTACAGCACCCAGAACCACTGGGCCAGGAGTGAGGCCATCTACAATGAAGCTGTGCCCTCCGACATCAATCATCAACCCCCCCCAAAAATGTACCACAGGCCAATCTGGTGTGGTAATTCTCTCAACTGAGATAGCCTTCTCCCAAATGACTCCAGTTTGTGTCAAGTTGGCATGAAACTGGCCAGTACATCACATATCATTTTGTATAGCCTTCATCTTCCCAAATCAAACAAGCCCACCATCCTAGGAACACGACTGTTGAGATGAAACACAGGTCCACATTGTCCAATTGGATTAATCGTACATATGCTAGCCTCCATGCAGTCACCAGTAATCGAGAACTTCCTGAGGACAGTCTGGCACCTCCACCAATGTCTGCCGTCTTTGGAACCCCCAAGCTTGGCCTTTTATGCACCCCTCATGAGCGGGGCAGTGGCTTCCATCAGGCCCTTCCTGGTTTAGTCTGTTTTATGTGTACACCCAATTACAATGCACTAGAAAGGCAATCTCGGGGTTAGGACCCCCCACTGTGGAACTGGGCTGCAGCCACACACATCCTTCACTTGACATTGTGGTTTTGATCCCTGCTGCTGTCTCTCTTTCCCTGCTGGGCTCCCTCAGAGTGACAGTTCCAGAGAACCGTTGAACCTCACTCCATTCCTCTTGGCAGAGAAAGCACCCTGGCACGGGTGGGCCAGGCTTTCACACACTTGCATCTCGTGGCCGGCTACTGTACATTCCTGGGCTGGGCAGAAGCGGCATGAGGCAGGGGTGGGAAGGAGGGAATGGGAAGTAACTAACGCTTTGTCCAGGTCCTGGTGTCCACACACCCACACTTCCACGTGTCCACCTATGCTCCTTACACTTGCAAATGTGGCTCTCGGACTGTGTGCGTGCGGCAACAGCAGCTGGAGCTCTGCAGCCTGCCCCTGGGCAATTCCCTCCCAGCCCGAGCAGCCCAAGGGGGCAAGGGCCAGTGCTCGGGCCACTACGAGGGGCTGCAGGCCCCTCCTTCTCGCTTTCCTTCCTTTGGGAGTTCTCAGTGCTAAAAACAAGTTCTCTGAGAACCATATTTTTCTGGGTTAAAGGTGAAAAATGCAGCACTTCCTCCAAGTGGGAAGCACTCTGCCTGCCAGCTCTGGGCATATGTCCGAGATCCTTCCTCCCACTTGGAGAGGCGGGCGGGAAGGGAGGAGGGGAGAGGTGGCTGGCGGAAAGCAGAGGAGGGAAGTCGGAAGGAAAGGCCAGTTACTGCGGACCTGGTGCAGTTGGTGTGTGGAAACCAGTGGGCCTGTTTGTGTTGGAGCAGCTCAAGACCTGAGTGGGACTGATCAGGAAATGAAAGGCAAATAAGAAGGCAGCGAGCAGGAAGCCAGTCAGAGCGGTGACAGACACGCCTGACAGGATTCTGAGGGCAGTGCAGGGACAAAGACAACCCCACAGACTTGCCTGAGGGAGATCTTGGAGGTGGGTCTAGAGAAAATATACAAGGTTATTAAGCCCACTTTAGTAGAAAAAGCAAGAGTATTATTGGCCTGCACCCTGCTCCCATCACCCTTGCTTAGGACCTGTGGAAGGTTCTGGAGAGGTTTCTCAGATTCTGATTAAGGAAGCTTTCCAGGAACTATGGCTTCATAGTACCCTTTCTCCTCAGATGAGCTTACACTGACCCCCAGTTCCTGACCACTCCCCGAACCTTCCTCCTGGCCAGAATCCCAGGCAGACTTCTCAACCTGTCTCTCACCACAGCGGCTACACAAAGCCACGGCTCCAGTCCTGCTCCCTGTCAGTCCCTCCTTAGAAAACCACAGCAACTGTGTATCAGGAAACAGTAAGGGTAGCAGTCGATCAAGACAGAGGCACAGAAGACAAGGTGAAGGGAGAGGCCTACTTGAATTGAGCCTGTCCAGCCACTACTGATAGCTTTACCTAGCTCTGCTGTCCTCGGTCCCAATGCTTGTACAGAAGAAGAGTGGTCGGGATCCTTCACCTCCATGGCACGTCTTTCAGAGACATGATTTGCTAGGGTAAATGGACTCATTAATGGCCCTGATGATGTTGTATCCATTATAACTCACTTAGTAGGTCTGCTCACTATGAAGAGGAGGTCCCTTTTCACTGTGGGAGGGAAACTGTCTCTTTATTTCTTGTATCTGTTGCCGTAACATGCAGATGAAACAACACATCTCAGTTCTGAAGCAGGGCTGCAAGAGATCTGGCCCAGCTCTTTAGTGTTCTTACTCTCCCCCACTGTCAATGAGACAGGTGTGTCTACACTAGCCAATTGGTTCCAGCAAGATGAGGGTACGTACAGCAGATCCAAGTCACCTTACCATCCCGTCCATCCTGCGGATGAGGAACTCCAGCAAAGACTTGGAGAGCCACCTTGTCAAGATCCCCAAAGTGGAGTCTCCAGACTGGCCACTCAAGGCACAGGAACAACTGCGGTGAACCGTGGGCAGGGGTGGGTCATGCATGTTGGTTGGGCAGTCTTGTTGTGGTAAGAGGTAATGGCTACACTTAGAGACAAAGGAGCATACCCGCTAGTCCAAGCTAAGCTCTTCCCAGCTCCCCCGCCCATTAGTACAGAATGAGGTCTATTCTCTCAGCCAGAGGTTAAAGACTTGAGCCTCATAATTGCATCTGCTGTAAAGTCATTCCACGGTGCCTGGGTTCTGTTCACAGAGAGGGTGGGAGAGCCATGATCCTCCGTCTCTTACCCTGTACTCAGACCCTGAGACCCCTTGCTTGAGTCTTCTACTTTACCACTCCTGTACTTACCCTTACTGCCTGTAACCCATCACCCTGCCACTGTCACCACCCCACTTAACCCCACCCAGAGAGGTCTTCAGAGTCAACACACACTCCCAGGCCCTCATCCCTGGGTCACTGCATTTTCCTAGGGTAACACTTGCACAGAACAACAGCTCGTCTGCAGGACAATTCCTTGGCCTCCATTCAGCTGGATATTTTGCTAAAATCACAAGGATTATCTTTCTTCCCAGAGGAAATCTATTCAGAATGTGCCCTAAAAACAACTCTATTTTATCTTGGGAAGCGGTGGCCCTAGGACTCTCCAGGAAAAGGTGAGGGTGACTGAGAGGCAGTGAGACCCACAGTTTACTGCATGCCTGCTTTTTCAGACTGCATTCACCAAGTAACCAGGGCAGGAGACCAAGATCACTACGACTGCTGTTATTAATATTAATCCTTGCCACCAAAGGCTCCTAAACACAAGAGGCAGAAGGTTGTGGCATGAGGCAAACCTCTCTGGATTATTTAGCCATCTCTTAGAAGTCTTAATATGCCCAAAACTGTGCTTTGCACAGGGCTCAAGTCTTTGCCAAATGGATGCTGCACAAGCAGGAATAGAGTCATGCCCGAGACTAATTATAGCTCTCTCAGGAGCTGGATCATATTTCCTTCCACTGATGGGGGCAGCATTCATCTCACCTTTCCCTTAGTAAGTCCTGTCATGGGGACCCGCCAGGCGTCTGGAGTCATGTGTATACATAGCACAGATCACAGCTGATGGGACAGAAAAGGAAGCGCCCTTCTCTGTTCGGGTCCAGATCCCTGGATCCTGCTGGGGGCGTATCCCCAAGTCCCACACAGCCCTGGACTCTTTAGTAGCCTTGTTGTTCCTTTGTAGGTGTGGCCTCTGCAAAAGCAGTCACATTTCCACAAGTGAGTTCTTCCTTGTCCCCTTTATTCACATTTATTACAGATACTTTCCCTCTCTTAAAACAGCATGGCAGTGCCCCACCTCAGTGACACGTCCCTTTTAGTCTCTTCACCTTGGACCATCAGCAAGCACTGAAAGAGAATGGTCACCTCCTCCAGTGGCCCACCCTAGTCACTCTCCATCACCCCACTGACACTGCAAACGGCCCGATCCTATCTCATTTGCAAGAAAACTACCAGGAAAGTGTGCCGTAATTAAGATCATCCACCTTAACTTGCAAAAGCACACCTTAAGTGTGGACAGTCTGCGGCTATAAAAATAGACACATACAAAAAGTACAGCTACAAAATCGGGGGGGAGCCCACTTTCTTCAATTTGCATCATAAAAAGGATTTTTGCATTAGAGGTAAGCTTGGGAGAGGGGGCCACAGTAAGATTATGATTCTATGTTTAATTCCCCCCAAACCTTTATTTGTGTGGACTAGCGAGAGCACATTGAGTGAGCCAGTGAGGAATGGAAGGGGTTAATCTGGAAGTATGCAGTTCAGGGTCACACAGTCATTCTGCTAGTGTCCTAAGTCAGGGAAGGGCAGACATATTTTAATACTGTTCTGTGGGGGTTTTCTCTCTCTCTCTCTCTCTCTCTCTCTCTCTCTCTCTCTCTCTCTCTCTCTCACTCAGTCTTGCTCTCACTCTCTTAACACAGCATAGCCATTGAGCTACAGCAGTCTCTGGAACATGATGTGATGTGTGATCTCTCAGACTCTATATATTGAGCGACACAGTCCAATGCTTCCTATCCACAGTAGTCCATTGGGTTTGGCCCACAGAGCATTTGCAGAGAAGGCCATCCAGGGCCTCCAGTCTTATGTTCCATCAGGGTGTAGTTTGTCCTTGATTACAGGAAACACACCTGATTCCTAGACCTCTGTGTGCAGCATCAGGCAGGATCTCTGGGCCCCTGGGATGTTGCCCCTTGGACAAGGCCAGCCGGTGTTACTTAGCTCCACAAGTGTTGATGTTTTTCCCATCCACAGCATCTTCCACAAGGGAAATGTGGTAATCGGTGGACAGCGTGAAATGAGAGATGCAGCCCACGAGGCCTCGCATGTACTGTCTGTTCGTGTGCAGAGCGATTTCCTTCATTCCACCTGCAAGGAGGCAAAGAGAGAGGGAGAGAATGATGCAAGAGAGGTGTCACCGGTTGGAGATTCTTTATGGTCACTTGAGTGTCCCCTAGCCAAAGACTAACTGTCTAGTGCATCATATGTGTTAGGTTGATTTTGATCACCGAATATAAAAAGGCTAATCTCAGATGTGGTTTCTGGCTCAACTGACAATCTTAAAACCCAACAGCTCTGCAATAGATTACTGAGGTGTTGTATAATGTCAACAATAGGTACTGTCTTGGCTGCTTTCAATTAAGCTCACTTAGAAAACACAAAAGATATGAGTTCATGCTTTTTGTCTGCGTAACAGATTATTAGCCATTTATAGGAATTCTACTCATTCTATTCTGAGAGAGGACACGGAGCCGGATCCTCCTTCCTCAGAGAGAACTCATTTGGTTATATTTAGAAAGTTCCTATTCTCTAAACAAGGAAAGCCTGATTTTCCTGGTGGATGACAAGAACACAAAGCAATGTGAGTGAGACCCTTCCTGCCTCCTCAGCCGTGGGTCAGAAGTTCAGAACATGGAAGAATGAACTATTTGGACAGCTTCCTGGTTTCCAGGTATTTGGTTGACCCTGTTGAGTACACAGCCTAGGGACAACAAATAAAGGTCTAATGAGGAAAAGCCCTGACAAAGTGAGCTTTGGTCAAGGTCACTTACCCACATACAGAGCCCCATTGATGTTAAGTTGCCTCATCATGCCAGGTGACTTGCCTGTTCTGGCCCCATAGTCATCCACAGTAATCTTCCCAGATTGGCCATCCCTGCAAAGCAAAGTAAACTGAACCCGAACGAGATAAGCTATCATGTTTGGCGTTAACTCAATCATTTGGATTTAAAGGTATAAAAGTATCTACCATGTGCTAAATAATGAGGTTGTGAAACACACACACACACACAATGCCAACTTTTGCCGTCCCATGAGAAGTGGGACCAGTCCTGGCTCACTTCTTAATATCATCTATTCATTCATTGAGTTTTCAAGAATTTCCTCCTGCTGTGTTCTCTGTATTTCAAAAATGAGCTTTAGACCTTCATACCTGGATGCTGTCTATAATGGGCAATGTCACAGTTTGTCTGGCTTGCACTGCCTCCCATCCCCCACTACTCTAAACTATTCCCACTAACCTGATTTCATCAGTTACAGCAATTTTTAAAAATTTTTTTATATTTGTGAGTTAAAGATATAGCTTTTAATCAATGATATTGTAGATTAGAAAAAACAATAGTCACCTTCTGAGCTCCATAATGCATAATTCATTCTGCTTATTACTCATTGTTTGTTTTTTTACCTCCCCTCTGGGTAATGCAAGACAACCAAGGCAAGGTGTTAGTTTTCCTCAATGATATGTCTCAGGTGTCTGGAATAGTGTATGGCTCATAATAACAGACCACTGAGAAAGCCTTATATAAAAATGTAGTAATTAAGATGAACTTCCAAAGTTATTGTGGAAACTGTTATGCATGCAATTCACAAAGCAGAGTACCTGACACACATCTTGCTCTGTTGAGGTTGGCCAAGGGGCATGCTGCTATGGTTACTCATGTATTATCATATGACTGTTTTTATCCACAAAAATGAAAAATACAGATCTTAAATTTCTGTGAATATGAACTATTACAAAGCACCATTATCTGGCATAAGATATTGGATAAATGAGACCTTTCTTCTACTTTATTAGGTATCATGCTTGCAAGACCAGAGTTATCCAAAGCAAGACAGTGTACAAAACAGCTCACCTCCCCTTAGAGATTTCCTCTTTGTTTATTCTGCTGTCTCTGACCTTTCATAGAGAATTAAGATATCAACCCAGTTCTGTCTTACCATATGTGATAGCTATAGCCTTGACCCGGTTCCCATGAGGCCTGTCTGCTCACAACTCACAGATACTCCAACTGATTCAGCTCCTGGTCTCATCTCCTATCCAGCCTTTATACTGTAAGACACACTAAAGATGAGATCAATGGTGTCAATAGGAGGCGCTATGTCTGCTAAGCTATTTACACACGCCAAGCTTGATGTTCTGGTGTATTTCTCCCAAACAGCTGAAATCCCTGTGTGTGGGCTGCATAATGGCATGAGACAGAAATATTTTTGATCTAGGTTCTGCTCACAGCAATTTATACAGTTTTGGGAAATACATTTAACATGTTTCCTTAGATGTCCAGGAAGGGACTGCTGTCCCCACCATTGTGTATCTTCATATACATAACCAAACCACAATAACTATGCAAGTTTAAATTCCTCTACAACATGTGACTATTCTACCAACCATTTTGACCCAAGGTTATAAGCGTATCCCCTGATGTTGCTGGGGCAGCGGTTGGGATTCAATGTGGTTGGAGTTGAGAACCAAAGCATTTCACATTCCTTTGGACATGCCTGTGTGCAACCTCCTTTCTAAATGAGTGAGAGAGGAATGAGCCATTCCCAAGCTGAATAATTTTAGAGTATTTGCAAGTCAGGTTGGACTCTGCATTTTGACTGGTTTTCTAGAAAAAAAATTGAGATCCAGTTCTGTAAATATGCATTATGGAAAGCCATTTGTTTTCCCAACAACTAGAATTGGGACTTTGTTAAATTGCCTACATATACATCTGAGCTTTGTGGGCTGTCTGGCAGCAGATGTTTTGAACATAAGTCTGCTTTTGCATTTTCAACACCTTCTAAGGTTCCAAGGCAAGCACCGTGGTCAGGGCAGGGGCTGAATAAAAATGATCTTAACACAGCCTACATGGAAGCAGAAGAAGAAGAAGCTGACATTGCTGAGACCTTATGGCCCCAGGCCTCACATTGACCTGCTGATTCCATAGCAGGGGTCATAGTGTGTATGCAGGAACTGCAATTGGAAACTATTTGGCTTCTCTTAACTTTGGACTCATTTAACACTAGTACTGGAACTGCTGGTTTAGACTTGCTTTTTAATTTCTAAAAATGTATTGTTAGGAATAAGGACACATGTGGTAAAATTGTAAAGACATAGGGATAATCTGCCCGAAGTTAATAAAAAATCAGTATGGCAATTAGCATTGAGAGTGCATGGTTATGTTATGTGGGCTGGGTTAACATACATGATTTCTAATGCCCAGATAACATTCTTTTAAAGGTAAGGACTGTCTATGCAGGGACATTTAGAGCATTCTTTTAGGTCTTCATGCTCCTCAATTTTCATTGTGTGAGACTTTAATACCCTACTCCAATTTAGCCACTAATTTAGCAACAAATGTTACCAAGGATGTGTACCAAACTGAACTCTTAAAAATTGCTGGTAATAATGTAAAGTAATTCAACCACTTTGGAAATCAAAATGGAGATACTCAATAAGTCTAATGATCCAGCTGTACTACTCCTTGGTTGTTGGGGAAGTCCTGTTATTTGCCTGTTATTTGTCAATAAAGTACTGTTGAGCCTATAGGAATCTAGATAGGTGGGGCTAGGAGTCCAAGAGGATTCTGGGAAGGAGAAACACAAGAGAGTTCGAGATGTAACCACATGGATAGGAAGCCCGGAACTATTCTCCGGTAAGAGACATACTTAGATTAACAATTATGGGGTAATTACTTAAAGCAGAGCTAGCCAGTAAGAGACAAGCAAGGCCAACAGCTTCATAATGAATACAGCCTCCTGTGTGTTTATTTGGGACTGATGCGGATCTGTAACCAGGCGGGCGGGAAGGCTTCTCTCAAGGAAAAGGTTTCCCATAACACTTGGTAAAGCCCCAAGGACTCCAACCCTGTGTGTCACAGGGATAACTGTATGTTAATATCTATTGCAGTGCTGTTCATAACAACTAAGTTACAGAAGCAACGCAGGTGCCAGTTACCAGAGTATGGTTATAGAAAACGTGATATATATGATTTGTTTCAGCCATAAAGAAAGAACAAAAGTTATATTGTTCAGGAAAATGTTATTAATCAAATCAAGCTTGTCTCAAAAAGACAAATGTCATGCTTTTTTTCTCTTTTGTGTTTTTTTATTTATAGATGAGTAAAATCACATAAGTATATGTGACATGGAGGTAGAAATGAAATTGCATAAGGAATCAAAGAGAAGGGTAGGGATGATGGACATATGGCAGAGATGCGCTCGGCACACCTTATATACTTGTGTTCTTATGTAGAACAATGTGGTGTTAAGTGATTATACACAATGCCGTTTGTTAAGTGTTTTCTCCAGGCCATCTTCTTCTATTCAGAGCAGATGTAGGATTCAGTTCCTGCCCACTGGTGTCAGCAGAGGGCTTGGGTGGGATTTGGTGGTAATATGAGGATGCCAGGTAAAGCTGGCTTAGAGGACAGTAGGACTGAAAAGAAGCTAGGTACACATCCACCCTTTTGTAGCCTGGCTCTGCCTCCCATTTGGTGGGTGCTCACCTGACAGCCTTGACTCGGTGCCACCGGCCATCACTGAAAGAACCATTCACCATGATGGAAGCCACACCACTGCCCAGGTTGTAGCTGAGGGTATTGGGGAAGAACAGGGAAAGACCAATGAGACACAGACATTCAGGAAGCTGCCCATTCACAAAAGCTCTCACCGCCAAAACTCGCCCAGAACGCAAAGTCCTTAACTCGAAGTAAAAAGCCTGGCACGAAAGGTGGTCACTTTCCAGGTTCGTACATGAATGAATGAATGAGTTTTTAAATTTTCAATTGTGGCAGGATAAGCATTACACTTACCGTCTAAGCCATTTTAAGTGTACGTTTTGGGAGTGTTAGGAATGTTCGTGTGTAATTAACATTTACGGTACTTCCATCTTGCAAACAAATGCTGCACAGCTCTAGCTTTCCCTCCCGCAGCCCCTGCGCACCACTCTGCCACTTGTTAGCTTTGACTAACATAGACGCCCAGTTAAGTAGATCACATTTGGCAGCTGCCTTTTGTGAGTGCCTTTCTTAATAGTGGAAGGTCATCAGCGTGATTCATACCCATGTATGGAAGCATCCGTAGCTATAGCATTGGCATGAATGAGAAGAGTTTGTCATCTGTACTGGTGCCCAGTGTTCCTCTGAAATTTCTGTCCACCATGGACTGTATAATGTGTCCTTGCTTGGAAAGAGTCTGGTGCAATTAGTTAAAAGTGAAGCCACACTGGGTTACAGGGACCATCAATCAATATGACTGGTATGGTTATGAGAATAAACTTGAACACAGAGACGCATGGAAGGAAAGGGTATGCAGTGATGAAGGCGGAGGCTGTAACTGTGTATCGATTAGCTAGTAACACCAAGGACTGCCAGCCGGCACCAAAACCTCAACCAGAAGTAGCAAAAGAGCCTCCCTCAGTCCTGCCAAGGAAGCAGTGCTGGCAACATGTTGAATTTTGGATTCCTGGTCTCTAGAACTGTATAAACATTGATATTTTTAATGTTATAAAATTCATGGTAATTTATTGCAAAACTCCTAGGAAACTGTGAAACATTTTCACTTTAACAAAGAAAAAAAACTTTATTGAAGAGTAAGCTGAACTCTGAAGAATTGAAGAGACTTTGTCTGAAACCACAGAGGAGAGACATGAAATTGTATTTCTTAAATCCTCTGTCCCACTTCCTTTGATATCGGTTCTACCTTGTAGCATTTTAACTCCCAGATACTTTGAACCCTTAAGGAATCAGAAGACGTGGGTATGTTTACCAAGAGATAGCCCTCTTGACCCCTATTCACTCAGTTATTCTACTTTAATTCAGTCCAGCAAATATTTAGTGAGTGACTACTCTAGCCTGGGCAGGGAGCCAACTGCTGAGACTTTCCCTGGACAACACAAGCAGACCATGTGCTCAGAGCTCCAGAGAGTGGGGTCCACAGGGGCAGCTTTGCCCTCCTCATTAAGGGGGGGGGTTGTCTATACACAGTAGGGGGAAGAGGAAGGCTCGAACGAAGTGTTTGTTCCGTCCAGAGCACTCGAGACCTTTGTTCTGAGAACAGCACGAATAGAAAGTGCTTGATTTTCTCAGAGAAAATTCTACAGCTCACTCATTTCATAACAGAGTTTCAAAGAAACAGCATGGCCGCATCCCTGGACCGAGAACAGAAGCTGTGGTGACCAACCACGGGACAAAGCTGCCACGCAGACCCTAAAATCTGCACCACTTTCCAGCCCACGCCCCCACATCAAGTGTCTCCTATAAAAGAGCCAGAAGGTGAGCTTTCTGAGGATTCGTTTTGGAAGAGCCAATTGCTTTTTGAAGAAAAGAGTGAGTGTGGCCTGTAGGATGACTTAGAGGGTAAATGTGCTTTCCACGAAGGCTGGCAGCCAGAGTTTGAGTCCCAAGACCCACACAGTAAAAGAGGAGACCCAGCTTCCACAAGTTGTCTTCTGGCCTCCATATGTGCACTGTCACTCTCACACACACACACACACACACACACACACACACACACACACACTCACACACACAGAGGGAGAGAGAGAGAGACAGAGACAGAGACAGAGAGACAGAGAGAGGTACACAAATGTAATAATTTTTAAAGAGGAATGAACATGAAGCAGGATTGGGGTTTGGTGAAGTTACTGCATGTGGCTTTGCTGAGTAGCATGGGTGACATGTCATGGATCCTCAGTCTTGTCAACTTACCAAGCTTGTGACCTTAGGTGACTCACCTAATTCTATCAAGTACAGGTAAGACACTTTCCCCGAAGGACTACAGAGAAGGTTAACAGGACACACAATAGGAACTAAACAAATAATGTCACCATACCAAAAAAGTTGGTGACGCTTATTTGGGAGGTTGACAATGCACCCTGAGGAGAGGAGAGCCCTGTGGGGGAGTGGACCCAAGGGGCTAAACATGTAACTAAAGTGACAAGAATGCCCAGGTCCTATAGTCAGGTGATCTGTGTGAACCTGCAGGGAGCCAAACCTGAATGTGCCAGTCAGCATGCCTGTGACTCGAAAGTTTTCATTGTATTAGAACCAGGTGGGACAAGGTGAACGTTGTTTCCCCGAGGTCAATACCTTTCTTACTCACTTACAGGGACAGCATGCTCAAGGGAATCAAAATAATTTGGCGGACAAAATTCCACCATCACGTAAGACAGGGCAACTCAGTTGGTGTCTTCTAGCCCTGACTCCATAATGTCGAGTTGGTGCCTTCCAGCCCTGACTCCATAATGTCGGGCCCTGCAAAGAACCACCTGTTCATACTCTCCCTGGATTATTTGTTTAGTATGTACACACACACACACACACACACACACACACACACACACACACACACACACGCGCTTTGTCTGAGACAGGGTTGTCCTCAAACTTACTATGTAGCTGAGGCTGGCCTGGAACTCCTCCATCTTCCTGTTTCTGCTTCCCAAGTGTTGAGACTCTAGCCAGGCACCCACATACCTGGCTCTCCATATTTTAAAGTTCACCAGGCTGTCCACTGAGAAGACGTGCACGGCCTTGAAGCTATGCCTTGCTTTCAAGTCATAAAGGCAATGAATGAATGCTGGCCCAGTTGCTGTGTCAACATTACTTGACTCTCACTACTATGAATAGGTGATCCTAAACCACCTGGCTTGATGTGCACCAATGTCTCACCGGATAGCCAGCAAGGTGGGCAACCTAGGAGTGGCTCTCAGTCCGGCCTTTGGAAACTAATTGGCCATTTTCAGGCCTTCATGTGGTGACACTTTCAGTAATGTCCCTTTTAACCCGTGGTGAAGAGTACTTCTCTAATGTCAGACGTCTTCCTTTTTTCCTGGTGCCTGAAAGTGTTATGTGGTCACAATAAGTGGGAAAGGGCATCACATGATGTTTACAAAGCTTCCTGGTTGGTTTGTGCCCCACGCATGACCGACTAGAATGAGACAAACTACAGTGAAGTTGAAAGTCACACTCATTTCAGATGAGCACTTGGATTTCTCTCAGTGTTCAACTCGGCCTCTAAACTAAAGGTGTCTGTCTTGAGAGCTCCATTGCCCTGTTCACTTCTGCTCTCCGGCAGAAAATTCCATGGCGAGTTAGAGCAAAGGATCTGAATGCGGGTGAGGGGAGACAGTCAGAGTGCATCCTATTATCTCACAATTCTCTCCCATTTGTGTTAGAAACACTGTAACCTTGAGAGTGAGCTTGGGCACCCTGCAGAATAGTGTACACTCTAGCTAGTCAACCGTGACACAACTCCCTCAAGGCCAGAAGCTTTTGTTCTGATTTCCTTGTCTGTTTTTTGAAACAAGGGCTCATGTAGTTCACACAGCCTAGAACTCATTATCAATCTGAAAATGGCCTTGAATTCTTGGTTCCCTTGCCTTTACCTTGGAAGAGCTGGGACAATAGCTGTATTCAGCCACACCTTCCCAGGTAAGAGCCTGATCTTATACAAGTAACAGCAGCAGCAATGACTACATTTTGTAGAACTGCTGTACAGGCCTTCTTTGCTAGGTTATCTCACAGAGGCTGTGGCTTGCAGAGTTCAGAAACACTCGATGGAGGTAAGAATCTGTATTCTCCTTATCACTGAAAACTCATTGACGTGCACTTGGCCCTCTCCAAGATTCAATTCATTTCATCTTCACAAAATCCTTCCAACCAGCCTTTTCTTTCGCAGAAGCAGGGCTGAAAGAAGGCTGAGACCACACAGCCGTGGGGACCAAATGTGTGCAATTTCGACGACACTTGAGACCCTATTCCTCAGGGTGTGCTTTCTAGAACACTTGGGGTGCTTGGTGCCAATAGGAACCCAGTGTGCACCCACACTAAATCCCTCAGATCCTGGGGGTGGGCAAGCCCTGGAATAATCCACCCTTGTGACAAGCTCCCCAGTGAGCGTAACTCATTGTGTGCTGCGATTTTTAGCCTACCTGCCTATATCTTGATCAGCTTGCTCCCAGCCCAGCCGAGACTTCCCTTGCATCTGTGTTGGATGGATGTGCGAGGATGGAAGGATAACCACCCAGATGAAATTGCCCAGTAAGCAGCAATGCGTGGCTCCAGATATTGGTGCCAATCCATCCCCGCTTGGGACCTTGTGTATACAGAACACAAGAGAGCCCAAGAACAACTTCAGCAACTCAAGAAGGAAAGGGTAACCTAGGGTATGAGTCCAAGATGCAGCAAGCAATTAGGAGTTGAGGGGGGCGCTGGCAGGGGCTCCTCCAGGGCCTGCAGGGAGAGCTGAGCTGGTGGCAGCTGGTGGCCAGTTTTCTTAGGTCTCCGTGCATTGAATTCAGCTGTCAGTTGAGGGGGAGTGGGGCCTCTCTACCCTCCACTTTAGCTACTGTTTCAGTTCCCTTTTCTGGGTACAATCAAGTACTTGAGGCCTGGGTGAGGTTAACCACAGGAAAACCACAGAGAAATGGCTTTGAAGCAGCCAGCCGACAGGGTGGTAAGAGCTCTTCCTCATCTGACCGTGGGGCCAGTGAGGAATGGGGAGCAGGGGTGGGGTCACAGATGAGGGGAGAAGGCACAGTTGGAGAGGAGTTGCCCTCCCTTGTCAGTGTTTGCTCTTCAGCTACCTACCACTGCAATGGCCCCCGTCACAGGACAGGTGTGACACTAGAGTCACATTGCCCTCCAAATGCCTGTTCTTCAAATCAAGCAGCATCACTTGATTATCCTCACCTGGCTGGCAGTAACTCCACGATGCCCAGCACACACAGCTGACCAAAGCCCTGGAATTTAGTCTTCACCATGTCTGTAGGTCAGTGCTCTCTCTCTCTCTCTCTCTCTCTCTCTCTCTCTCTCTCTCTCTCTCTCTCTCTCTCTCTACTGTTCTTATTATTTACTGAACACTGGGTCCTCAGCCGAGGGGGGGTTGATAGAGGAGTAAAAGCTTAACAAATACCCCTTCCCCCATGGGGAAAACACCCAGAGCCAGAGCAGAGGCTTGCAGCAGGCAACTAACTGAACCTCCTGGTGAAATGGTCACAATGCAGCCAGGTAAGGTTGGGCCCTGGAGATTGACATTTCTAACAAGTTCTCCAAGGGTGTGGCTGGTTGGTGACAAGCACCTTTATCTTCATGTCTTGTTTTTTCATATTTCACAAGTCAGCCCCTACCCTTTAACAGTGAGCTCTCCCTCATTCTAGAAAAGAGAAGATCAGGGAAAAAGTATACAGGTAATTCTTCAGCCACTGCATAGCCATCCAGTTAACAACTTGGAGAGCAATATAAACTAACTTGAAAGAAGTCAGAACTGCAGGGCAGGAATGGTAAATACTTTTAATCTCAGCTCTAGGGAGGCAGAGGCAGACAGAGTTCAGTGAATTTAAGGCCAACCTAATCTATATAGAAAAGTTCCAAGTCAGCCAAGATCCCCCAGTGAGACCCTGTTTGGAAAACAAAATAAAATCTGTTCACACAGGCAGGCATATGCACAAATAAAAACCACTGAAAAAATTAACTTTTATAAAAGGAAGTCAGAGCTTCTGGGACAGCCTTGTTAGTTCCATTCAAGTATTTACGAAGATCCAGGTGTTAGGTTGCTCCATGGAGCTGTGAATCTGCATTTCCTTCTCCTCACAGCAGAATACCACAAACCAGCATGTGCCCTAAGGCTATGGAACTAAGTCAGGCAGAAGGAACTTAAAGCCAAGGCTCCTGGAGTCAGATTTTCAGTATCACTTCCAAGACTTCTAGTCCAGAAGTGGGGACTTCTAGTCCACGGTAGGGACACTTTAGAACATGGGCACAGAATGGCTCTGCAGAGGGCCAGATAGTAAATACTGAGACTTGCAGCAACAGTTCCCTTTGAAGCTTGTCCAGTGTGCTACAGCAGCCTGGACACAGTAAGAGACAATATAAGGATGAATGAGTATGACAGTAGTCCAATAAAACTTGGAGCATATTGGCAACATTGGGGAGTGGTGTGAATTTGCCTCACAGGCATAGATGTTGCTGATTGGAAAAAGGGAGACTCAGGTGAGGCCTGGGCCTTCGGTTACTGCCAACTCCAACATGGTGTGTTTGGGGTGACTCCTGCAGTCTTCAGCACACTTTGCACTGTCTGAAAAGAAGCTTCAAGATGAAGACAGAGCTTGGGAGGAAGTTACCTGAACACCAGGGCTCCATCCCGAAGACCCAGGGAAATGAAGTCACTGTTAGGTCTCAAGGGGCTATCTCCTCTCCACAGCAACAGGCCATCCCTGGCGGTTGTCTTAAACCTCATGAAGGCATTTGATCTTGATCCTGACACCCTGGAGGAAATGCACAAGAGAGTCCATGAAATCAACCACCAACATCTGTTTTGAGTCATCCCTGCCTTCCCTAAGCAACCAGATGTGGAGATAAACTTCCCTCTCAGCATCTGCATGCACTGGGAAATCAGAAGGGGTACTACCCCTACTAGTCGCATCATTCATAAAAGTTCTGGATGCTCAGCAGTGTCTGACCCTACAAGGGGACAATTGCAGAGTAAGACTTTTGGCCAATGTCACAGTCCCAGGCAGGCGACCTTACGAACCAGACTTTTTCCTTTCCTGCCCTATTATTACTCGATGGCTCCTGGGAAGCTGTCTCTCATTTCCCAGCTGAAAGTGGACTTCACAGTTGCCACAAGGCTCAACTCAGCAGTTTCTTTAGGCTCTAATCATGTCAATGGAAGACCAGCATGGGCAGCAATGACTGTCCTTCAGGCCACTCTGGAGGGGAGAGGACACGGACAAGGCTGGGGATTTCAAAGAAGGCTACTTGATGGAGTGGCTATTGGTCTTGGAAGGGTGACAAGACAGAATCCTAGGTCAAAGCACAGGAAGCTATGAGGATAATGGGTGTCAAGCAGGATGGCTTCTGGGCTACACGCATCTCTGGGAAGAGGCTCCTGGACTTCTATGTGCCTGTCATTTCCTGAGGCCAGTTTAGAAATTCATCTGACTAAAATTATCAGCATTCATCTGATGTGGCCTGAGGGTCTCCAGCAAAAGGTGAGGCAGAAGGAAACGTAAGTTAATATTGCCATTAACAAGACGCTATTAGAACCTAAAATAAGGCTCCTGGGGTTCAGATTTTCCCAAGCAGGCCAGTGCCACTCCATGGCTTCTAGACAGTAGCAGCACACTAGAACAAAGGACACAGACTAGTTCAACTCGTTCCTTACCCATTCTGGCAAGAAGAGTGGGGAGAAAGTGTTTTTCTTTCCATTCTCCCATCAGTGGTACCATCACCCCGCCTCCCTCATACCTAGCTCCGGAGCTGTACAGTGCATTCACTAGTGAATGCTGGTGGGACTTCTGTCTAGGCTTGCCATCGCCGGGTCTGGGTAAAGGCAACAATCTTGTCTTCGTCACGCAGGAGGCCTACCAGGCCAGCTTCAGGCAGCTTAGCCCTGACCAGTTTCCCGGGAACCTTCTAGTCTCTGACTTTGGTTCCATGTCCCTTCCCTCCCTTGGCAATGTGGACTGTGGTGAATCAGTCAAGCCAAGTCTGCTTTTCTGATCGATGCTTGGAATAAGAGCTGACTTGTAACTTATCATCCAGTTTACCAGGAGGACTCTGGGGGAAGCTTCCTTCTCTTCAGTGAGAGCCCCTTACACTTCCAGATTGACAATTATCCTACAAGTGCCCTATGAACAGCTAGGGAATATGTTGAGGGTAACAAGGCAGACGTATGAATGAAGTTTGAGGTCTTTCTTTGAGGACACAGCACATTCTCAGGATTAATCCTCCCAGCTGAAGACTGCACTTGTTACAGGCTTAGGGCATTTCAAGCTGTTTTATGTTACTTGCACCTCTGAAGGCATCAAACTGAAACAGCTCTTGAATACTTCCGTTTGTGTGGCTTCACACGGGTGTACATACATGTACCTACCTGCACACATCAACACATGCACTCCAGCAGAGGCTCCAATTTGAAGCTTCTCCATCTCCTCCTGCCACCACAGCACTATGGTTCATGGCCTTTGGCTAATCACTAGTGGCTGACCCTTGGACCCGTTACTTAACGCTATGCTTTGGGGGGCACTGAGTGACCTATCATTGGTAGGGAAGGACTAAAGAAGGAAGAGGGTGTACCTTGGCTGGAAATGCATCTCACTTAAATCCTCATTCCAAGGCAACAAACAGAAGCTGTAATTAGGGAAGTGAAGAAGGGTCTACCTCCTCCCACAGAACATGCCTCTCAATCCCTCCTGAACAGTCAGTCCATCAACCTGGAACCAAACTCTTAACTCTATGAGACTATGGCGGCCATCCTTATTCAAACCACTACAATAGTCTGATATGCCCACAGTCACCCAATGACCCAGAAAATGATCTTTCAATCAGTTTTGCTTCTCAAAACCCTAAATTCTGACCTAAAGTAGAGTGTCTTTAGGTTAAAGAGTTGTCATCTGTTACTATGCATTCAATCTAAAGGGAAAGGAAAATTCCAGAACAATTTTGCTGGTGATTGATTGGTGAATGAACATCACCAATGACAAAGGACCAAGGGACAAACTGAAGCTGCCAACAACAAGCTTGACTGAACAGACAGTTCTCTAAGAGCCAACTTCACTCTTGCCACATATACAGGCTGCTTGAAATTCTAGCCCATCCCTGCCTCCAGGGAACAAAAGCTGTAACTTGGGCATTTGTATCATGCATTCTGACCTTGTGTCCTGCTCTTCTGCCAACATGAGGAGAACCCAGCAATCTTCCCTGTACAGACAGAGCCTCAGGAGGACAGCCGACCTTTGCTCAAGAAGACATAGGTACTGGTCTAGCATGCAAGGGCTCCGAGCTATTTGATTGGGAACAGCTGAGTCCTTCAACAACTGGCTCCAGGCAGATCTGCAGGCTATGGCACCCAACAGTATAGAGCTAACAGCTCTGTTAAGGTCAGCGGTGTGGGGTTTGTCACCACACTCTGCCTATGGGAGCATCTAATTCCTCTGCCTCACAAACTGGAACATTGGAAACCCCAGGGGCAAGTCACATTCTTCCAGGCCCTTTGGCCAGAAAGGTTTGGAGTGCTTACAATGAATGGGGTTGTTTGGGAGACTTGTGTTGTTCTTGTCTCTATGTTTATTTCATGTGCCCCTCCCCAACCCCAGCCCACAGGGAGAATTATTGTCTGTCATGAAAGATAAGGATAAACTCCAGGAGTGATGCTGAGAAACTGACATCCAGGGAATAAGCAAGCTGCTGTGCTGGCCCATTACCTCTTGAGGATATTTGGATTGTCATAGGTCAGGTAACTGCGGCCGATAAACTGTGGGATCTCGATGGCTTCTGTAATAGCTGAGACAGAACAGAAAATGGAGGTTATGAGGCATACGGCCCTCTTGACCTCTACATTTTTACACATGTCAGTAACAAGGCAGGAAAGCTATCCATGGAATGTAACGTCTGACAGCTCATCAGCCCCTTCCTCTTGGCTGTGCATGCACTGGCCTGGCTCACAGCAGCCTGGTCCAGTGGCCCCCAATGGTTTCTCCCCTCTCTCCCATCTCTGGGGGCTGGCAGTCGGTCACTGTCACCAGTCTTGGCACTGCTGAGAAGGCTTTGCAATGTGATGAAACTTCAACTGTCCCCAGCGCTTCTTGGTAGCTGGAGGGGAGCCATGTGGAGAGCAGCTGGGGATAACCCCAGAGTTTTGCCAAGGGAGGCAGAGAGAGTTCCCGTGGGGTCGTGGGGTTCTTTACTTAGGGCTCATCTACCGAACCCCTACAGCTCTGCTGTGTATCAGCTCTGGCGCTGCAGCCAGCCACGGGAGGTCTTACAAAGCCCTCGTCCCGAACTCATGCAGAAACACAGAGTGGGGCAGGCTTGGCTATTCCCGTTTCAGGACCACGAAAATGAGAGTCAGAAGGGCCCAGAGCAGCCCAAGCTCCCCGGCTAAGACTGCAGCAGACCGGGAACCGGAGTGGCTTGCCTCTTTCTGGCTCCAGCCCAGCCCTTTCTTTCCAGCATTTTAGAAGTGAGTCTCCTTCCTCCCAATTTCTCGTGACTTGCTTTCCCCAAGGAATCACCCTTTCCTACACATCAAAAGAACAAGGCACGAGAACAGGCATGTGGGCTGTCACAGACTGGGATACGCGGAGGGGGTTTCTGCTGGAGAAGTAACCACACCACCTCTTTGGAAAGATACAGGGGAAACAGCTCAAAGAAACCGAGGTAGAGTGAATCTCACATTCAAAAACAAAACAAAAGCATGTAAAATGAAAGGGTAACTAGCTGATGAAACAGTTACGGCTTCAAGAAAACACGTGGTTGCTACCAAGAAGATGTGACATAAGGACTCCACACCCAGGAAAGAGAATGCATCGTGTGATGCTGTGGACAGTGGGGGAAGAGTTTAAATTTGACTTTGAAACAAAGAGAGAGAGAGACTGAGAGAGAAATGTTCACAGACAGTCAGCCACTGGGCCAGGAAAGGGAGACACACGAACTGGGAAAGCTAGAGAAGTGAAGCAAAAAGAGGAGGAATGAGCCATGGTGATGGGAGCCATGCTGATGGGAGCCATGGTGATGGGTGTGGAGGGAGAGTGCAAAGTGGAGGAAGAGGAAGAGGAAGGAGATGGGGAGGGAGAAGGAGGGAGCTCTTGGTAGAGGGACCAGACGCTTATTTCAGGAACTGTGCTGATAAGGAAGTAGGAGAGTGCCCAAGATGTCTGGCATAGGACCAGTGCCCAGCTGACTGGCATTGAACCAGGGCCCAGCTAGGAATCTGGCCCTGGCCTAAACATAACCAAGAAGGCCCCAGTAGGCTCCGCTCACTCCAGAGTGAGAGGTACAGCCAGGTCCCATTGCTGCTGTTGTTGGCCCTTTCTGTTGGCCTGAGTCCAACAGCCATCCTTCTCTTTGGACTTCTTAAAATGGTCATGATGTTTCTGTCACAAGTTAGCTCTACAAACAGAGCCTCAGGAGATACCTGTATGTGGGAGCTAAGTCCAGCTGCCTGACAACTAGAAGCCTCCAGTGCAGCACTCTCTGACACACAACTGGGAGAAAGCCAGCTTGAGGTCCTCCACTCTTGAAGGCAGATCTATGGGACCTTGGTTGGTGTGTCTGATGTCCCCACCCCATCTCCCTTCTGCCTGCAGTTGGCTGCTCTGAGCTCTTGGCCTGGCCAGAGCCGGCAGGCTCTGGCAGGAGCCCAGGTGGTTTGGGCTCTCCCAGGACTTACTGTACTGTACTTACTATTGAGGCAGTAGTTCCCACACTCTGCCAGGTGCCAGCATGAAAGAGAAAGGGAGAGTCAGCACTCACAGACATTGTACTCTGCATGGCTCACTGGGAACCAGACCAGACTGCTTCACAAAGCCCTTTTGTGGATCCAGAGGAGAGCGGAGGATGGGTTGCTGCAAGAGCCCCCGGAAGTTTCTTCGGGGCATGACTGGTGTTGTTCCCCCCTGGGAGCCTATTGCAGTTGAGGGTTACTGAGAACTAAGGATACCATACGTTCATCATAAGCTCCCAAGACTCCACCTTCAACCCTCCTTTCTACTATGCCTGGAAAAACGGCTCGCTGCTTGTGACTGTTCTTCAGCGTCAGGCCACGCATAATCAAGGGACAATAAGTCAACCAGTCACACGTTTGCCCATTGCCCTTTGCAGGAGTCTGTAACCAGGCCTTCTTGTGATTAACTAAGAGCAATGTATTCTCCAGAGACCACACCAATAGGGACTGTGACAATGCCCTCGATTTAGTCAGTGCACACAGGCATGCAGGTAAAAAGCCATTCCATTCAAAAACACCAGCTCTAGGCTTGACCATTAAGTCCGTTTCCCAACCTTCATGGTTTAAATTTTATTATAAACAAGTTTATATTTAAACCTAACCTTCAGACCTGGCCTTTCTGTGTTCTTTCTTTTGTGGTAATGGCCTGGCTCATGTATTAATGAAAATGTCTTGGCCTCCCCTCACATGTATATGCTAAAGCAGGTGTCATCAGGTGATACCAGAACTGTCAAAGAGTCCCATTCCCACCCTGTCCCCATCCCCCACCCCTCCCCCACTCCACCCCCACCCAACTATAGACATGGGAGGAGGGGAGGGAAAGGGAGAGGGACCTGGAACTGACTTGTGAAGCAACCTTGTTTCTTATCTAAATTTAAACTGAAAAATAAATTTAAAAAAAGAAAGTACTGTGTACCTTCACATTGCATGTGAGCAATCTGAGACTTAATGCAAAAAAAAAAAAAAAAGTGGGGTTTCTATCTACTGAAGCAGTTTTCTCACACAATGAAACAACAGCAAAAAGATTATTTTTTAATCACCCAAATCAGCTCTAGCAATATACAAATCTGCTAAGTTCGGCATAAAACATCCAAGTGCTAAACTTGTGTTAGATCAGCTTTGCTCAGGCAAGATGGATCTTTGAAGACCCAGCCTTGCTCAGGAATGTTATGCCTTAGGCTCAGTCTCTGCCTTCGAAGTTGCTTAGCTTTGTGGGATGCCGAACAGTCCACTTGCTATGGAGAAATGGCCCCATCTAGTGGTCAGCCTGACTCTGCGCCACCTGACTCCAAGCCCTTCCCAGGAATGTAGGACAGGGGCCACAGCTAACAAGCTATTATTTGGGGGGTAGGGGTAACCTGTTTGCTATGGGTTAGGAGGACCCCAAGACAAACAGCTGTGTCCTGTGTTCACCCCCAAGGCACTTCAAATATAGCAAAGGTTCTGACGAGTCCCATGGAAGAGGTAGCTGTGTGAATTAATTTAAAAAATTAACAAGCCCCCCAAAACACCTATGTAAAAGATTCTACAAGGCTGACTGATGGACAGATCAGAACTTCTGTCTGTGGACAACTGAAATGTTGCAAATCCAGAGTCAGATCATCTTGTGTTAACTCTAGCCTCCTTAGTTGCCACCCATCATCCACCCTGTCTGACCTAAAGTCTTCGTGGCTGTCACAAGAAACCTTGGGATGCATTAACAAAGCACTAGCTTCCACCAAGCCAGGAGCTAAGAATGTCATCTAACAGCAAATGAGACCTAGAACATGAGTTTCCCCATAACCCACCTGTCTTATGTTCCCACTGATGAATTGTCATAATACCTCAATTTATCACCTATTTTTCTATAACTATAGACACTGGAGGCAACCATTAGACCACTGGATATTAGGGTATTGGAGGCAATCTGAATCTGCATTCCTGGCAATCTGAATTTGTGTTTGGGCAATCTGAACTCATGAGTAATGCCACTCATATTTGGCTCCAGAATAAACCATTTCTCATTCCTTGTAACGTTAGAACTGTGTGTTGAATTAATAGCGGTTGACTGTTTAACTCAGATTTTTCCAAATGTATCTGACCACAGATCCCAGCTCCTGTCTTGTTCATGTGTAAGCATGTGATTGTAAGTTCTGATATGTGCACACATGTCTGTACTTGTGTGTGGAAGACAGCAGTTGATATCCGGTGTCTTTCTCAGTCATTCTCCACCATTTGTTTACTTACTGATTAACTCTCTCTCTCTCTCTCTCTCTCTCTCTCTCTCTCTCTCTCACTCTCTCTCTCTCTCTCTCTCTCTCTCTCTCTCTCTCTCTCTCTCTCTCTCTCTCTCTCTCTCTCTCTCTCTCTCTCTCTTATTTTTAAGACAGGATCTCTCATTGAAGTCTGAACTCACCGAGTCCACAAGAGCAGGTGTTCCCATGTTCCAAGTCCTGGGGTTTTTATGGCACATGCTGTCACACCAGGCTTTTTACATGGACACTGGGAGCTGAACTCAGGTCTTTGTATTTACACAGAGTACTTTACCATTTGCCCTGACTCCAAAACCAATTCTCCAAAGGAAGAGGCCACTCCTAGAGTAGACACTCCTTCGAATGTCACCCATTAGCTCCTTCACAGCATGCTTGTTAGAATTAGAGTCTGAGATTGGTAAAGCTACTCTGCTTTAAAAAAATTATGTATCATGCTCTGTCAGGCAAACTCCTGAAGTCATTTAAGTCTAAAAAATACTAAGCTGTTTAACTAGCAAATCGGAACCTTTCATATTTTCCATGGCCACTGCAAATAATGCCCTTACATGCCATGTATAAAATATGTGTCTGTAAAATTCAGTTTTTTGTTTGTTTTTTGTTTTTTGTTTTTTTTTTTTTTGGGTAAAAATCGGGCATCTGTAACAAGTGAAAACACGAGGAAGCAAGAACCGAGGACAGGGCCTTTCACAAGTTCTCTGACTTATTCCTTTCAGGCCTGTTGGCTTTAGTCAAAATCTAGTTCTAGGGCGGGTGAGTCATTCTGGCATTAGAAATAAGATGGCCTATGTAGCCCAGCATATGGGCATACATGATAGGTACATACAGGCCACTCCTAGATGTCTAGACTATGGCTTCTGTTTCCCTTAAGGAGGTATAGGAAGGGCCAAGTAGCATCTTTGGTTTGTGGTCTTCCCATCCTTTCAGACAGGGCCCATGATGATTCACAGCAAATACTAGAGAGCTAGCTTATTTCTCTCATCAGTAATAATAGTGGATAATGTCAGTGTGGTGTCAGTTGACAGCCTTCTAAATGTTCACACACATTACTTCATTTAGTCTGTACTGCAGTACTTGGTGAATGAAGACCTTTGAGACCCAGATGGGTTCAGTAACATGGGATAGAGCACTGGACAGAGGTTGTGCATGCTTTAGCTTGGGGAACTAATGCATTGACATTTGGGCAACATTTCTCTTTACCGCATCCAAAGATTATCAGTCCACAAGCAGAAGCACTCCTTTGCCAGGGTATTGTCAGAGTAGCTCAAATGAAGAAGTCCTTTAGTCCTTGCTGTGTCCAGGTTAAGCTTTTGGAAAACAGCCTATAAGAGGATTCTTAGGGAAGGGTCAGGGTATGAGATAGAGAGGCCCTTTACCTACTCTTACAGAGTTACTTTGAGACTGAATTCTTCTTAAGCAATTATAGTAGCTTATATGATGTAATGGCTGCCTGATATGCTACTGAAGTTGTTGATCAAAATGACCAGTGCCTGTATTGACAGTTCTCCCTTTAAGAGCACTGCTCTTACCATACCTGGTGTAACAGGTCTGCAATACCAGTATCTTGGGAGGTTGAGGCAGTAGGTTTATAAAATCAGGGCCTCTCTGGACTATAGATGAGTTCAAGGCTACTGAGACATTCTTTCAAAGCAACCAAACAAACAAGCAAACAAAAAACTACAGAAGGGGCTGAACATGTATTTCAGTGACAGAGTGCTTACTGAATGTGTGTGTGGTTCTGGGTTCACATCCCAGTACTGTGTGGGAGAAACAAAAAAGAATGACTCCATAATTCAGCTTATGGCCTCCATGCCCTCTAGGAAGCCAAGTTAAGACCCCAAAGGTACCTTTCTGGCAGTTCAGGCCTTCGAAGCCCAAGGGACAGTCACACTCATAACCCTCCTTCCTGGGCCGACAGCTGCCCCCATGGGCACAGGGGGCCCCCACGCAAGGGTGAGCCGCGTTATCCACGTTCACGCCAGATATAAAGTCATGCTTCACGTGGATGGTCCGGTCATTCAGGATGATCTTAGGATAGAGAAACACAAAGAAATTCAAGACTGGGGAAAAGAAACTTGCAGTTCACCAACCTGAGGCACGTAGACCGAAGGAGGTTAACCAACGAAAGAAAGTCTGCATGCTTATCTGGTTGTCCTTCAAATAAAGAAGAACTGAAGGGTTGAGTTCGGCACCTGGGGGAGGCTGCTGTTGTGATAAGTTACCTCCAAAACGGAAGCATTCCACCCTGCAGGGACACTCCTTAAGTTAGGAAGTAAACGACTCAAATTGGCTTCAGGAAGTCCCTGAAACTGATCAGATTTACTAGGGCTCTTCATCCTGACAGTATATGAGTAGTGAAGCCTGCTTAGAGACAGACAAGCCAAGCCACAAAATGGCTCTCAGACTGAGCTGCCTGGGAGATGCCCAGGGTTAGCAGTCTGGAAGAGAGGGAGACCAGACAAACTACACAGAAGAGGGTCAGACCAACTGAGCCCCGGGGAAAGGAAATTCCAACCTGGTGAGCCACTTGTAGGCTGTGCTGCCTGCTGCAGGTTTCTGGCGCTGTCACCCATGCTGGGGTGGGCTTTGGTGATGCAGCTGCTTTTGAGTGATGTCTGCCACTGTAAGTGACCCCTCACTCATATTCCTATAAGTCCCTGGTATTCTTCCTCCATATTCTGTGTGATGTCACCTTCATCAGAACCCAGGACTCACCGATTCTCCCACCCACTACCCTTGTCTTTCTTCTTCAGCATCTCTGAGTTCCCTCCCTCTCCATACCCTCAAGCTCAGACTCCCCCTTTGCTCCGCTGCACACACACTTCCTGAGGCAAGTGACCCTGTTCTTTCTTTCCTGACAGATGGCCCTAGGCAAAGCAGTATGTTACTGGGAAATGTTACTGGGTTCCTAGCCTCCTCCCAACTCTTTAGCCCTGACTTAGCCTGCAGAATGTCCATGTCCACTGAGCTGCTGCTGCTAGCTTTGCAAAACCAAGAGACACAGAAGTACCCTGAGGGAGCCCCACCCCCACCCATTGCTTGGGGTGTTAGGCTAGAGGAGGTGCATCCTCAAAACACTCTCCAAGAGGTTGGGGAAAAGCTTCTCCAGGTCCTGAATCTGAGAAACCACTAGTGAGGAGCCTGACCCTTCTCTAATCTCCCTCTTTCATGCTGCAGGTGAAAAATAGAAAACCCAGTATACGTATACTCCAGCCAGTACAAGCCCGGCACTTTTCTCATTCTGGCTGGGACACAGCGGGTGCCTCAGTCACAGAACAGGAAAGACAGCATTTTCCAGAGGGCAGAAGAGAAGGGCTGTGTGCTTGGTGAGCTAGAGTCCAAGCTTGGGGAGGGAGAGGGTGGTGTAGGTGAGCTTTTCCATACCTAGTACCTATGCAAATGTGACCAGGGCCTCTCGTGAAGCACCGAAATCTGATCTAAGATACCAATAATATTGTAGCTCCGCAGCAAAACTCCTTGGTCCCCATGCCACCCGTTATCACTAAAGGGAAACACGATGAGGCTAACCAAGGATCCAAGCTCACTTTTCTTCAGTGCTGGCAAACCCTGCAAGTCTGGGCTTTGTGTCAGTCTGCAAGTCTGTAGCCAACAGAACATATCCTCGTGACCCGAGGGCTCTTGGGCATCCCCAAGCGAAGGGATAGAAAGATACGTGGGAGTGGGGTCAGCATCTTCCGCTAGCCAGGCAGCTCTTCACTCTTCTGGAATGTATCTCTGGAATCTGAGAGCTCCGTTATACGATTGATGAGCAATGATGGCTCCAGGGTGGGTGGGAATAACAGTTGGCTCTCACACGGAACAAACTACACAGTAACTCAGAGAACAGCCTAAGCTGAGCTTGTTCCCTCCCTCTGCTCGCCTCTTTCCTGGTTACACAAGTGTCTGTTACCTCTCCTGAGGGCCCTAGGAAAGTTCAGGAATTTCTGCTAAAAAAACAAACAAACAAAAAACAATTCACTGTGTCTTCATAGAATCACTCTGTACTCAACAGGTGTGTGGACAATTAGCCTGTAAGCATTAACAAATAAATCATAACCATTTCAGCATTTCCTCAAACCATCTTTCTAAGGTACGCAGATAACTGATTACAACACTTAACACTACGTACAGTCAGAGTGACATCAAGCCCAAGGAAGTGAAGTTGTACCTTCTGGATGCTCCCACTAAATGGATGGAGGATGCCCGAGTTCTTCTTGACATCATCGTAGTTTGGGACTCCGCCAATAAAAATGTCCGTATTACACTTAATCTGGGTGAAGCCTCCCTGCCAAGACATAAAAAACAGCAAGCATCAGACTAACTTTAGGACAGATAGTGACAACAGCCTCAAGAGCCATCATAGAAACCTGGCTGCACATTGACTGTACCTTCATACTGTTTTATGTGGCAACTGAACACATTACTTAATGCTCTGTTTCATTGTGTGTATAGGATCATAATACAATATCCGAATCCCAGGTACACTGCAATGCATGTATAGACTACATCACAGTCCACTGGTGAGCAGTACTCATACTCCACCCTCAGGAAAACCGTCTCAACGGAAAACAACGGTCTCATTCACACCAGTGTTTGAGAGAAGCAAGTGTGTCCTTACCTCTGCCATCCCCTCTACTACCTTCTGCTTGTCCACCTGTAAAATACCATTCTTCGCTGTTCGAGACACACGCAGCTCATGCCATTGGCCGAGTGTGAGAGGATCCTCACTCCTGTCAGAGAAAATGTGATGTTAACATTCTATGTCCACTTGACTGGAAGAGGAAACCCAGATGACTGACCCAGTACTTTTGGGGTGTCTCTCTGAGGAGTTTCTGAGAGATAAGCCTTTGAACTGATGAACTGAGCAAAGAGGACAGTCTTCACCAAAGCTAATCTGTGTGGGTTCAAACAGAATGAAAAGACAGGAAAAGTGTGGGCTTTCTCCCTTTGCTGGAGCTTGGTCATCCATCTTATCCCGCCCTTGCACAGTAGCACTACTTCTGGTTCTTCAGACACGGGTAAGAACTTGTATCACCAGTGTTCTGTCTCTTGGCTCTTTGGACTCCGACTGGGACTTGTGCCATGAACTCACCATAGGCTTGGGCAGAACTACACCATAGACCTTTCTTGGCTTCCAGCCTCCCTGAAGGAAACTGTGGAATGCTTTAGTCCCATGATCACAAGACAAACGTTTTCCTGCATTTCTGTCTATTTCCCCATTGGTTCTGCTTCTCTGGAGACTCCTGACTGATACAGAGGGAAACTGAATGTGAGTCAGTGTGCCACGGGTGTGAACCACCATACCACCAGTGCAGCTGCGATGAAATGGATGCCAGCCTAAGGCACCCACCTGTGTCAGTTATCTTTCAGGTTGCTCAAATACCCAACAAGAAGCAGCTGAATGGAAGGAGGGTCTGTTTTGCAGTTACAGGAAAGATATCAAGTCCTAGTAGAGATGGAGTAGGTCATCTGACATCCCTCAGTGAATGACTGTGACGTGGAAGAGTAAGCCAGACCAACCTTTTCCTCCACAGCTGTTTTCCATCATGGTGTTTTGTCACAGCAACAGAAAGCAAACCAGAACACACAGCAAGCATATTTACCAGGTAACCCATCTTGTGAGCCCTGCTCGGTTTTTGAGACAAAGTCTTGCTATATAAATCTCACTAGCCTGGGACTTACCTGTGTAAACCAGGCTGACCTCATATTCCCATAGTTCTGCCTGCCCCTGCCTCTTGAGTGCTAGGATTACAGATGTGCACCACCATACCTGGCTCATTTTGAAAAATTTCATAATAGAATACTTGGGAAAATGCTCCGGTTTGATTTGGAAATGCCACCAAACATCATGTATTAAAAAACTTAATCCCCCAATGCAACACTGAGAGTTGTGAACTTTGACAGAAGACTAATTAGGTAATATGGCCTTTGCCTCATGAGTGGATTAATGTCATGATCTCTTGGGATTTTTCATAAAAGTCTCAATTTTAGTCCCTTCCTTTCTGCACGCTCATGCAGATGTGTTTTCATATTCATCTATCTCCTCTCTTGGGGTGACATAGGAAGGCCCTTGACAGAATGTATGCTATTTGATCTAGGATTTCCTAGACTCCATTCGTTTCTGCTCTTCACACATTCTTCCTGTTTCCCATACTCTGTTAGAGCAGCACACAAAGATTCAGGACAAGGAGAGACAGTCTGTGTTTACTGGTGCTTTGAGTGGGATGGCAATGGATCTAAAAGTTGAGTTACTAAGTCAGGGTGGGAGCATTCGATTCTGAAATGATACCTGCAGGAGTTTCGCACATTACTTTTTAGAGTGGTGGGTGCAGAAAGAATATAATTATTGCATTTCTATTTCTAACAATGTCTAACTCCTGGCCTTCACTGAACCTCTCAATTACCTTTTGGTCCTGTATCATCTTTAGAAAACTACAAGGAATACCAATAGCATGGTTATTAAAGGGTCAGCACCCCCTAATTTGATTCCTCTGCTCCAGCAAATGCTTTTGTGATTTGTCCTTAGCAATTAGAATTTAATCACCTTGGCTAAATCAATATGCAATAAAGAAACAAGCAGGCCTTTTTAAGTGGTCTATTTCCATAATGACTAACAGCACACTTGTCATGTTCCTGTCCTGCAGAGGTCACTGGTTGTCAATCCAATACCTTCTTCTGCACAGTTATATTGATCAGAGGCATCAAGAATGCATTCCAATTGTCTTGATGTTTGAATCAAGCTCATAATGATTTTGACCACAATACCCTTTTCCTAAAATTAAAATGACTTGGCCAGTTCCATAATTTCCTATGCTTCAGGCTTTCACCAAATGTCCTCAATTAAGTGGGGATTCTTTGAAATTTCAAAGCAAGTAACTTCCCAAGAGGCATGTGAAATACTAACAGTTATCCATGCTGTCAGGCTGCATGGAGCAGGGCTGGGATGGGAGGTCAATGGTGGTTTAATCTTGTCTTATTTTCACTCAGGATCCGAGAATTGTTTTCTCTTATCACCTTCCCTGACAGGTAAGAAAAGGATAACTCGCACTGAAAAACAAAAAAACCCTAAAACACCACTTACTGAAAATTGACATAGACGTATGAAAAAGAAATGGTGGACATCTTAGGCTCTAGCTGCCAGTGACCCCAAAGTGAGATCTGTCACCGCAGAAGGGCAGGTGTGCAGGGCAAGTGTTCAGAAGGAGTGTAAGGCAGGCCTATGCCTCCAGATCTTGAGGTCATACTTTACCTGAAGGGTTGATTCAAAGTGCAAGGTGATTACCAAGGTGTCTTCCTCTCTAAACTTGACATATAGTTCTAAGTGAATTGCTTATGCTGTTTTGCATAATCATATGTAAATTGAATTAATTAAATGCTCACAAAAGTTGTCTTGAGATATAGGATGTTTTACATCACTAGAGGGAAGAGAATGTTTGTCCCTTCCCCAGGCTTGGAGGTGTCAAATGATGTAGAAACTCGGCCACAAGGACAAAACAAAAATTCCTTTGACTAACAGTTGAAACTTTATGGAGATAGCATTTCCCGTCAGCCATGAAAAAGTAGTCATCAGTTTAGGGCAATGAGTGGTGTTAACATCTCCCATACACGCCTTCTAAAAATGCCAGGCTAGCAATATGAACAACCACTGAGTACAGACACAGTTTCCTTGAAAGTAACAACAGACTGAAAGCCCGTGGCAGGGTTTAAGCAAAGTCCCAGGCAGTTTCAAACAAAGAATTAGACAAACATAGCAGTGGTGACCTCTGCTTGAAGGTTAAAAGTACTCTAAGAGAAACATAGTAAGAGGTCATGCTGTCAAGCTGACGTCTAAATATTTATGTTTGCACCCACAGACCTCAGTTGCTCTCAACATTGGTCAGAAAAACTTGTTCTGCAGTGTGCAGTGGTCAATGGACAGATGCATAACTGATCAAAGTGCTAGAATAAGATGATAAGGGATTAGCTCAAACAGGCACCTATATCATTCCCATTCCCACCCTCACTCACCCACCCCGCCACTAGGGCTCCAGGATCAGTAAAGAGGAGGAGGCAGAGAGACTGTAAGAGCCAGAGGACAGGGAAGAATGCTATAGTAAGCTGTCTTCTGGACTTCATGTGGCTATGGCAAGTGTCAACTCAGCAAAAGCTATAGTTACCTGCGCAAGATCAAGCCTGCAAAATGCTGGCAAAGATGTGGAGGGTGATCTCCAGCTCCCAAGCCTCATCAAGGAGCTATTGGCAGTTGGTAGCTACCGGGAGAGGGAGAATCATCCTTTTTTTTTGGTGTGGCCATGGTAGGATTCCCAGGACTCAGTAGATAGCCCTACCCCCACAATATATAGGTAGCACTAATGGGACTTAGTGAGTTACTAAAAAACAAAAAGATATGAAGTTAGGAAGGAAATGTGTTGGAAAGAACTGAAGTTGTAAACAGGGGAGTAGATACGATTATATTTCACTGCGTATGCGTACAGAAGTCTCAAGAATAAAGACAAATAACTGCTCATATTTTAAAAATAGATAAAACACAAATTATTATTTTTGAGGTAGGAAGGCATAAACAAGAAAAACATTTGTATCTACCAAACAAGGCTCCAAGGTCCATGGAACCACTGAAGAGGTATTTAACAGTTCAGACTAGAAAACAACATGAAAGTTTTGGCTGCTCCAACCAATCTGCCACGGATGATCAAATGCTTTAGAAGTCCCCTCTACTGAAACGCTCATATGTCCTACTCCATCCAGCATTTGTGGAGGCACCGTCTGGTCCCTTCATAGGAAATGAGCATATAAGACAATTGCCAAGTTGTGAGTTACAACCAGGAAACTAGTTCAAGAAAAAATGTGTAATTTGATCTTTCTAACATACCCATATATGTGGTGCATTGTGTGTGCATGTGTATGTGTGTGTATGCCCATGCATATTGAGGCTGGGGATTGACATCAGATATGCTCCTCAAGCACTATCTGGCTTGCTTTTGGAGACTGGCTGGCCAGTGAATTCTGAGGACCGACCTGTTTGCCCCCACGTGTTGAACTTTCAGCTGTGTGCTGCTGCTCCTGACTTTTGACACGTGTGCTGGAGATCTGACCTCAGGTCCCCATTCCAGTGCAGCAAGCACTTTAATGGCGGAATCATCTCTCTCCAACCCCTATTAATACTTTTTCATAGCCAACATTTATTTGTTGAATGCCCAATATATGCTGCTCTGTGTGAGGGATTGGTTGTAGTCCCCTGAGTGACTGGCTACTGATGATATTGCATGCCCTCAGGGGAAAATGGAGGCAGGTTGCTACCATAGGTAGCAAGTCCATTTTCCGTCATCTGAAGCTTGGAATTAATACCTGTCTGATAGGTATTTTGTGAAATGAAGGAAGAGGGGAAGAAAGGATGGATGGATGGATGGAGGGAGGCAGAGAGAGAGAGAGAGAGAGAGAGAGAGAGAGAGAGAGAGAGAGAGAGTGTGTGTGTATACAATCTACAGGTGGTCTGGCATAGTATAGAAGCAGGGCACGCTTGCACAGATGCTGGCAAACAGGAAACAGGAAGAGAGTGGTGGGTAGCAATTTAGTAGTCACAGTAGTAGCTGTGGCTTTGGAGAGGAGGAAGTTGCACAAGGCTTTGGCCCTCACCTGAGAACTCCAGTCCCAGAACCACAGTCAAAGCGGAATTCTACGTGGCCCCCAGCCATATTGATGGACAGGAAGTCCTTGCTGCCCGTGTCATAGCTGTACAGGAGGACACCGTCCGCCGAGTCTGGCCGAAATGTGATCTCAAACTCCGTGAAAGAAAGATAGTGCTGGGGCTCCAGGGGCCAGGGTGTGGCAGCATAGGACCTCAATGACTCTCTGAATTGAGGGATGGTCAGGGCAAATGCTGAAAGGCAAGCAGAGTGTTAGACATCCCAGGGAGGCCCAGACCAGCCAGTGGCCTGCATGGAGCTGTGCTGCTTTCCTCCTGCGCAGGGACTTACCCACATCTCCTAGTTGCTCTGTGAGTGGCAGGCGGCATGGCTGAGTTCTGGCCAGGGGAGTGTGGGTGGAGTATCATATGGCCCCTCAGGCCTGGTCCCTAAACCTTTCTTCTTTTCCTGGTGCTTATCTCTTCTCCTACCATGCTTGTTAGATAAAAGACTCTGAGGAGGTAAAACTTTGCTCCTTGTATGAGTTCATGAAGCAGAACAACCTCTAACACTACCAACCTGAGGTAACATAGCAATTGAGCCAAGAATCAGCCCCTCTTATGTGAGGTTAAAGAAACCTAAGATGTCTTTGGCTAGCCCTGGCTCAGTAACTCTCTTCCACAGACATGAGATTTAAGGAGATAGTGAAAAATATATTTTCCCTTGTGTAGTATCTTAGTTTCAAATATGAATCATTCATAGATAAATTTGACTACTTGAGTAATCTTAGCTCTAATTTTATTCTCCTTTGTTTTAAATTTTTGAGTTCTGGAAAAATTAAAGCAGGTTCAAGGCTTCATTTTCCCCCAAAACCTTTAAAAAGTTCAGTTATTGTTTCTGAATATTTGTATGTACCTATTGTGTGTGGCAGTATATTGCATATATATGTACATGCATGGCTGCATACATGTGTGAGCTTATATGATGTGGTCAGAAGAAAGAAATGAGAACATGAGCACATTTGTCTCATGATGTTGATGTGTGTGCACTTTCCCAATATTTTCTTGGAAACTCAGATGTTACAAAGAGCCTGGGGTTTTAGTACATGTAAGTCAGTCTTATACAAACCACACCAGCTCAGGCTTTCCAGGTGCTATGGGGAAGACCAGAGGAGCCAGCTCATGCTTAACTTATTGAAAGGAGCGTATCTGTGATTGGTTTAAAACTTTGGCCCTCTGAGACTCTCCATCCCTCCCAGCAAAGCAACCTGGATCCCGTAAGAACGTGCAGGATTTTGCTGGATGGGCACTGATGGAAGGTTACATCCACATGCATCAACACACTGCCAGGGCCCACCGTCTCACCATCTTCACAGTGTCGGCCTCTGAAGCCCAGCGGACAGAGGCAGATGTAGGAGTCGGCTTTGATGGCTGCACAGGTTCCTCCGTTGATGCAGGAGGCCTCGTCACAGATCCCACTGCTGCATTCCCCTGAACAGAGCGAGGGTCACAAAGCCAGGTCACCAGGTGCAAAGCCAGGTCACCCAGCATCACACAGGGCCTCCAGTTCTCCTGTCCACCCTTGCGTAATGGCCCAGCTCTCAGCAGAGGGGAGCCTGCTCTTCTTCACTTTCCTCTCATGTTGACTGGTCCCCTGGAAGAGCTGGAGACTTTTTCAGACATGATGAACACAATAAATCAAAGGACACATTTTATAACCACCGAGGGGGATGATGGAACTGTTCCTGCCTTTAATCCATCTCTGCTGTTCCCGAAAGTGGGAAGGACAACAACTCCCCCAACATCACAGTGCTTATGTTAACAGCATCCTGATCATGTGACCCCAATTAGCTTAAGTGCTACTGCCTCGCTGGTTCAAAACTCAACCACCCAAGGCAAGCCTGGAAACAGCAGAACTCCATCACTGAGCATCTCTTCTGGGGCAGGACGAGGGGAGGTGCCACGGTGCCTTGGCACATGCTCCAGAACCCTGTTTCTCCTTCCACAGTTAGTTTCAAGAGGGACAGAAAGGTGCGTCATAGTAGAAACACTGCAGGTTAACCACAGGATGTGTGTGTGAGAGAGAGAAGACACACACACACACACACACACACACACACACACAGAGAGAGAGAGAGAGAGAGAGAGAGAGAGAGAGAGAGAGAGAGAGAGAGAGAGAGAATTGTGTCTTTTTATCAAACAAGCAGAGTATTCTAGAAGAACTACCTTGTCATTTTCGCAGGCATCATCTGACATGGAACTCACTGACTTGCTCTAGCTGCCTGTCTCCTGCATGCCTCACCACAGTCTCTCCACAGACACTAGGTGAGTACAAGCCACTTTTGCCAGGGAGCCAATGCTCTGTCACACTTAGCCTGATTTGGTAGCCAACTACCAAGCGATGATCAGGCCCCCTAGATCTGGCTGTGTCACCCCAGCAGGGTCAGTCCCAACCTTACTCCCTGACCATAAAAACCCTGGGGCAGGGCCGTGTGCTCATTTTTCTCACAGGACTGGGATGAGAAGACCAACTTCAGGTGGTGAAAACAATTAAAAAAAAAACCCTGGCTGGTGGAATACCCTGGTGGATCGGTCTCTGAGAATTCCAGCGGCTAGCCACTGGGTCAGTAAAACTGACTGAAATTTCCTTTTGGTCTCAGCTCTGAAAACATGACCCCCAGGAAGCGTCTGGAGATACCCGTTTTTGTGTGAACGCTGGTTTGAAGTCTGAGGCTATTTCAGATTCATGGGGAGGAGAGTAATATCCAAATCTTTCTGCAATGTTAACTTTTTTTAAGAGAAGAGGATAGACGTAGGGCATGAAAGCCAGCTTCCTTGAGGACTTCCATGAGACTGCTCTGTGAATGGCATCCCAGGTCTCTGATGGGGAGGGAGAGAGGAAGAAATCCCATGGGGAAGGTGAATGGGGACCAGGGAGGACCACAGTAGCAGAAACAGAGGTTGTGAAGAATCAGAAAGAGGAGAAGGGCTTCATTATGGAGGCTGGGGGTGGGGGGTGCAGAGCAGCCAGCTCACTCTCAAAGAGGGAAGAAGAGAAGGGCAGAAGAGGAGTCCCCTCTGGTGCCACCTAAACTTAAAGACACTGTCGACACGTCATTGGTGGAGTTGGACTTACAGAGAGAGCTTCCCTGAGTTCCTGGAGCTGTTAACAGTAGGCCTATGCCTAGGATGGTGGAAGACACGAACTGAGGGCGGAGGTCCAGGGGCACCCTGAACAGCCCGGTTATTATGAACTGATAAAAGAATACCGTGTTATAGACAGAGCTCTGTCTCCCAAACACACAGGCTGAAGACCTAACTCTCAACATGACTGTGTTTGAAAGGAAGACCCCTAATATTCCATGAGATCACGAGAGGGAGGCACTAATATGGTCTGACCCACATCCTTAGGAGAGAAATTCTGGACACCTGAGACACAAGGGATGTGCACAAAGACTGACCATGTTTGGGAGATATAATACCAGTCAAGGAGAAAGGCCGAGGAGAAAACAACCTGGACATTGACCTCGCAGCTCTTTCAACCATGAGGAACGGATTCCTGTTCAACCCACATAGTCCATGACATTTCGCTGTCATGTGTCAAGCAGACTCAGGCAGCCCCTGAAGGAAAGAGTCCACTCTGCTGCTTTCCAGGGTTGAACAGATGTTCTTGTTGCTGTAAACCAAACCCAGCTCTGCGGCCACCCTGGAGAAGCACCTCACTCTGCCAGCCCCCATTATCCGTCTAAATAGTGGCTGTCATGATATTTTCTCCCCTCTAAAATTAGGGTAAATGAGAGGGTAGACAAGAAAGTATTGGACACTGTGGTCAAGAGTTACACTTTAGGTCTGCAGAGATGGCTTAGTGGCTGAGAGCACTTGCTGCTCTAGCAGAGGGCCCAGCTTCCATCACCAGTATCCACAGGGTGACTCACAACCACCTGCAACTCCCGTTCCAGAGGACCCACACCCTCTTCTGGCTTCAGTGGGCACCAGGCACACAACACATCCACACGTGCATGCCATCATGGATGCATCAGGGTGAAAGGTCAAAGTGCATATTTTCTGCCCAATGAGCTCAGGTTAAGATGCTTGCAAGACTCAGCAAGTTTGGCCTGAGGATGAATAAGATCACAGGGCACAGACTTGGGCTCATCACTCCCGAAACCCTGTGTGAAGCAGTTGTCCCATTACTCACCCCAACCAGAAGGGAAGTCCCCAGGTTCAGGCTAGCCCCTGGGCACTCACCTACATCTGCCCCATTAAGGGCTTTTCCCAGTGGCCAGGGTCTCATGTCAATCCTCTTCCCATTAACAGCAAGTGACTGCACACAGCCTTGGAAGCCACGGTTTGTCCCTGTTGCTCTCACCAGCCAGTAAGCGCTGGGAGCGCCACCAAGGTACAGAGGTGTCCGGAAGGTAATTTTACTGTACTGGCCCTTTAAGAAAAACAGAATCTTTAGCTCAGTTTAAAAACAGAAAAACCAAAACACAACAGATTGCATTGAGGTGGGTGGCTAAGATGTAGATTAAGACCTTAGGGATTCTTTTATCTGGGTTTGTCTTTAGGACACGGCCCTGTTGGGTAATGAAATCCAGTTACTGACTACTGTAGTGAACCCACTGACTCCTTAGAGGGCTTCACTTCCAGAAGCAGTGGTTTTGGAATGGCTGCAAAGGAGGGAGGGAGGTCAGATCCAAGCCAACCTAGTCGGCTTTGAAGCAGGCTGGCATCCAAACACAACAGCCCTCTTTCTGGTCCTCACATCAATCTACTGTGTACCTTGGGTGGGTCACGAGGCCATTCTGTGCATCTAAAGGTGGCAAGGCTCGTGGGGGAACATCTGCCTGAACATCTGCCCTCTCACAGTCCCAGGCCCCTTCATGCTAATACTGTAAGAAGAACTGTTACTGGGATGTATCCAACAAGTTGTGTTATAAAGTATCTTGAAATTTGCTCCTGGGTTTGACTCCTTTTATTATTATTTTTAGTTGTTACCTTGAGTCAAGGAAGCTTCTAACAAACCAGCAGTCTGAATTGTAAGTTTGGAGGTTACACAGTACAGGGCTGAACATGAAGTGGGGGGAAATTAAGACAATCTTGGTTGTTCTGTATATGGTACACGAATACCTCATTAATCTAGATTAAATGATAAATGTGGGAGCTGGGGGAAAGTGCAGTCCTAGAACTTATAGAATGTCCCAAGTCAGTCCCTGACTATAAAGTGTACCCTTAAAGTGGTTGCTTCCAGCAAGTGGGAATCTAATCACTGTTTGATCTCTGCCAATGACCAGGTACGAAGCACATGTAAATAGGAGTCTGAACCCCTCAGTACTCAGAAGGTTTTAAGCATTGTCCTCTGCAAGCTGCCTCCATCATATGAATCAAATACTCTCTTGGCCTGTTCTGTCCAGATTCTCAGAAGTCAGTTCTGGACCCCATCCTCACTGTTCTGTTCTGATTTTGTTTCCTGTGGGGCCAGAACAGGGAGCCTAAAACTCAGTACTGTTTCCTGAACACTTTCTAAAAACACCCTATGCACAGGACTTCACCTTGGGCTTGTTTCTGGGAACCATCTTAAAATAGGATTACTGTCTCCTAACAGTAGTTATTCCGCAGTCCCCAGATGACATCACATGCCCTTTGCAGTTAATTTCTATATCTGATAAAATCATAGGATACTGGGTTCGAAAAATTATGAAGCCTCATATAATCCATTGGTTGCTGGATTCTTTTTTTTTTTCCTTTTCAACTCTTTTTTTTTTTTTTATTTTAATTTTAAATAGCTTGTTTCACATGTCAATCCCAGTTCCCTCTCCCTCCCCTCCTCCCGCACTCCCCTTCCACCCTCCCTCCCACCCTATTGCCAAATCCCTCCACATAGGGGATGTCTAGAGTCTATCATTTCACTCTTGGTAGGGTCAAGGCACTCCCCTAAGAGTCCAGGCTGAGAGAGCATCTCTCTTTGTGCCATAGGCACATGAAGACAGATTGTATACCAGGGATAGACACTGATCCACAGCTCAGAGCCCCATAGGTTGCCCAGGCCTTCTCACTGACACTCACATTTGGGGGGGTCCAGATCAGTCCCATTCTGGCCTCCCCACTGTCGGTCTGGGGTCCAAGAGCACTCCCCGATTTAAAATACTTTAAAATTTATTTTACATATCTACCACAGTTTTCCCTCCCTCCTCTCCTCCCTTTCCCTCCCTCCAAATTGCTGGATTCTATGCATATCTCTCTTAACAGCTTATACATGCTACTCTTTTAATATGCCCTGGAATACAGACACGCTGCTGAGACAGTCTGCTGGAAGACTCCCTGAGGCTCTCCCAGAAGGCTGACCCTTCTTTCCCAAGCATCTTTCTTTCTTTGACCTAGGCCAATAAATAAATAAACAAATAAATAAATGAAATAAATCGCTATCCTGCCTTCCTCTTTCCTGCTCCAAGCTAACAAAGCTCCACTGAATCAACCAATCACTGAAGACATTGCAAGCCAACTTCCTGCTTGGGTGGCGACCATGGAACGTGCTCTTATCTCTTAGAATGTCCTCACATTCCTTCAGCAGGCTAGAGTACTTCAGAACCACTGAAACAGAAGATAGCTGTTTCTCTAGATGCCACATCTCCATTCATTCAGATGTATGCTTCCTTAGCTTATTGGGGTACTAAGTGACCCTGTTAGCCAATCTTTATTAAAGAAAAAAACAAATAACAAACAAAAAAATCCTTGCTTTCAACCATCCTATTTTCATGATAGTTCTTTGCACTCCAGGTTGAAGTCTTTATTCTTATCAAAATTCATTTGATCATTTCATGCTATTGTATTAGAATCATGGAACCTGCCTTTTCCCCCTCTTCAGCAATGGGCATAAGCAATCTCCAGGTACTATAATTTGCTAGAGTTGGATCATCACCTTTTGACCCAAATAAATAAGATTTTCAGGGATGGGCCTTTATTTATCATGTCTCGTTTGTAGCACAGCAAGGACCTGGTAGTGGGGAAGATGCTTAGACATGGCACCAAGTATCCCTTCCTGCTCTTTCCTTTGGAGAATAGAGACTCTAGGTTTGGCTCCTTGCCAGGAACTAATTAAAACCCTTTATTCTAAAAGATAATCTTCAAATTACTGTGAGCATAACAGGCATGTGAGTACCTCAGTGACCTGCAGAGTGACACAAGAGGTAACTAGTTAACCTCCTCCAGCAATGATGCATCCCAATAAGGATAAATGGATTATCTCAGTATATGGAACAGGATAACCCAACTCTTTTGAGGCTATCTGCTAAAGCCACAAGATCACAACACTCAGACCTTCCTTTGTATCTGATGCTAATGATGGCTTCTTTGCTTCCCAGATGGGCTTTTCTTGACCTCTGGCTTGGATAACCTTGGGCAAAGGTAACCATTCCATGCACACATGGTTTGTGCACCCACGGCATTGAACCCACAAGTTCAGGGCATCTCCCCAGTAGGGCTGTATGGAAGGTGTGTATAGAAGCTCAGATGGGCAAAGCTGTGGGGACCCCACCACAGCTCTACCGTGTGCCCTATGAAAATTCAGCCTCCCAGAGCTTTCCAGCCTTTCTCCTTGCACTCTCTGCAGCAGCCTCCTCTAGAGGACCAGATGAGGGTAAGGACTCACACTCACCTGGGACTGGCCTGTCACCGGGGTGCCATTATTCAACTGCAGCAGCCCATTCAGCCCATCTCTGTACAGTGTCACTGTGTGCCAAGCTCCAAGTTTGATTTTGGTCTCACTTATGATGACAGCAATCCCAGTTCCACAATTAAACCTGGGGGTGAGGGGAAGGGAGGAAAGGATCTAGAATAAACCAGTTCATGTTTTCAGACTTCACATCATCACTTCTAGGACAATGGCTCCTCTCTGGTTTGGGGGTGTGTTTGTGTGTGAGGGGGGTGCAAAGGTTGTCTTTCTCAATTGCTCTCCATCTTTTGATGCAGGGTCTCTCTTATTTGCGACCTCACCACGGCCTCATCTTCTCAGTCACTCAGAAGCAGATGGGGTGTAGGACCCTTTGTCTCTTCTCCAGAGACAGCAGAAGCTCAAAGTCCACGTGAGTACAATGATTTTGAGCATCATTCTGTCCCCAGGCACTTCTCTGAGGAACCTCGATGCTCAAATGATAGGTCTTATGACATTAATAAAGTGTAAAAACTCAATCTTCAGGAGTTCTGGGAAGCAGGCTACCCTGCCCTCTGTGTCCAGGGCCCCCACCCAGGTGAGGTTTTCACAGGAGACTCTCACTCAGGCCTGGGCATGGAAAAGAGGAGACACACACTGAGATGCCTGCAGTATTCTGTCTCTCTTCCAATGTCCCCATAGACCAGGGATTACTGTGCCTGACAGGGAAAGTTTGGGTACTTTTCTGCTGACTTGAGACTAGCCATCTGGCCCCTTCCACCAAGATCCCAAGACTACTTCCTGTAGGAAGCATGATGGGGTGTCTATACTGTGTCACCTACAGCCCCTTTCTTGTGACCTTTGGCTTCTGACCCTCACTAGTGTGGGTGGCATGGGCAAGATTCATGGAGGGAGATGCGCATCACTCAGGTGGAGTTGTGATACTAAGGAGCTCTGGAGCCAAACGCTGCCACGCCCCTGAGTGTGTACCTCATCCATGAGTGCTAGATCCCGTGAGGTTAGAACCATTAGCCCAATCCTGGTGCCTGCTACCATGTATCCAGGAATCAAGTCACCTAACAAAGCACGCTTGAACATCTTCGATAGAACCAAAAGAGCTTAAAATATTTTCGTGTGTGTTTATGCATATGTGTGTGCTGGATGTCACAAGCTAGATGGACCTAAGAGGTTAACATCCCTTCCTTCATGCTTTCCACTGTGATTTAAAAAAATTTTTTTTTCAAGATAGGTTCTGTCTCTGAGCCCAGAGCTCACTGACTGCACACTCGAGGATCCACAGACCCTGCTTCCCGGTGCTTGGAGGTTATCGTTGAGTGTTACTATTGGTGGCTTTTTACATGGGGGCTCAAACTCAGGTCCTCATGCTTGGCACAGGAGGCACTTTGCTGACTCAGCCATCTTCTCATCCTCCCAAAGTACTTTTAATCCATAAACAAATAACCCGTTAGGGTTGGTATATACATACTGGACAGTCATTGTGCTAAGCATAAGAGAGCTCATGTGATCCCCTCCCCAATCCTTGGAGGAAAGGCGACTCCCATAGCTCACATCATCTGCCAAAGGTCAGGCGCTAAGTAAATGATGGTATCAGGAGGCTAGCAAGGATACCCTGGATGGCGTCAAGGCTAATGCCTGTCATTCACTCACTGACAGACAAGTGCCCTCACTCTGCCTCCTGAAAAAGCAAAAGCTAACTAAAAGCAGCTTCCAAAGAATATGGGGGAGGGGAATGACCCCAGTACAGGAGGAAAGTCAGGGTTCAGCCCAACCCCAGGGAAGTCCTGGTAGGTTTGAGCCTCTGTCAGTCCTTGGGAGCCTGTGGCCCCTCCTTATCCTCCACGGCTGTCAGCCATCTTGTCTCAAGGAGACTCTGAGGAGATCTTGCCTTCTACTTGCGCTTCAGAAAAGAGAGGACTTGGCCTTTGCCAAACTGCTGTGAACCCACAGTGGGTGTTCGACACCTAATTGGTGTCAGAATAAGTGAATGAGGCAACATTTCAAAATTCAAACTTCAAAGGTTACCCAGCTGTTACAGCTGTCTAGGACTTGAGATATCGGGCCCGGCTGGTCTCCTGCGTACCATTCCTTTAATGACTGGAATTGTGTGGGCTGTATTGTGTACGATGCGTGTGGTAAAATTTTTAAATTTACAGGACTTGGGGCATGAGTTACCTGAAGTGGAGGGAGCGCCGGATGAGAGCCAGGGACATGAAGTCACCTCTGCCGTGTTCACTCTCCCCACAGTAGAGCAGTAAGCCGTCCTCTGCCTCTGCCTGTGGACACACAAGCAAAAGCCACATGAACCACGGTCACTTCTTCCTCATCTGTAAACACTCATGAAGACAAAGCATGAATGGTCCCCTCTGCCATCCTACTGATGCAAGCACGTGAATTCCAGGGAGTTCCCACACATCCAGGCTGGTTCCTTCACATGGCAAAATATCAGTGGTATGAACAGAGGACCAGCTCTGAGGTGAGGAAGGCTCCCGTGGGGTTTCGTCATGTTTAGCCAGTGACTTTGGGGCAGCAAGTGCTAGGGTGATGCTGTGTTGTCTGCTGTGTGACAACTGGCAAGCTGAGGGGGAGACTCTCGATCTCTCACTCTCGCTCTCTCGCTCTCTCTCTCTCTCTCTCTCTCACTCTCTCTCTCTCTCACTCTCGCTCTCTCTCTCGCTCTCTTGCTCTCTCGCTCTCTCGCTCTCTCACTCTTGCTCTCTCGCTCTCTCGCTGTCTCACTCGCTCTCTCTCTCTCTCACTTGCTCTCTCTCTCTCTCGCTCTCGCTCTCTCACTCTCGCTCTCTCACTCGCTCTCTCGCTCTCTTGGACAGTAGGAGTGGAGCAGGCACTTGCTGTTGGGGTTCTTTCCCCTCGGGCAGAACAACTGCAGTGGTGTCTAACCTGTCCTGTGTGAGTGAGTGCTTCCCCCCTCTTTTATCCCTAAGTAAAGACATTCTTGAGAGCCTTTCCCAGACTCTCATAGATTCACATTACAGAAGGCCCGTGTCTGGCCTGCTTTTTTGCTTGGCTTTGCAGATGCGCCTACAAAACTTCCATAAAAGCCCGTGTCCTATGGTCTCAATCACACAGCACCTTGTTTGTGCTCATCTATTTCTACTGTCCCCGATGAACATCCTATTTCCACTCTTCCTCTCTACCTGGGAAACACGTGCATTTGCAACTCTCCTTCTGTCTAGGCAGTACGAACGGTCCACTGAGTAGTCACTTGGATGTATTAGCCGAGGGACAGGCCACCTCCCACACAGTTAATACTATGGCAAGGTAACGATGGGATGCAACTGGTCCTTTTGCTTCAAAGAACCACATGCAGCTCAAGGTGCCAGCTGGATGATTGGGACCAGTGAGAGCTCTCTAAAGGGGCTTGGGGAACGGAATGCATCATTGGTCCTGAAACCCTGCCCCTGACGGATCACCCTGGAAGTAGCTTCTCACTGGAAATCTAATCTTCTGTTGTTTGTGACATGCAAACCCACCCTCCCCTAGCTGTGTACCTGAGCATTGTAAATGTACCTGCCCCGGCTGGATTTTGTGAGAGATTGCAGGTCAGGTTAGGTGTGCCACACTTTTTTGCTTCCCCTCTTCCCTCTCTCCCTTTGATGTAATTAGACATGTTTAATAGACACTCATCACATGATAATAGACACCACACAACAGCTCCTCTTACCCTGAATTCCAGAGTGATCTGAAATGCCTGATAAGAATTCTTCAGGGGCTCAAAGGTTACGTAGGAGTGACCAAAGAACTGAGGATACTGAATAAAGATATCTGAAAGAAAAGGCAGAGGGTGACAGATTGCTGTCGCCTCATTCTTTTCGAAGCAGAAAGCAACACACACCATTGTCTGCATATCACCCAGTTAAAAACCTCATCTAGTCGGCTCCACCTAGCTACCTTCCCACCTCCCTTTCTCTGCCTCTCACTCTGACTGCTCTCTGGATCAAGGAGCTTCTTCTGAAGTTCTTCAGAAGAAAATGCATTTTGAATTTGGGTTCCTGCTTCCCAGAAAAGAAACGAGTAGCTTGAAGTCCAGCATCACTCATTTTCACGCTGGGCTTTTGCAGTACCCAGGTGACTCAACCATCAGCCCTCCCTGCGCTTCTGGGTGTTCTGGCTATCATTTTGATAGAGATGCGATAAAAGCAGAGTTCACCTCCCTGATTCTGTTGAGATGATTTCAAGGTAGCCGCTCCAAAGGACCTCACACAAGACACAAATAGAAACAGGCTATGGCCTCAGGAAGGCAATGGAAGATGCTTCTCCCTTTCCATGGGGCCTGGACAGGGGTGGGGGTGGCTAATTTACTGACCAATCGATAGAGGAAAGGCTTATATTACCAAATGCTATAAGGACTGTGTTTATATCATACAGCTATAGGTTTAACCACGCTGCATTCATTCCCTTTCCAGGGCCTACCTTCTGAGCAGCCCTCCCCTCCTTTGCCCAGGTTGCAGTGGCACCGTGAGCCTCCCCAGGTGTAGTCATTGACACAGAAGCTGTCAGCTGAGCAGAGAGTCTCATCACAGGACACGTCAAAGAGCCTTGACATCATGGCCACACTGTTCTTCCCCTTCCGCTGGGCAGGGGTGTGTGGGATGGCCACTGTAGTTTCAGGGAGAGATGCTGAGGTAGGTTGTGCACGCCTGGAACCCATTACTGGGTCAGAGAGAGAAATCTTCTTGGATTCCATCAAGAACTTCCTTTTCCCAGCTTTGGTAGCAGGAAGTGGTTTAACCTAAGTTTGAGAGGGAAAGGACTTAGCATAGACATGGAGTCATCTTTATACTGCATAATGCAGTTCTTGAACCACAAGTTCACTGTTAACATCCCAAATCCTAGGGTGTCAGTGAGACAGAAGCACTAATCCCAGTTCACAGGGGAAGACCTTGAGACACAGGGAGTATTCCATGACCTCTTCATACTAAACTTTTACAAGATGGATGGCTTTGTCGAGGAATCATTGGTTTTCTTATACTTCCCCATTTTACAAAATTCCTGGGTGGTATATCTACATTGTTTTGGTAGTTAGAAAGCTAGTTGTAGACAGAAGCTGTTCACAGGATGACAGTCTGCTAGGAAACTCCCTAGTACTGATTTGTGTGCCCTCCCCCTTTGTTTCCCCTCCCCCTCCCTTCCCAGAAATAAATGCTTGCTGAGAGCAAAGGGGTTCATTTCAGCCTGAAGTTCCACGCCCACGCTCTGTGGCTAAGCTGCTGCGGCCAGCAGGGAAACAAAGCACATTGGAGGGGACACCAGAGGTGATGATACCTCCTCAAAGGACACGTCCAGATCCAGCTCGTCATCAGAGCCATCATCATCTTCACTCACTCCCGTGCTGGTGATATACTGAGGTCCATAGCGGCCACTTCCTGCCTCCTCGGGGCCTGCACAGGGAAAAAGTACATGGACCGTTGTCACCTTGTGCCTTCTTGGTTCCAACATCCTTTCTTCTTCAATCATTTTTTAAAATAATTAATTATATTTTTTGTTTTATGTGCATTGATGTGTGGGCATCTGGTTCCCTGGAACTGAGTTACAGACAGGTGTGAGCTGCCAAGTGGGTGCTGGGACTTGAACTGGGGTCCTCTAGAAGATCAGTGAGTGCCCTTAACTGCTGAGCCATCTCTCCAGCCTCCTCTTCTTTAATTATTAAACTTTCAAATTACTTTATAAAACATGTAATTTTCTTACAGGTATGCCATTATACTTTGTTTTCATTTATCCTCTTACTCCCTCCTGACTCCCCCCCTTCCTACTACCAGACCTCAAAATATACTTTACTAAGCAATAAATCAAGGCATAGAGTGTCCATGGAAGGTTCCAGAAATGAGAAGTTACAGTTCAGAGTTCCTGGCACCGAACACCAGCCCCTCTGTAGTGTTCAAAATGCCCTATCTCTCACAGGCTCCTGATCACTCACCAGCTCATGCTAACTGAGAAGAAAATAAACACAAATAAAACCAGACCCTGCATGATTCCAAGAAACCTAGGGATGGAATCCTACTGTTGTCTCCTGACAGTGGCGAGAGATGGAGTTGTTTCCTCGATCTTATACTCATGAAGCTCCCACCGATTTTGTTTTTCATTGCGTGTAGGATGTAATGGTATGCTACTGATAAGAATTCTCCAAGTAGCCTGGGGTTGCTATAATTAAAGTGCATAACTTATCTCTTTCTACTTGGCACTTCGTTAATTAAGAAAAGAGAACATTAAATAGCAGACATTTATTAGCACCATAATAGTCAAACCACAGACTGAATGCAAAACAAATTCTGGGTTATTCCACATTAAGGAAAAAGAAAGGATAAAATGCAAATTTTGTTGGTCAATCAAAGGATGACCTTTATTTTATAAAGTCCATATCTGTTTGTGTTTAGAAAGACATTATGGTTTTTCTGTACATCGTTTCTCTGATGATCAATATGATATAGTTTAGAAATATCTCTTGGTCATGTGAGATGGGCACAATAATCTGTTGTTAGGAAAGTCACTTAATCTTGTTAGATCCCATGATTCTCAACAAAATAAGGAATGAGGGTTTGGAAGATAGTTCAGTCAAGAAAGTGCTTACCATACAAGCACAAGGATCTGAGTTTAGTTTCCAAAACCCACACAGAAAAAGTTGGAAATGGTGGTGACCACTTGTAATTCGGGTACTGATTAGGCAGAGACTGGCAGATAGATCCCTAGGGTTCACTGGGCAGTGAGCTGACTTGGTGAGTTACAGGTTCCAGAGAAAGAGACCCTGTCCCCTGTCTCAACAAATGAGATGAACAGTGCCTGAATGATGACATCTGAGGTTGTCTTCTGGCATACAAACACACACACATACACACACACACACACACACACACACACACACACACACACAAATAAGGAATGCTATTAGATTTCATGACCATCGAGTTCCTCAGATGCTGTGACACTAGAATTGACACTGCTGACACAGACATGCTGCAGACATCTGCATAACAGCTAAGGTTTGAAAAAGAAACAACTGGAAGCTTTTATTTTCAAGGATGAAAAGAGTCTGGTGTGATCTTGTGTGCTCTGAGACCAGAGCATTGTGTTCAGGATTCTAAGCTTCCATGAAGCCATGTCTCGTCACATTCACAATCATATGGTATGGGGCCTCAGGGGAGCCTGTCTTAACAGCTCAGCAAAAGGGAGCATTCATGGGGACACTTGTTCCCCACTCATGAAATTTCCTTTGGGAAGATGAAGTTTAAAACGTAGGAGTGTTGAGTTCTTTTCCAAGTTATTCAAGAGATAGGGATCAAGTCGCATTTGGCCCACACTTTGGAACTGAGGAATCCTGGGAGGGAGGAGGAATTGGGGGTAAACTGGGTCCCTTTTGTATCCTTTCTTCACTAGGTCTAGGGGAAAATAGTGACCTAGGTAGGTAGAATGGTTACAAATGACCAAGCAGGTGATTGCACATTCCATACCAGGAAGAGGGTCCTAGCAAGCTTGCCTTGACTCTCAGAGAAAGCTTGCCTTTTTACTTAGCCTTTATCAGACATAAAGATGCCTATCTGCTAATAGCATTAACTTACCTCTGAACTGAGGTAAGAGAAAGGGTGATGCTAATAGATCTGTTAAAAAAATAACTCTGAAGCTGGGCGTTGGTAGCACATGCCTTTAATCTCAGCACTTGGGATGCAGAGGCAGGAGGATCTCTGTGAGTTTGAGGCCATCCTGGTCTACAAGAACTAGTTCCAGGACAGCCTCCAAAGCCACAGAGAAACCCTGTCTCAAAAGACCAAAAACAAAACAAAACAAAACAAACAAAAAAACAACTCTGTTGCCACTGGAACAGAAATGGCTTGGGGAAAAAAAAAAGGTTGGTCTGTAAGAGGTAATAGGTTACAGAAAGAAGCTGGGACACCTCAATACAAATGCACAAGGGGGTCTGGTTAGGCTACAGCCTGGTTCCCTTCACAGTCTTTCCAAGACCTTTTGTGATTTCGTCTTACTAGTCAGAACCTTGACCACATTCCAATTTATTCATCCTCCCCTTGCACCATCCACCCTGGTTCTTCTTTCAGATTTCATGACCTTTTATGGTCAGGAAAATACATGTTTGTACACCAACAGGAAGGATCCAGTGGGAAAGCAGAGTGGTTGGGGCTGTGTGGGACTGGAAAGGGGAAGCCTTACAATGCTGACACATGTGTGCTCTGTCTCCAACTGGCTCTCCACAGACAAGGCTGTTAACATTTAGGAGTCGGGAACCAGAACATGAGATGCAATGTGCTTGTGTGTGACTCTCAGTGTGGACGGGAGGGACAGATGTGTGTACCTGTATCTACCCAGCAAGAGGACTCATGCTGTGTGTCCTGTGTCTTCTGTGGCCCATAGTCTGACTTTTGCAGACGGTCATGCAGTTCAATTCTCTTTAGGCATTCTGGAGGGCAAGTTGCTCAAACTGAGGGCATGAGCATCCCTCCTCAGGCCTCTGATACAATGATTGGAGAAAATAATTGGCAACACTAAGTTCTGTATTTGATGAGATAGTGGTTCAGTGTTAAAAATGAAACAAAGACATTATCAGAGATGGTGTGTCACTGATAGACCTTTGATGTTTTACTGGAAAAAAAAACTGCTTAGGAGGAGGTGGGGGGGTGAGAGGGAGGAGGAAGAAGAGGAAAATATAAAACATGAAGACCATCCAGACAGGAAACTGGTGAGTAAATGAGCAAGTCTAGACCAGCATTGTAGTCTTTTTCAATTATTAAAATTTTTATTTGTATTTGGCATAGACTAAATATTATTATAACTGTAATTCTTGCTTGATATCTGTTTTGTTATATGTAATTTTATAGTGTTAAAGTTAAAACATTCCTTTTTAATTAGACACAAAAGGGGAAATGATGTGAATGGGATGTCTTCATGTATGCTTCGAATATCTGTTGCTTTTATTGGTTGATGAATAAAACTGCTTTGGCCATTTTTGAAAATTTTATTTCATTTTACATTCCAACCTAAGTTCTTCCTCCCACCCCTCCTCCTATCCCCCCAATAAAAAGAGTACATCTGTGATATGTACCCATGGTGCTACATATCAAAAATTTGCTCTTTTTTATAGTTGAGTAGTATCATATAATAAAAGATCATTCATCCATAAAAAAAAGCTGCTTTGGCCAATGGCAGGATAGAGTATACCTAGGTGGGAAAGTCAAACTGAATACAGGGAGAAAGAAGGCAGAGTTGAGGTAGACACCAGCAGTCACTGGAGGAGTAAGATGCCAGAGCATTACTGGTAAGCCACTGACCATGTGGTGATACACAGACTAAGAGCTATATGTAAGAGCTAGCTAGTAATAAGCCTGAGCCATCAGTCAAATATTTATAATTAAAAATCTTTTTTAGACAGAGTCTTACTGCGTATCCCTGGCTAACCCAGAACTCACGACATAGGCCAGGCTGGCTTTAAATACACAGAGTTCCACCTGCCTCTGCTCCTGAGTGCTGGGGTTAACACCTTCTAGTTTTGTAAAAGTCTGAAGATGTGGCCATTAGACGAGATAGGACATAAATACTGAGAAGTTCCATGGAAGACAAGAAGTACTGAATTAACCTCCTAGATCTTTCATCATTTAAAAAGATAGTAACAGGTACTGATTAACTTCAGACTATTAAGTCCAAAAGCTAACAATCTGTGAACAGTCAATAAAAGAAAACATCTTTTCATCCCAATTGACAGAAATAGTAAATCATATAGACTAGAGGAAGAGAGCAGAAACAAAAACCCCTTCTTCAATTAAAATATGGGGAAGGGGGCAACCCAGAATAACTTGAAAACACAAACTAAGATTGAAGGAATGAATGAAACATGCTGGTAATTATAATAACTGCAAATGTAATAAATCTGTCATTTAAGAAAATGTTCATTGGATGGAATTTTTAAAATTTGAGCTATGTGGTGCTTTCAGAAATCACCTCATCCATTTTCCTATGTCTACAGGAAGATAGAAAATAGAAGAATTTCTCTGAGTTGGCTGGTACTTGATGTAAACATAGGTCATCACAGTGTACTCCATAGCTACACATAATGATCACATATTACCCTATAAAAAGGTACAACCTAAAAGGTAAATAGATAAAAAATACTTGCTGACAAGGGTAAAGAAAATAAACCCAAACGTGAGCTGAATGAAAAAAAGTTTCAGAAAAAAAAAAAAACGAGTCCTTCATTCAGATCCAGGCTGACAAAAGATTTGCTGTCTAAAAACCTAGTCTGGGATTCAGGAGGATGGTTTCTGTGTAGATAAGAAGTCTTGTAAGTCAAGAAACACATAGGCCCAGAAAAGAAGATGTAAGTAGTACATGGTATAGCAAATGGAGGCTCTTCCATTAGAGGGGCTGAATTAAAAAGAATTAA